CGGGCTTAGGGTTTAAACCCTCAGCCATAGACACTAGATCCTAAACCCTGAACGCTGCGGGTCTCCTGCAGATTCCCGAAACCCTAAACCCTATACCCTATAGATCCCTTATAGAACCCTGAAAAGATCTCTTTAAAGGAACCCTAAACCCTGATCCCGAAACCCTAAACCCCAAATCCGAATCCCTCAGCATCCCCCGGCCCTGGCACCCCAGACCCCAAAGCCCTACTGCTGATGGACAAAATCCTGCATGACCCATTAAAAGGAATATACCATAATTCCCTTAGTTTGTAGTCCTTAGGGTCATGCAGGATTTTGTCCATCAGCAGTAGTATAAAGGGCCTTAGTACTTAGTATCGGGCTCCCTTTAAAGGGATCCTTAAAGGGATACTGTAAGGGATCTATAAGGGTACGATAAGATGAGGGCCTTAATACTTAGTATCGGGGTCTGGTGCCCATTCTACTGTAGGTATAATAAGGAACCCCCAAAATAGTAGGGGTAATTATTTTAGGCCCCCAAAGCAAACCCGGAACGGAAGAGCTGCAGCTCACAAGCTTCAAGAATCTCTCCGCGCCTCGTCGCCACCAGGAAGAATTTTCAGATCCTTTGAACTCAAGGCTTTTGTGTTTCAGGCTTCCTTTGAGGAGTCATGTTTAGGCTCTTCCTTTAAGGGCTAATTTGTAGTGAACCCACAAAAATTGGAACATGGACTTCGGATGATTAGTCCTGGGATACCCTGTACTTAACCTTAAGGGCATGAGGATATTTGATGTTCCCCAACTTTCTGGATTCTACTGTAAGTGTTCTACAAAGGATTCCGGGTTTAGAGTTTTTGTGTGTCCAGAGTTTTGGGCTTTAGGGCTTAAGAATTGGGAGGCTTGAGGACATCAGGAGCTCCTTTTTGGTTTGGGTTTGGGGTTTAGGGTTTAGGGTTTAGGGCAGGATCTCCTTTTTGGTTTGGGTTTGGGGTTTGGGTTTAGGGCTTGTTTCATATTCGGGGTTCTGAAAGTCTTGTAGAGGGGTTTTGTGCAATGTGCCGTAACAGGGATTCTTCAAGGGTCCTACTTGGAGGATCCTGGGACTTAGTAAGTAAGGTAATAAGTACCTTAATTGGGGTTATAAGTAGGTATAAGTATAGTTACACTGATTATAAGCCTAGTTACTAAGTCCCATGATCCTTTAAGTTCAAGGGTTCGATGAGGGGTCTGTGGAGCTTCGGGCATGCAACAACGGTTGATGATAGAAATCCTGCATTACCCATTGTAGGGAATATACCATAATTCCCATAGTTTAGGGTCATTAAGCTAGCAAGCTCAAGCTTCTAAATAATGCTAAGCCAGAATGGGGATGTGAACTTCGTCTTTGAAGACGCCCAAACCCTGAAGCCCCTCGCTGGTGGCATGACATCTCACTTCTCCGCTCTCCTAAACCCTAAACCCTAAACCCTATACCCTAAACCCTAAACCCTAAACTCCGCCTTTTTTGCTCTATCAGGCCCATTGCGCTCATCGGTGTCATCCTGTCCGGTGCGACCGGAAGGCGCATCTCCTCCATCCTATGATCTACTATTTGCTTAAGAACCCCCCGAAAAATGAAAAATGATAATCCCTATATTATCCCTATAAGGAATATATTTTTTATTTTTTGGGTGGTTCTTAAGCAAATAGTAGCTATGATAGTGGACATTGGGCGCTCTGGCAAGGCCACGAGACCCCTCTTAGCAAAAACTGCTACGCCCTACTCACGGCTTCAGGGAGTTGCCACTGCAAGCCCTAAACTTACCGTGGGTTAGGAGGAATGGGGTACAAGTATAACTACTATTCTTCCATACCCTACTAACCAAAGGTAAAATAATCTACATTTTCAGGACCTTATACAAGGAAATCATAATAAGGAACCCTAAAACGGTAGGCAAGTAAAGTTCGGGGCGCTAGCCAAAACCCTAAACCCCTACAATGGTTCATCTTCGGATGTTGGATTTCCACTGTAAGGTGAAAGGTTTAAGAGCTTGAATAGAGGTTGAGGGTTTAGGGTTTAGGGGAATAGTGGTAGCTCCAATTGCTGGGGGTCATCTGAGTTTGTAACCTGCTCAGAACCTACTTGCAAAATGGCATGATCCTGGGTTAAAGTATTGCAGGAATTCGCTCATCGACACTAGCCTTTGTATGCCCATACCCGTAGTGTAGAAGCCAAAACTACTACTACCCATACTACTAGCTGCTTGGTGGTGCATGGGTGGTCACAAGTGGGGTTATAAGTCGGGTAAGAATATTTATGACCCATACGGTTGATGATGTAAACCCTGCATTACCCATAAAAAGGAATATACCATAATTCCCATAGCTTAGGGTCCTTAAGGTCATGCGGGATTTTAACCATCAACCGTCTTAGGGACTCTTAACTTCTCTTATGTATAACTACCCGTGAGCCTCCAAGTGGCGCTCCATGCTTCCATGACAGTATAATACGCCGAATAAACCCCGCTCTAAGATCTTGTAGTATCTCGGGCCCTACATTACAGCCAGCCCTAGACCGCCCTTCTCATCGAAGATTACCGGAAATTTTCTCGTCTTTTGCCTCAACCCCCAAGAGTAGGCAAAATCATGTCTCAACGCCAATAAATGTCCTTCATTTGGTGTACTTTTGGGGCCCAGCTATGCTTTCAGGCTTAGGCGCTGCAGAATTTGCTCCGTCTGGCAACGATATGAGGGCTTGTATAAAGACTGGTGTCCCTTCGCCTGTTTCTTTGTAAACCAGAAACCTAGACGAATACACCGCAGTGGGTGTTGGGGATTTGCCTCTTTTCAGGGGGTAGAACAACGAAGTCAGAAGCCGACGGAGCCCGAAACAAGCCCGCAGAATGTGGGAGTTCCCCGAAACCACCCATGCCACTTGGGCCATTTGCGACTGAGGGCTTTGGTCTTCGGTTTAAAGCCGTCTGAGTCCTCATTGTGAAGCTCCTACTACTTGGTTCACAACGGCTTCGAACATCTCCCGAAAATTGTCGTACCAAACACAGCACTTCTACGCTTGTATACAGGTCAGACACACGCGCAGGGTTATGCACACCATGCGTCATACGCAGATTGGCCCTTGGCTGCAGCTCGAACAAGTCCCGCGATCCTTATGGCAAGGCTCCCACTGTTTCACATGTCTCTGGGCCAACCACGTTGAAAACTTCTGAAAAATGTCTCCTACTGAAAGAGGCACCTGTTCGTTCTCAGGTCAGGACAAACAGGCCTTCATCGCTCACGCAGGGTTTGGCACACCGTGCGTCCTAACAAATAAGTCGGGGTCTGAAAAACTTCGGTCGCGTTATGTGGCAAGTTAAAGTGAAATTACATAGGGACTATAAGAAGATAGTTTTCCCAACCTAAACCCTAAACCCTAAAACTCTAGACCTGAAATAGACCTGAAACCCTAAACCCTAAAGCCCTACACTCTAAAGCCCTAGACCCTGAAAAAGCTTATCTGAAACCCCCCTCTTGGAATTTTATGGAGACTCTGAAAGACCCTAAACCCTAAACCCTAAACCCTAAACCCCTAAACCCTAAAGGAACCCTCAACCTTGAGGCCTCCTTGAAAAACCCCAAAAAATCAGGGCAAACGCGAGATGATTACATAATTATGTAAGGGTTTAGGGTTTAGGGTTTGGGGTTTAGGGTTTAGGATTTAGGGTTTAGGATTTAGGGTAATATGTGTATAGCTTCATTCACTTATGTCTATTTCTGAGTTCACTCTTTGCTTAGATACATACATACATGCATGCATGCATGCATGCATGCATAGATACATACATACGTACACACACATCCATGAATGTAAGCATACATACATACATGGGTAGTTGTCAAAATTAGGGTTCCTTTTTGGGTCCTTAATATATCTTATTTAGGGTACCCAACAGGAACCCTAATTTTGACAACCACCCACATGTATACAGCCCTGCCGAACCCAGAGCCTTCACACCCAAAGGCGATATTGTCACTGATCCTTCAGGCCCTTTTATTACCCTTTTCTATACTGAACTTAGAACCCTAGCAAAAATTAAAGTTTTAGCTGTTTCTTAGGGATTATAATAACCAAAAATTAAAAAAACTATTTCTAAGCACCCCTATGTCTTTCTAAACCCGCGTACAGAACCGATTCTAAAACCCTTACAGGGAACCTGAATTATAGAACCATAGTGCCATTTTAACGGAACCCTTTTATCGCACCATACTACCCTTCCAAGGCGATCTGATCACGAATCATTCAGGCCGCAGCAGCATTTAAAGGGGATACTGCTGATGGGCAAATCCTGACCCATTATAAAGAATATACCATAGTTCCCATACTTTAGGGTCCTTAGGGTCATGCAGGATTTTGTCCATCAACAGTATGATCACAAATCCTTCAGGCCCCGACAGTCTGCCCCTGCGGTTCTGGGTTCTTGTTGAAGGCGTTAACTCAAGCCATCATGACCAGCAAACCACACATTGTTTTTTATACGGTTAAGGGTTTAGGGGAACAATTACTATAGATCCCTATGATGGTAATTTATGTCGAATTCCTTATCAAGAACCAAGCATTGATCGGCCCGGGGACAGATGAAAACCTGAACCCTCGGGGCGGCGCTGGGCAAAGAAGCAGCAGAAAAGTCGAATATGGGGGCCTGGATAAGTAGGGGTCCCTAAAGGGTTCCTTAAAGGGCTCCATAAAGGGATCTGTAACGGGTTTGTTCTACTCTGCCTTATTATTCGGGAGCCCATGGAACACTGTCAAGAATTATTTAGGCCCCTATACCAGACAGATGGAAAGGACTGCAAGACAGCATGACTCTGCATACTGCCCGCGAATGAAGAATCAAAGCCTTCACGTTGACTCTGCGCTCTGCCATTGGCCTGGGTTTAGGCTGCTTGGTTTAGGGGAGGGAGGACAAAGAAGCCACGAAGACAAACGTGAAATCACTGTGAGAAAGGTTGCCATGATTGGGCACCAAGAAGCTAGATTGCTGCCTTCAGCAAGCTGGCACCCCTTTAGCTCGGGGTTGCTGCTTCAGATTGGCACCCAAACAAGCCTTAGTTGTCCATTGCGCTGGCTTGAGACGTTGACTTTAAGGGCTTCGGACGTCATACCAAGCCGCAAGCCCTATTTGAAGGGTCGGGGGACTTAGTAAGTAGGTAGTAAGTAGACTTGTAAGTACCCTAAAAGGGACCCTAATTGGGGTTATGGTACTTATAAGTCCCTAAAATAACCAGTTACTAGGTCCCCCGACCCTCCAAGTTCCCTATCCAGAGGGTCCAAGTACCCAAATAATTAGTAGGGATTTAGGTCCCAAAATCCATACTCTGAATGGTTTTCGGACCTTGAAACCCTACTATTACCCGCAAAGCCGCAAGCCCTAGTTCTTGAATCAATGCTCAAAAGTAGATCCCTTAATGGGGTTCCTATAAAAAGTAGATCCCTTAATGGGGTTCCTATAAAGTACCCTTAGTAGTATAGGGGCCCAAACTAGGGTTTAGGGGTTCTTGAATCAATGGACGTGAGGTATCATGGTCCAGGGCCTGGAGTGCAACAGGTTGGCGTATGCAAAGCTTGCAAAGCCAACGACCAAGAGGAAAAACCCTAAACCCTATACCCTAAACCCTAAACCCTATACCCTAAACCCTAAACCCTATACCCTAAACCCTAAATCCTATACCCTAAACCCTAAACCCTAAACCCTAAACCCTATATACCCTAAACCCTAAACCCTATACCCTAAACCCTAAACCCTATACCCTAAACCCTATATACCCTAAACCCTAAACCCTATATACCCTAAACCCTAAATCCTAAACCCTAAACCCTAAACCCTATACCCTAAATCCTATACCCTAAACCCTATACCCTATACCCTAAACCCTGAATCCTCTACCCTAGCAAGAAGCACAAGCCCAAAGCCCTAAGCCCACCAGGAAGCCTCAGGCCCGAACCCTAAGCCCTAAGCCCTAAACCAAGAACCAAAAAGCCCTAAGCCCTAAACCAGGAACCAAAAACACCCTAAGCCCTTCACCAGGAACCAAAAAAACCCTAAGCCCTAAACCCTACCAAGAAGCAAAAAGCCCCATCGTCGCAGGGAGCACAAGTGCGGCAAAGACGAGCACGTTGGGCACAAGTCCATGCTCTTCAGGCCTCAGTTCTTGTTTGGGTATAGGGGGTTTAGGGAGCAGGGTTTAGGGTATAGGGTTTAGGGTTTTGGGTTTACGGCTTGGGGTTTGGGGTTTCGGGTGTACGGAAATTGTTTAGAGTTCAAGTCTCGAGCGTTGTGCTAAAGTCTACACCCCAACCCTAAGACCCGAAAGCCTAGTTCCGAGTCTTCCGAGCTCCTTCCTCAACAATCCTACAAGTCCATGTGCCCATATAGTATATATACTTCCTCAAGAGGTACTAGCGGACATTGACAGCTACGGCCGTTAGGGTAGTGTAGGGTTTAGGGTTTGGGGTTTTGGGCTTCAGATGTTGGGTTTGGGGCTTTGGGCTGAGGTATGTTTCTGGCTTAGGCTTAGGGTTAGGGCTTTCAAGACACTAGGATACCCAGTAACCTAAGAATACAAAGGCCTCTCTTTTTGGTATTGGGTAACTTTATAAGGAACCTAGGACTACAAAAAAGGAATAAGGGTACTACTGGGCATCCTAGGACATGACTGGTAGTAAGCTTGGCACGCCTGGTATCCCGAAGGAAACCATTGGGGAAGGCCTGACGCCTTCTCACATGGGATTCGCAGGATAGAAAACGCCTCACCGAAGAGCCGAGCGGCTTTACAGGGAAGTCGATGATGGAGCACAGATGCTCAAGCTGCTGCGATGCGACAACCACCATGACACTGCCCAGCAGCGGCGGCAGATTGAGAAGAAAGTCAGCAGATGCCCAACTGCATTTGTGACGGAATACGTAACAAAGCCTTGTGCCAACTAAGAGTGCCATGGGAGCCACCCCCAACCACCATGCCACGGCCCTTATCACTTCTCGGCTGGCCTCCATAATCGGATCGAAAGTAGTGAACCTGTACCAGGGCGTTCAGGGTAGTAGAATTTTTTCAGAACTAGGATACCCAGTAACCTAAGAACAAAAAGGCCTCTCTTTTTGGTATTGGGTAACTTTATAAGGAACCTAGGACTACAAAAAGGGAATAAGGGTACTACTGGGCATCCTAGAGAACCTAAACCCTAAGAGCATGAAAGCCCGAAAGCTCTGAATCTCGGGTATGCGGTGGTGCGCCTGTACCAAGCTGCGGCTTTGCTTAGGAATAGCCAAAGAACCTGGGCTGTTCTAATCACATGTTAGGTTTCGATTTTGGGCCTTAGGGGCTGGGTTTAGGGTTTAGGGTTTGCAGCATAGGATTTTCGATTTTTGATTTTAGGGTTTAGGGTTTTGGGGCTTTAAGTTTGACGCTTATGGTATGGTTTGTTGCTCCCTTGCCGAATACACTGAGACTAAGTCTGAAAACGCACTGCAACAATCGTCAGAGAACCTTGGCTGCCTTCTGAACCCCTCCTAAAAGTTAAACTTTTAGCACCCTTACTGTGGTTCATATAGAAACCCAAAAAGTTAAAGTCCTAAGAGCCAACCAGAAGAACGTCTAGGAACCGGAACCATGGCTGAGACGGCCTGACGGTATGTGAAGAACTGCTTCGCATGCTCTCGCAGCCTTGGTCTCTTGAAATGAGAACCCGTAAAAACCCTAAACCCCTAAACTCCAAACCATAAACCATAAATCCTATACCCAACCTTTAACCCTGAGATCCCCTAAAAAACCCTAAACTCGAAATCCTAAACCCAACCTCTAAACCCTGAGATCCCCTAAAAACCGTAAACCACCAGGCAGCAGTAGCGTACGCACTTCCGTCTGCACGTATTCCTCGAACTGCTCCCGGGTTCCCCACCAGCTGGTGATACACCTGGGGCACCCACACCAACCTAACAGATGATTGTGACACACGACGTTCCTGAGCTGCTCTTGTTGTTCGCCCCGAAATCGTGGCGGGAGGGTTTTGTCTTCAACCCCGATATGTGTCTGTCCCACCCTGTGGGTTTTTTGAAACCTTCTCAAGAGAGCCCCTTTGAGCCTCCCCTTAACCCAGAGAGCCCAATACCCCGTAATTCCGGAATACAGCTTAAATTATACAAGGTCATTCAAAGGGGAGTTTCCGAAAATTTGGGGTACCTTATTCTGGGGTCCTTATAATAAGGATCCTACTATTTAGAGTACTATATTAGGGTCCCCTATTTTCGGAAACTCGCCATATTGTGACGAAAGCTATATTCGTTAGTTCAGGGGCCTCGGACACTCTGGCAAGCAGATAGGTGCAAAGCGTCTCTTTAGGCCCTTTAAGGCGTTGTAAGAACGCTTACAGCTCAGGGCTTAGGGATGTCGGTGAAGGCTCAGGGGCTCTGGGCTTCGAAGAAGGATTTGGGGTTTTAGGGTTTAGGGTTTAGGGTTAAGGGTTTGGGGTTTAGGGTTTGGGGGGTGTAGGGTTTAGGTTTAGGGTTTAGGATTTAGGGTTAAGGGTTTGGGGTTTAGGGTTTGGGGTTTTAGGGTTTAGGGTTTGGGGTTTAGGGTTTGGGGTTTTAGGGTTTAGGGTTTAGGATTTAGGGTTAAGGGTTTGGGGTTTAGGGTTTGGGGTTTTAGGGTTTAGGGCCTGGGTGCCAATAAGTTTTCAACGAAACGTTTTTTTTTGGATCCATACTTTGAGATTGGGGGAGGGGCAGGGGCTGGGCCTGGATTTGGGTCTGGACTGGATTTGGGGCCTGGGGATTTGGGGTCTGGAGCCTGGATTTGGGGCCTGGGGCCTGGATTTGGGACTGGGCCTGGATTGGGCTGGATTTGGGACTGGGCCTGGATTTGGGGTCTGGAGTTCGGATTTGGGATTGGGGATTGGGCCGGTCTGGAGCCTGGATTTGGGGTTTGGGGCCTGGGGCCTGGGGACTGGACCTGGACTTGGGGTGATTTGGGACTGGGCCGGCTTTCGGGCCATGCCTGGATTTGGGGTTGGAGCGTGGATTTGGGCCTGGATTTGGGGTCTGATCCTGTATTTGGCGATGCTGGATGGGACTGGGTGTGGATTTGGGGTTTGAAGCTTGGATTTGGGGTGGGCCTGGGGGCCTGGGGTCTGCCTGGGCTTGGAGGGCCTGGTGCCTGGATTTGGGGCTGTGCCTGGATTCTGGATTTGGGGTGTGGGACCTGGATTTGGGGGATTTTGGGCCTTGGGGGGCTGGGCGGATTTGGGCCTGGGATTTGGATTTGGGGTTTGGGGCCTGGATTTGGGGCTGGTTTTGGGTTTTTTTGGGGCTTGGATTTGGCGTCTGGGCCTTGGCCTGGATTTGGGGTCTGGGAAGGTGGGCCTGGGTTGGAGGTTATGGAGAAATTGGTTTACCAAGAAGCTTGTTCAATTTTAAGCGGCGTGTTGGGCCGTAATGGTGATTATAAGTTTGTGGAGAAATTGGTTTATCAAGAAGCTTACTCAATTTTTAATCGGTGTGTTGGGCCGGCTGGGCTGGGCTGGACCGGTTTGGCTTGGCTGAGTTAGAAGTTGAGGTCGTGGTTGTGCGAAATTGGTTTATCAAGAAGCTTGTTCCGTTTTTGATCGGGCGGCTGTTTTGAGTTGGCTGGGTTGAGTTAATGGTTGAGGTTGTGGTTGTGCGAAATTGGATTATCAAGAAGCTAACGCCAGTTTTAACCGAAATGCTGGGCCTTAGCGGCGGTTACAAACAAGGACAAGCAATTTCTATTTATCATTTTCTTGGGGGTTTAGGGTTTGGGGTTTTAGGGTTTAGGGTTTAGGATTTAGGGTTAAGGGTTTGGGGTTTTAGGGTTTAGGGTTTAGGATTTAGGGTTAAGGGTTTGGGGTTTAGGGTTTAGGGTTTAGGGTCTAGGATTTGGGGTTTTAGGGTTTGGGGTTTAGGGTTTGGGGGGTTTAGGGGTTTAGGGTTTGGGGTTTAGGGGTTTAGGGTTGCGGCTTGGGGTTGAAGGCTTTTGGGGGTAGGGTTTGCGGTTCAGAGCTTCACGAAGTAGGGGGTCTCTATAGCTAGGATACCCAGGAACCTAAGAACAAAAAGGCCTCTCTTTTTGATATTGGGTAACTTTATAAGGAACCTAGGACTACAAAAAGGGAATAAGGGTACTACTGGGCATCCTAGATAATCAGGATATATCGGGATCCTGCTATTTCGGGTTTGACATCAAGGGTCAATTTCTCTGGGTTGGCCCTTTGAAGCCTCTGATAAAGTTTCGTGAATAGGGTCCTACTAAGCCCAATAAGGAAAAATGAAAAATGTCCCAAAGGCCTACCTAGTTCTGAATCTGGCACTTGTTGGTAATCTGGCGGTCGCATAGTCCACAACTACGTTGATGGTTATCGTCGCAGCAAGAGCTCTTGACACTGGCCAAAGAAAACTTGGCCAGCTTATCTCCATCAGCCTCCATGGAACGAAAGCAGTCCCTGTATATCCTGGGCTGTTCTTGTTAGAGGCCATGGAAACTAAGGAGATGCAGCAAATTTCATACCAAAATACCGACAAGCATGCTCAAGAACGGCCTAGAATCGCCATGTTGGCATAGAAAGTTGCACCGAAAATCAGGGCATTCACCGCTTGAAGAGCCCACATGAAGCCCTCGTCTCCGCTCAATGGAACGAAATCGCTAACGATCGTCACCTAGGCTGGCCGTTTCGGGCCGTTAAAAGACCAGTCATAAACAGTACAGAATTGGAAAATCTGGCATATTCGAGTGTCCTACCGAGTAGTAGAATCCTCAATAGAACCCTTCTACCGAACCGCGAAGTAGAATCCCTGAAGGGTCCCTTTCAAATCCAGTCACAAACAAGACCGTGACGGCTTGGGAGATTTGACACATGGTCAGTTCCGTAGGCCGAATGAGGATGATCGGCTTCTCACCTTCAGAGCGGCTTCTAGCAAAAGCCGCAATCTCGAACATGCACCACAGTCCTCGTTTTGGTTTGAGGGCGGTTGTAGAGTCTTGCGTTTGGGGTTTAGAGCTTGGGGTGCGGAAACGTCCATGGCCAGAATAAGCAACTTGCTCCTAAGGCTTCTTGGGCTTGCCAATTCAGCCCTAACTCTAAAGCTCTCATGTAGGGGCGCTAATAGTTAGAATAGGGCCTTGGGGGCCATTTTACTCTAAATACAATAAGGAACCCCCAAAGCAGTGTTGCTAATTCTTTAAACCCCTATATTACCTAAACCGCTATGAACATGCGAACCTGCACGCAACACTGTCTGGTGCGTAGTAGGGAATGGGGGAATGGACAGAAAATCCCTCCTGTAATTAAGGAACCACCTAAACCCTAAACCCTAAACCCCTTGACCCAAAGTCCCTAAACCCTAAACCCCTAACCCTAAACCCCTAAACCCCTAAACCCCTAAACGCTACATCCTAAACCCTAAACCCTAAACCCCTAAACCCTAAGCCCTAAACCCCTAAACCCCTAAACCCCTAAACCCAACATGGACCCAGGCTCGATCGCAGAAAGTTGCATCCCAAAGAACCAACATGGAGTCGGAGCTCTTCAGAAAAGCACCTGCTGGGAGGATCATGGGACTTAGTAAGTAAGGTTATAAGAACCTTAACTGGGGTTATAAGGCTGTAAGTACCTTAACTGGGGTTATAAGTAGCTATAAGTATAGTTACCCGAATTATAACCGTGGTTACTAAGTCCCATGATCCTTTAAGTAGACCCTAAACCCTAAACCCTATAGATCCCTTTAAGGAGCCCCTATAGATCCCCTTTAAGGAGCCCTTTTAAGGATAACCCTTAAGTGGGGCCCCGGACTGGCTTTTTGCAGGCTTATAGGGTTCCTTTTAACGGGATCCTCACTCTCTTCTTTTAGGGTTTAGGGTTTAGGGTTTAGGGTTTAGGGTTTAGGGTGCAACCCCGAGACTCCAAAACCCCTAAATTAAGGAATATACCTTAAACTATGATAGGATACCTAATAAGAATTAAGCTATATTCCTTAATTAAGGGGTTTTGGAGGCTCTGGGAACAGCCGGGCCCCAAAACGTTCAAACTTTCTAAGATAGAGCTAATATGTAAGGCCAAAAAAATTAAAGTTCCCCCGTTCGCTATGTAAGCTTAAAGGGATACTATAAGGGATACTATAAGGGTACTATAATAAAAGGGCATTAATAACTAGAATAGGCTTTTGGGGCCCATAATACTCTAATCATAATAAGGAACCCCGGAATAGTGTTGGTAATTATTTAAGCCCCTGTATGACTGGCTTTATGGAGGCTTGCTTCGGAATCGGAATATGCTTGAAATTTTTGAGGACCTAGTATTGTGACTTCAAGCATATGCCGCCCATTTCCTCTTAGTTAAGGTTTTACAGGGCTGTTATGGGGTTGATGAGGGTTTATTAAAGTTTTATAGGGGTGTATTCGGAATATACCTGAAAGTGTAAGAGCTGAAGATTGTGACTTTGGGGTTTAGGTTTTCGGGTTCATAGTGACGGGTTTAGGGTTTCGGGCTTGGTAATAGGCTGTTAAAATATACCCCGGTCTAAGCAGGGAGAGGCTCCTACATGAGGGTTTAGGGTGTAGAGTTTGAGGATTATTGAACTGACTTGCGGTGGGTTCAGGGTTCAGGGGTTCAGGGGTTTACTTGAAGGCTCACGGGACTTAGTAAGTAAGGTTATAAGTAGGTTATAATTAGGATAACCCCACTTAGGGGACTTATAACCCCAATTATAACCTGTTTACTAAGTCCCATGATCCTCTAAGTAGGGTTCACGATTCAGGGCAAAATAGAAAGGAGATCAGACTCTGGCCTGATGTCCCTGGTTTACACACGATACAAGCTGCAAAAGCCCTCAAAGACTGTGACCGCCGGGGCTTTAGGTTTTAGGGCTTTAATAGTTTAGGGTTTAGGGTTTAGGGCTTTGGGGATTTAAGGTTTGGGGTTTAGGGGTTAGGGGTTAGGGCTTACCTTTGGTTAGTAGGGAATGGAAGGCTGGTAGTAATAGTAGTTATAATTGTACCCCACTCCTCCAGTGTTTACGAACCAAAGGTAAGGCTAGGGTAGCTCAACAGCCAGAACCCCCCTAAAACCTGGGCAAAACTCTGAAACCCTTACACAAGCCTTTAGCACCCTTATACAAACCTGTGGACACACCGCGCTTGAGCTGTCAAAAGCCCCCAAGCCTAAAGCCTAAGACCCTAAACTCTAAAACTCCTAAAACCCCTATAGCCCTCACATCCTAAAACCCTAAAACTAGAAGACAATTGGCCCGAAAGCATCATCAGCGAAGATTGTGGGGCTATGTGATAGATCCAGTGTATAGGATCGTAAAGTCACAGAGTCAAGAGTCATAGAGTCCATGAGTCATGAGTCATAAAGTCATAGAGTTACAGTGAGATAGCGTCATAGAGTCATAGTGAGATAGAGTCACAGAGTCATGGAGTCATCTATGTACCATGCACTTGACTCGATGTAGTTCACTCTATGCTCTATGTGTGGGAACGCTTAATCGAGATCCCCATAGCGTGAGGGCTCATAGCCTGACCTGGACCTCGAGATGCAGATACAGTCAAGAGTCATAGAGTCCATGAGTCATGAGTCATAAAGTCATAGAGTTACAGTGAGATAGCGTCATAGAGTCATAGTGAGATAGAGTCACAGAGTCATGGAGTCATCTATGTACCATGCACCAAAATGTGTAACTTCACCTCGCGCTCGAACCCTCGACAACGCCAATCTGTGTGAAGGGTTGCAAAATTCATCTCAATGCTCATCAAAAAATGCAACTTTACCTCGCGTTCGAACACTCGACCACGCCAATCCCTGTGAGGGGTTGCAAAATTCATCTCAATGCTCATCAAAAATTGCAACTTTACCTCGCGTTCGAACACTCCACCACGCCAATCCCTGTGAAGGGTTGCAAAATTCAGCTCAATGCACATCAAAAAATGCAACTTTACCTCGCGTTCGAACACTCGACCACGCCAATCCCTGTGAAGGGTTGCAAAATTCATTTCAATGCACATAAAATAATCCATCTCAATGCTCGTCAAAAAATGCAACTTTACCTCGCGTTCGAACACTCGACCACGCCAATCCCTGTGAAGGGTTGCAAAATGCCAATCCCTGTGAAGGGTTGCAAAATGCAGTTGAGCTGCGCCCAAACCCTGTGAAGGGTTGCGCGGCGCCCGCAAAATGTGTAACTTTACCTCGCGTTTGAACACCCGAGGAGGCGAATCCCTGTGAAGGGTTCACGGCGCCCGAAAAATGTGTAACTTTACCTCGCGTTTGAACGCCCGAGGCAGCGAATCCCTGGGAAGGGTTGCGCGGGAACCCTAAAATGTGTAACTTTACCTCGCGTTTGAACGCCCGAGGCAGCGAATCCCTGGGAAGGGTTGCGCGGGAACCCTAAAATGTGTAACTTTACCTCGCGTTTGAACGCCCGAGGCAGCGAATCCCTGTGAAGGGTTCACCCGGGCGCCTAATAAGTTAAAAAATGTGTAACTTTACCTAGCGTTTGGGCCCTCGCCCATGCCAATCCCTGTGAAGGGTTCACCCGGGCGCCTAAAATGTGTAACTTTACCTCGCGTTTGAACGCCCGAGGCAGCGAATCCCTGTGAAGGGTTCACCCGGGCGCCTAAAATGTGTAACTTTACCTCGCGTTTGAACGCCCGAGGAGGCGAATCCCTGGGAAGGGTTGCATTCCCGATGGACGACAACGGTGCCACCCCCTGGCTTTAAAAGAGAGAATTAGATACCGAGATGTAGAGAGTAAGTCATAGAGGCATAGAGTCAAGTAAGTAGAGGCATAGAGTCAAGTAAGTAAGTAAGTAAGTAAGTAAAAGTAAGTAAGTAGGTAAGTAAGTAAGTAACTAAGCAAGTCAAGTAAGTAAGTAAGTAAGTATAAGTAAGTATAAGTAAGTATAGAGATAGCATAACATAGAGTCCAGTGTCAAGTGTCAAGTAAGTTAGTAAGTAGATTGAAGTAAGTAAGTAAGTAAGTAAGTCGTAAGCATAACATAGAGTCAAGTATCAAGTGTAGAGTCAAGTATCATAGAGTCAAGTGTCAAGTGTAGAGAGTCAGTCATAGGGGTCAAGTAAGTAAGTATCAAGTGTAGAGTCAAGTATCAAGTGTAGAGTAAAGTACGGAGTCAAGTAAGTTGATTCTATGTCTGTCATCTATGTACTCAGCTGCGGCGTTCCACACGGAAGAACCCTTCGCGATGCTTTCGGGAACTAAAAAAAACCTAAAAACACTAAACCCAAATAACACCCCCAAAATTCTCAAAAACCTTAACTTTTAATTACCCTTTTCTTAATAAAACACCTAACTACACGATAACCAAGGCACCGATGGAAAGGATTCCTTTCGCTTTCTCCGCTTGGTCCTGTTGATCTATGCAGATCACCTTGGCTTAGGGTTTAGGGTTCAGGGCTTAGGGTCTAGGGTTCAGAGTTTAGGGTGGCCTCCTAGTGACCGGATCACGGGACTTAGCAAGTGGGGTTTTCAGTTACAGTAGAAGCCGCAGCCCAAAAGTTGGAAACCCAACAGGATCAATCCTTACGTATAATGCATAGGGAATGCCAGCACCAACTGTCCTTAATCCGGTTTCCAACTGTTTGGGGTTTACGGTATAAGTTAACAGGAGCAACTACAGTCAAAATTGCGCATAACCTCAGGTAAGGTGCTCATAAGGTTGCTTACTGCGGTTGATGATAGAAATCTTGCATTACCCAGAATAAGGAAAAGACCATAATTCCCATAGTTTAGGGATCTTAAGGCAATGCAGGATTTATATGGGAGTTTCCGAAAATAGGGGACCCTTATATAGTACCCCAAATAGTAGGATCCTTATTATAAGGACCCCCAAAATAAGGTACCCCTATTTTCGGAAACTCCCAAACCCTAAACCCTAAACCCTAGGGTTTCTTTCGGTTTAGGGTTTAGGGTTTAGGGTTTAGGGTTTAGGGTTTAGGGTTTAGGGTTTAGGGTTTAGGGTTTAGGGTTTAGGGTTTAGGGTTTAGGGTCTATAAAGGTAGGATGGGGCTTTTGAACCTTCGAAAAGTCACATCTTTCCACCCTGCAAAGTGAGAAGACCCTGCAAACAAAGGTCCCAGAAGCCAACCAGACGAAGGCTCTAAACCAAAAACCCCAAAAGAATCCTGCACCCTGAAGGGAGCCCCAAAGGGGGCTCCTTTGAAGGATTTGAAGGGCCAAAAACCATAAAGCCCAAAACCCCATGAGGAACCCGGAAAGGATCCTCTTAAAGGGGTCATATCCTAAAGTCTGATAGTGATTCTATACTATCAGATATTCTGTAAAATAGTTGACAAACACAACTTTGATTTAGGGTTTCGGTTCAGCTCAGGCCAAGAAGCGTCGAGGAAGACGGGGTCCGAGCTGCGCCAAAAGAAGAGCACCACACAGGACCTTGGCTTCCCCTGAGCCCTTAACCCTTCCTTAACCCTGAATGACCTACCTGTTTTAGGGTTCCCTATTCTGATTGCCTTATATAAGTCCTTACAAAGGTAGGTTCTTTTGGGTTAAGGTTTGGTTTAGGGTCTAGCGGTGTTTAAGATAAAGCGTTTGGGGATTCAGGGGTTTCGGGGTTTAGGGGCTTAGGGATTTACGGGTTCAGGGGCTTTGGAGTTTAGGGGTGTATAGTGTTACCCTATGCCTTCAACCCTAAACCCTAAGTAAGTAACCCTAAAACCCAAAGCCCTGCTAGTCACTATGAGTCTAGGATACCCAGTAACCTAAGAATAAAAAGGCCTCTCTTTTTGGTATTGGGTAACTTTATAAGGAACCTAGGACTACAAAAAAGGAATAAGGGTACTACTGGGCATCCTAGGAGTTCATTAAAAGGATAAGCCCCTAAAACCCTAAACCCTAAACCCTAAACCCTAAACCGTGGAACCCAAAGCCCTAAAAGGTCCCATTGATACATGAAGCACATGGGGTTTATCGGCCTTGAAAGAGTCTGCCATTGTGCTTCGTAATGTAGGCGCCTTAATAACCAGAATACGGCTTTGGGCTCCTTTATAGTATTTCGACATATAGTATGGAACCCTGAGGAATAATCTTGGTAATTAGTTTAAGCTTCTATATTAGTTGGCTTTATGCTGGGCTTGACGCTAGGTTCCCAAGTATCCCGTGAATGACGGTGCTCCAAGGTTCAATCGCAATAGGGAGACCACCCCAAAGAAAAATATGTAAACAAACACCGTGAACCCTAAATCCCTTAAACCCTTCAACTCCTAAGCCCCTAACCCCTCCAAACCCCAAAACCCTAAACACCTAAACCTGTGCGGCCCAGGTACAGAACCAAGCCCACCGGTTTCGTCCAGATGCAGTGAAAGTAGGTGTCGTCCTTACTTGGGTTGAAGGTGTAAGTGTTTGTTAAGGCTTAGGGCTTTAAGGGTTCAGGGGTTTAGGGTTTAGGACTTTAGGGGTTTAGGGCATAGGGTATAGGGGCTTAGGGTTTAGATTGGGGGGGACTTCTGGGGACAAAACTCATGAACAGTTTAGGTATCATGCTGCAGCCTTGCTACACTCCGTTTCTGGCTTCGCATGACTACTTAGCCTGCCCACCAGCCCTGCTTACGACGTCGAAAGCATCCAGGCAGTTGATGAAATCGCTACCCTAAACCCTAGACCCTAAACCCCTAAACCTCAAACCCTAAACCCCCAAAACGGCTCGAACCCTGCCGACGGCTTCGCGTTCCAGAGTATAGGAGTTTTGGAAAATAGGGGGCTCCAATATGGTACCCGAAACTGTAAGATCCTTATTGTAAGGACCCCGAAATAAGGTACCCCTAATTTCCCTACCGATGCTTTCGCAAAACTGACAGTGGCCGCACCGCCAAGATCCATTCCTTTCACAAAAGAACCCCGTAGCCCTTAGGGTTTGGGGCTTAGCGTTTATGGGTCATGGCGCGGGCTGAGCTACATGTATGCCCAAGCCCTAAAACAAAAAAAACCTACATAAACTGACCAAGCATCTTCTGTCGGCTGTAACAGAGGAGGCAGGATCTCGAAACTGAAGAGCCAGGAAACCAAAGCCGCACCGATACTGGCCACTATCTGGGCAGCTGCTCCTTCTTGCAGGGCTCATGACTTGGCTGCCTTCTCAACCCCTCCTAAATATTAAACTTTTAGCCCCCTTTTTATGGTTCATATAGAAACCCAAAAAGTTAAAGTCCTAAGAACCAACCAGAAGAACGCCGAGATGACCCAGAAAACATTTGAAGCATTCTTGCCTTTAATTCTTCGGAAAACTCGCAAAACCTCCTAAGCCCCAAGAATCCTAAACCCCTAAACCCTAAACCCAACATTCCAAGATATTTAAAGTCTACAGGTCCAACTAAAACAGGCTCCGTGGTAGAAGAGCAGGAGGGTGACATACTTCTTCCACGCTCGACCATGCCAGCTGTGGCTCCAAAAGGTGCGGATCTTCGTTGTGGGATAGCCTGTTTAGGGTTGAGGGTTTAGGGTTTAGGGTTTGGGATGTAGGCTTTGGAGTTTGTGGAGGGTTGAAGGTTGAGGGTTAAGGCTTTAGGGTTACATGCCCTCCAACCCGAGGAACAAAACAGGTCAATATTGTCGGAGACGTACGTACTCAATCACTGAACCATGAGAAGCCTTAGCCCTACACCCTAACCCCTGAGCCCCGGGCCTACATCCTCGAACACGAAATCTCAAGCCCCAAACCCGACACCCGAAACCCTATTCTCTGCCCAAGCTCCAAGCCCTAAGCCCCTGTAATCCCCTGTTCACCCCATCTACGTTGCGCCTCCAAAGGCAGTATGCAGGCAGATGGGACCAAGAGGGTCCATATACACTACTAGTATGGAATCAGGTCCCAAAAACCATAATGGGGATGGTCTTTTAGGACCTCATTCCATAATGGTAGTATATATGGACCCTCTGGGGCGAGGAATCTCTTTTCAAGGACGTTTACTTGGGATTCCCCTAGGATACCCAGTAACCTAAGAATAAAAAGGCCTCTCTTTTTGGTATTGGGTAACTTTATAAGGAACCTAGGACTACAAACAGGGAATAAGGGTACTACTGGGCATCCTAGTCCCCTGAACCCCAAGCCCTTCATCTCGCATCTGGAGCGCTTGAAAGCGAAGCTGCACACTGTATGGGCTTGGCTGCCTAACCACAAACCCTAAACCCTAAGCCCTAAACCCTAAACCCTATAGATCCCTTACAGAGCCCCTATGGATCCCTCTAAAGGAACCCTAAACCCTACTTGGCTGCCTTCTGAACCCTCCTAAAAGTTAAACTTTTAGCCCCCCTTGTTATGGTTCATATAGAAACCCAAAAAGTTAAAGTCCTAAGAGCCAAGCAGAAGAACGCCAAGTGGGTTTAGGCCTCAGGGTTTAGGGTCCAAGTCATGAGGCTGCGCTTTGTATTGTAGGGGAAGCGGATAGCTGGTGATATTATCCCAGAGACCCCAATACCGCTTAATGAAGGAGTATGTCTTAAATCATAAGATGACTCCCCTTATATCTTGAGGTATCTTCCTTAATTAAGGAATATAGCTTAAATCATAATATGAACTTCCCTTGTAGTTTAAGGTATATTCCTTGGGATCCGTCAGGAGGGCTTCTGCATCTGATTCTGCGTTCATCAAACCGAAAACCTACTAGCAAGGTCGCATGGCTGTCCGCAACCTGGTGTTAGTTGCTGAGTTCATAAGCCCCCCAAAAGTGTACGCTTTCAGTTTTATAGTGGGCAATACTATCCCAAAAAGTGTAAAGTGTATCCACAAAGCTACTACGTGGTGATCATGTTGTTTGGGCATGAATCCTAGGCCATGTGTAGGCCACGGCTGTAAAGACTGGGCTTGCCTGATGCAGAGAGAACCACAACCCTCAGTTCAGCAATACACGGTGAAGTGTACAGGAGTCAAGGTGGTTTTAGGTATGTTCCATAATCAAGCAACTTCTCTCAAATTGTAGAGGCCTTGATATGATGATAGAAACATTGCAAGTCTGTTCCTTAATTCAAGGGTTGTGGGCACTCTTGCGACCTCCTTAAGGTGCAAGCACTACGACTCGATAGCTCGAAACCTGCCATTTCACGGGTTAGACTTGGTTGGAGGATCATGCGACTTTGTAAGTAAGGTTATAAGTACCCTACGCGGGCTATTATATGTTAAGATAAGCATAATATAAAACCTTACGCACAGGCTCAATTACTAAGTCCTGATCTCTTTAAGTAAAGTTTAGGGTTTAGGTCTTGGGGTTTCTGTAAGCGGCGCCTGAAGGACATCTTCCAGCAACACTTCGGCATACGCTAAACCCTAAACCTTAAACCCTCGAACATGTACGGAAAACCATGTATCCTGAAGACGAAACCTAGATCCTGGACCCTGAACGCGACAATCTAAAAAAGGAACACTTCATCATTGGGGAACTAAGTAGCTCAACGCGTGTCGGCTGCCGCAGGGCTTGCGGAGGTTGGCACCGAAATTCTCCAAGGCATCGCACACCTTTCTTGTTGGATTTGCTGTTTTCAGGTTGACTGTTGACTAGGATACCCAGTAACCTAAGAACAAAAAGGCCTCTCTTTTTGGTATTGGGTAACTTTATAAGGAACCTAGGACTACAAAAAGGGAATAAGGGTACTACTGGGCATCCTAGGAGGGTCTTGAGGCTTCGGGTTGTGGGGTTCTGGAGTCCTGAAAGGTAAGGCACCCGAATACGAATCCTGAAGACTAGCTTCTTCTCGGTTCCTGCGTGACCCCTAAACTATAAGGGTATCCCTTTTTTTCCTACCATTCGGTTCATAAGGAGACCCTAAAGCTCTCTTCTTCAACAACCGGGCCCCAGAGAGTTCAAGCTTTCTAAGAGAGAGCTAATATATAAGGCCGATAAGGTTGAAGTTCCCCCGTTCACTATCTAAGAAAAGAACAAAGGGGCAAAGCGTACTACTCAAGAACCTAGTCTTACAAGCCCTTCGATCGGGGAAAGCTTGACAAGCCCTGCATCCTGAACTCAAAAAGTTCGCAAAGGTAAGAGGCCGGAATACCTAAACCCTAAACCCCAAAACCCCCAAACCCCTTGTGTCAGGATCCTTCAACTTCGCAGCCTAAATCCCTAAACCCAATATCTTCCAAACCCTGAAGCCTCACCCTAAAACCCTAAATACGAAAACCTTAACACCCCAAACTCTTATAGAACCCTAGCGGAACCCTTAACGAACCCTGAAAAAGCCGCAGGTAGAGTGGCAAAGGTTGGGGCTTTCCAAGCGCACGACGGGTTTGGGGCTTAGGATTCATGGTGTAAGGTTAAGGGTTAAGGGCTTAGGGTTCAGGGTTGAGAGTTTGGGGTTTGGGGTTTGAGGGTTCGAGGGTTCAGGGCTGAGTGGTTAGAGTTCATAGGGCTCAGCCTCTGGAGCTTCGGGGTACGGATGCTGTATCACCAAGGGAACGAAGTTGGAAGGAAATAAGTTCCTCGTAGAAGCTACGGCAACGCACTAGCTTTGCAGGAGACCGCTTTAAATCAGGCGCAAGAAACCCAGAAAGCCTGGCCGAAAACTACACTGGAAAAGGCTCTAGCAAGTGTGATAACAAGTAGGAAAACCTCAGTTAGGGCACACTAAACCCTAAACCCTAAACCCTAGGTGCCTCGACCGGGAACCGCCTTCCTAAGTTCCAGCACCTAAAGTAACTTAGTTGCTGAGTTCTAAATCCCCAAAAAGTGTACACTTTCAGTTTTATAGTGGGTAATATTATCCCAAACAGTGTACACTTCTAGTTTTATAGTGGGTAATGTCCCAAGAAATGTACACATTTAGTTTTATAGTGTTGTAATATTATCCCAAAAAGTGTAAAGTGTATCCACTCAGCTACGAAGGTAAGGAGGACAACAACTTCACATGGCGATGACCTGAGAAGTCCTGCGTCACGTGATTTACCGTAATGTTATGCCACGCCATTACTTAAAGGATCATGGGACGTAGTAAGTAAGGTTAGAAGTACCTTCATTGGGGTTATAAGTAATTATAAGTATAGTTACCCTAATTATAACCCTCGTTACTCAGTCCCATGCTCCTTTGAGTAGTTGTTGGATGACCCTGCAAAAGCCAAGGCGGGGGGGCGGGTACTTGCGGACGAAGACACCGGCACAGCTCGGAGCACATCCATGGAGACAGGCTTCATGGTCATCACGGTGTCAGCAATGAAGTCTGCCCAGGAATCATCGGGAGTCGGCTCGGCCGGCGCAGCTGGCAGGTTCTGCGGCGAGTGCATGTCGGACAAAGGAGCTTCAAGCGAGCACCTTTGCTGTCTCTACAAAAACTGATAACAATAACAAATGATAATACTGATCCTTTGTTCTTAGCTCTATCTGTGAGGTTGTGCTCAGCATTCGTGGCTCGAGCCGCACACTTTACCAGCAATCCTGCCTTGCGGGGTTTCAACGAAACCTGAGGTGATTCTCTGTTCTAGGGCGTATCACCGCAGTGGGATTGCACGATCTTTTGTGACCCAATATCAGACAAGTAAGAAGCATTGTGGAGAGAACTAGAGGCTGCAAGCCGGTAACTTTCACCCTCGGATGGACAATACCCTGCATCACCTTAGGGGTGTTTACTTGGAGGATCATGGGACTTAGTAAGTAAGGTCATAAGTACCTGAATTGGGCTTATAAGTAGTTATATAAGTAATAACCCTAGTTACTAAGTCCCATGACCATCGATCCTTTAACTAGGGTTTGGGCCTTTGTGTTGATGACGAAGGGAATCAGGCTTAAGGTTGCGTGCATGAATCGATAGGGTATATGGGAGTTTCCGAAAATATACGGGTACCTTATTTTGGGGGGTCCTTATAACAAGGATCCTAGTATTTAGAGTACTATATTAGCGTCCCCTATTTTCGGAATCTCCCACACTTCCTATCATGGGTAGTCAAGGCTTGTGTCCATCAACACTACCTTAGCTTACCAAACCCTACTTTTTGTAGGTTCTTACTATAAACGCTAAAATGGAATTTATAACCCTAAACCCTAAACCCTAAACCCTAAACCCTAAACCCAAAACCCTACTTTTTTGTAGGTTTTGGTAGGTTAAGGTACACTTCAGATTAGGGAGTTTGGGGTGCAGGGTCGAGGAGTTCACGGGGTCGGTCGAGGACTGAGGGCTTGAGGCCTACTTAAAGGATCATAGGACTTAGTACCTAGGGCTCCTTAAAAGGGTTCCTTAAAAGGGGTCTGTAAGGTTTCTATAAGGGGGCTTAGGGGTACTTAAAGGATCATGGGACCTTGTAACTAGAGTTAGAATTAGGGTAAACCATACTTCTAACTACTTATAAGCCCAATGAAGGTACTTATAACCTTACTTACTAAGTCCCATGATCCTTTTAGTAATTTCCCCAGTATCCCCCTCAAAATGCAGGTGCCTTTTCCCGATTACATTTTGTAACTCCCGAAACAAAGGCGACAGCAAGGGAAGGCACGCGGGGCTTCTTCCGAAGCGTGTTCAGAAGACCCGCAACCACAAACCCCTATCCCCCAAACTGCCATTGGAACTTCGAGTTCTCCCTCTGGAAACCCTAAACCGTGGACCCTAAACCCTAACCCCTGAACCCTAGCCCGAAACTCTCAACACAAGGCCCTAAACCCTAAGACCCTAAGCCCTAAAATCCCCCAAATCCTGAACCCTCAACACCTCCCTACGGTAAACCCTAAACCCTAAGACTCTAAGTCCTAAAATCCCGGAAGCCTAAACACCTCCACCTGCAAAGCTCTGTTGAAGGGTTCCTTAGGGTTCCTTTAAAGGGATACTATAAAGGGTTCCTTTAAAGGGTCCCTTAGGGCTCCTTTAAAAGGATACTATGTTCCCCTTTCGGGAGGCTGAGACTGGGTTGCCCTGGGGGGCTGCCAGGGCCCCAGGCGTCCGCCAAAGAGGCCGCATGGATGCAGCGCCAGTAGCCTGGGCTGTTGGGTTCAGGCTTTACTTTCGGGTTTAGGGTTCAGGGGGTGGGGCTTTAGGGTTTAGGGTTCAGGGTTTGGGGTTTTAGGGTTTAGGGTTCAGGGGTTTGGGATTTTAGGGTTTAGCGTTTAGGGCTTACTTGGCAGATCATGGCACTTAGTCATCACCTAGGGTATCAATAAGGCAACTATACTTATAGTTGCGTGTAGAACTCCAATAAATATGAAGATTCTTATAACCTTACTTGCCAAGTCCCACGATCCTCAAAGTACGGTTTGGGTTTAGGGTTTAAGGATTAGGGGTCTGGGGGTTTGAGGATCTGTACCGGGGTTCACGAGGCGATCGCGCAATTGTTGAGGGGAGCGGTGGGATCTGCGTGGGCTTGATAGGCGCTTTTCTGGAGGTGTTCGGGTTTGGGATATGAATTCCTAAACCCCGAAACCCATGAACCCTCGAACCCCTACAGCGCCAAACCCTACACCCCTTTTGGAAATCTTTATGGCAACCACTAAGGAACCCTGAAAAAGCATCCTGAAAAGGCAACCTGAAAAGGCAACCTGAAAAGAATCCCGTAAAAGGAACCGTCAAAAGCAGCCATCATTCCCGTATAAAGAACACTTAAACAATCCCTTAAAAGAACCTGAACCACCAAAACCAAAAGCCCTACAAGCCCTAAACCCTTTAAAAACCCTGAACGTTTGAAACCCTATGCAAACCCTTAAAGCCCAAAACCTTTCAGTCCAAAACCCTTAAAGACCGCAAGCACTACTAAAAATCTAAAGACCCTTTAAAACCCTAAACCCCTAAACTGCAAATTACGGCCACTTGCAGGCTCATGGGACTTAGTAAGTAAGGTTATAAGTACCTTAACTAAGGTTATAAGTAGTTAGAAGTATAGTTACCCTAATTCTAACCCTGTGACAAAGCCCCATGACCCTTTAAGCATACCCTAAACCCTAAACCCTATAGATCCCTTTAAGGAACCCTTTAGATCCCTTTTAAGGAGCCCTTTAAGTGAGCCCTAGTTACTAAGTCCCATGACCCTTTAAGCAGGGCAGGTGGCGATCGACGTCCATCGCCTGGTCCAACACTACGTTCTCCCGGAGGGTGCCTTCGAAGATCCACGGCACCTTGCGGGCTTCCTTGAAGGGCTCCTTTAAGGTTCAGGGCTCCTTTAAGGGATCTATAGGGTTCCTGTAAGGGTTCCCTTAAAGGGCTCCTTCAAGGGATCTATAGGGCTCCTTGAAGGGATCCTTTAAGGGATCTATAGGGTTCCTGTAAGGGTTCCCTTAAAGGGCTCCTTCAAGGGATCTATAGGGCTCCTTGAAGGGATCCCTTAAGGGAGCTTAGGGTTCCTTTAATGGGCTTTGGGGTTCCTTTAAGGGTGCCTTCAAGGGCCTTTAGGGAGTTGCTTTCGGAGTGCGTTTCAGGGCGCCTTTTCGTCTTGGTTCGGGAGTTCCTTGGGGTTCTATCAAGGTTTGATGAGGGTACTATAATAGGATTCAGGGTTTAGGGTTGTTTTTTAGGGTTTAGGGTTTAGGGTTTAGGGTTTAGGGTTTGGGGTTTAGGGTTTCTTTAAGGGTTCCTAGAAGGTACTCAGCCCCTAAGCACAAAGGTTACCATAAGAGTGCTTCTATTGTAAGGGTTCCTCGCAACAGCCAGAGAGAAGCCTGCAAGCCTGAAGCTCGAATCTCAAAGGGGAAAAGGAGGGACCCTTAATGGGGACCCCTACCCTATAATGGGCTATATAATGGGTATATACCATTAATATAGCCCTAGGGGTCCTTGTTAAGAGTCCCTCCTTTTAGCCTTGGAGAATCCTTCCTAAAGCTTCAAGGGGAAGTGGATTGGGAGAAATTCCTGAAGTTGGACTCCGAATTCGTGAAGGCAACCGCCAGGGCGGCGCTGTGCAACATCAACAGTGTGTGCGTTCACTATTTGCACAAGACTGATCTCATTAGGCAGGTGCTCAACAACGTCACCAGCTTTGAAGTCCGTCTTCACAGTCGGGCTTTTGGCAGCTGGGCTACCCTGAACCCTAAGCCCTAAGCCCTAAACCCTAAACCCTAAACCTCTAGACCCCCTAAACCCTAAACCCTAAACCCTAAAACCCTAAAACCCTAAAGCCCTAAAGCCCTAAACCCCTAGACCCCTAAACCCCTAAACCCTAAACCCCTAAACCCTAAAGCCTAAACCCCTAGACCCCTAAACCCTAAACCCTAAATCCTAAACCCTGAGGCGGCTTCTTCAAGATGGACTTTGCAGCTGCGGGCTTCTTGAAAGTTTCTCTGATATTAGCCGATGAGGAGGGTTTAGGGGTTTTGGGGTTTAGGGGATTAGGGGGTTTAGGGTTCAGGGTTTAGGGTTTAGGGGTTTAGGGGGTTTAGGGGTTTAGGGGGTTTAGGGGGTTTAGGGGGTTTAGGGTTTAGGGTTGAGGGTTTAGGGTTTAGGGGTTTAGGGGTTTAGGGTTTAGGGTTTAGGTGTCTAGAGGTTTAGGGTTTAGGGGTTTAGAGGCATCCGCCTTCAAGCGCAGAAACAAGGCCTGTGGATCGGGAAGCAGATCATAAGGGTCCTTTAAGGGTACCATAAGGGATCCTTTAAGGGATCTATAAGGGTTCGATAAGGGTTTAGGGCATAAGGGTCCATGTAAGTAATTTGGGGTTGGTGGCTGGGCGCGACTGCTGGGGGCAGCGGGGCACGAGGGGCTAAGCAGAGTTTGCGCTCAAACCGCTGACCGTTTGTTTCAGGCTTATAGTCACCAAGGGGAAAAGGAGGGACCCTTAATGGGGACCCCTACCCTATAATGGGATATAATAGCTATATTAAGGGTATATACCTAGGGGTCCTTATTAAGGGTCCCTCCTTTTCCCCTTGGATAGTCTGAGGGGCTGGAGATGTAAGCGCAGGGTTAACTCCGAAACCGAACACCCTGAGCTCAGAGCCCTAAACCCAAAACCAATCCGAAACTCGAGACCCTATAAACCCTCAACCTGAAACCCCAAACCCTAAACTCAGAGACCCTAAGCCTCAAACCTAAAATCGAAAACCCTAAACTCGAAGCCCTAAACCCCAACCTTAAAGTCCTAATCTTTTCAGAGCCCCTCAAACCCATGCAATTGCCAAGGCCACAGGTCAAACCCTCAACCCTACTAAAACCCTAAAGTCCGAAAACCCTGCTAAAACCTTAAAGTCCTAAAGCTCTACAACTCTAAACTCAAACCCAAAACCCCAAAACCCTACTAAAACCCTAAAGCCCCAAAACCCTGCAACCTTACACTCAAGCCCACCGAGCCTGAGCACAGAAGGCAATCTTTCCTGACTCCGGCGACGGCGAATCCACGGTGGCCGTGCCGATGGGATAGAGCTCTCCCAACAGGGCGTGCCTCAAGGGTTACTTGGCGGTTCATGGGTAGTTATAAGTAGAATTCTAAGTCCCCTAACATGGGCTATAATCATAGTTGCTCTACTTATAACCCCACTTATAACTACCCCTCAACCTCCGAGTATGGTTTAAGATTGATCGGGTTTAGGGTTTAGGGTTTTAGGGTTTAGTGTTTCGGGGTTTAGGGTTTTAAGCTTTAGGGTTGAAGGGGTGTCTTAAATTTCGTTGGATGGGTTCTGTCCTAGGTGTCGATTTCAACAGTCCCCGGAATGTCTATAACCAGGGCGCTATTTTAAACAATAAAGGAAATTATCCAACATCGATACTTTTGAGGGGGTTTAGGGTTCAGGGTTTCGGGGGTTACGAGAGTAGCGTTAGGGTCGGTTTAGGGCCTAGGGTGTAAGGTATGCTTGAAGGGATAAGGGATCCTTTAAGGGCGAGTTCAGGGTGTAGTGTTTAGCTTTGTCTAGGGTTTGAGTTCAAGGTGTTTTGAAGGTTTTGGGAGACTTAAATCTCCCTGGGCTTTGATTTAGGCTCGGAGTTCTAAAGGTTTAGAGTTTAGAGCCCGAGGGGTTTAGGGTTCCGTCGTTTTCGGCGGTTTAGAACTTCGGGTTTAGCATCTAGAGTTTAGGTTTAGGGCTTAGGATCTACAGGGTTCTACCTAGAGGCTCATACCCTACTCCATTTTTCGGATACTTAGTTTTATGGTTAGGACCTGTTATCTTAACAAGTAGGCGCCCTAAAAAAGGGTAGGGTATGAGCCTTGACTTGGAGGTTCATGGGTAGTTTTTGGTAGAATTATAATAAGTAGGGTAAGTATAATTATAACCCATATTAGGGGACTTATATCTCTACTTATAACTACCCATGAATTTGCAAGTACTGCTGATGATATAAATCCTGCATTACTTTCAGGACCCTAAACTATGGGAATTATGGCTAATTCCTTGTTATTGGTAAGGCAGGATTTATATCACCAACCCTAAACCCTAAAACCCTATAGATCCCTTAAAGGAGCCCCTCAAAGGTACCCTTCTAGATCTCTTTCAAGGAACCCTAGTCATCACACCCTTGTCCTTTTAGAAGTAGTAGACAGAGCCCTATACCTATATCCCTTAGTAGGAATTAATTAAGAAATATTAAGAAGGTCTACTAGCCGGTCTGTTTATTCTTTTGCGGGAACCATGAAAAAGGACAAGGCCGAACAGTCATCAACCGCAGGACCATGGGACTTAGTAAGTAAGGTTATAAGTACCTTAATTGGGGTTATAAGTATGGTTACCCTAATTATAACCCTCGTTACTAAGTCCCATGCTCCTTTAAGTAGTCATCAACCGTAGGTAGGGTTTAGGGTTCCGACTTTTTGGGTGGCTTAGAACTTAGAGTTTCGGATCTGGGGCTGGCGGTTCAGGGTTGAGGGTTTAGGATTTAGGGGTTGGGGTTTAGGGTTTAGGGTTTAGGGTTTAGGATTTAGGGTTTAGGATTTAGGGTTTAGGATTTAGGGTTTAGGGTTTAGGATTTAGGGTTTAAGGTTTAGGATTTAGGGTTTAGGGTTTAAGGTTTAACCCGGGCTCGGGTTCAAGGATGCTCCACCGTCGCAGTGTAATATCGGGGCCTTAGCAATTAGAACAGGGTTTTTGGGGTTCCTTTAAAGGGCTGCTTTAAGGGATACTATAAGAGATCTATGCGGTTACTGTAACATAGGGGCCTTCATATTATTAGAGTTGGGTGTTGGGGCCTAGTATCCTATCCTTATAATAAGGAACCCCTAAACAAAGTATAGGTAATTATGTAAGACCCTATAGTACAAGACTCAACTGGTTTGTAGCGTTGGGACACTTAAAGGTATTTACGAATAGGGAGTTATTTGATTATCTAAGCCCCTATGTATATATATATATATATACTAACCCGTGGTTTTGGGGCTCCCTTGGCTCTTTAGCTCCTTATTCAATAGGGATTATCATCATCCCTGGCTCCTTAGCTCCCCTAACATCAATGGCTAGTATATATATATATGTGTGTGTTGTGGAGGAGTCGCGGGTTCAAGCAAGGAAGCTTTTCGAAGCAGATCTTCCCCTTCGCTCTCGGGGCATCCGGAGCTGCTGTCGCAAGCAGACGCCTGCAACGCTGGGGAGCTCGTTCAGAACTACCCATAGGCCCCATAGTAGTTCCTTTTCGAGGGGTTCATATGTAGAATCCTATATGGTGAACCCCAGAAAGTTGGAACATAGATTTAGGATGATTCATGCTGGGATCCCCTATACTTTAATGTAAGGGCACGAGGCTAATGATGTTCCAGCTTTCTGGCTTCTACTGTAAGGTAACCCCGACAAGGAACTTCTATGGGGCCTATGAATAAGCTGGCGGGACGTCGCTGAAGATGACTTCGGAGGCCTCGTCGTTGATGGCGCATTGATCCAAGGGTAAAAGGAAGGACCCTTAATTAGGACCCCTAAGTATATACCCCAAATATAGCTATTATATACCCATTATATAGCCCATTATACGGTAGGGGTCTCCATTAAGGGTCCCTCCTTTTCCCCTTTGAATTGAGAACCGTTTCACCATCGTCACGGCTGCCGGGTGTTGGGGGCCGGGGTTTAGGGAATCAGGTCGAACTTTAATTAGGGACCTCAAAACCACAAGCACATAAGCATAAGCATTCTATAGGGATATCCCTACCTTATTGGGCTTCATTATAAAGGGGTGTATATGGGATATCCCTAACCTTATGTTTGCGTGTGTGCTTTTTTGGAGGCCCTATTTAAGGTGGCTGGTTACAGTACTTTTCAGGATCCAAAGGTTCGAGAAGAGACGCTTCCTGTAGATGGGCACACGAGGGGTTGAGTGTTTGGGTTGCGGCTCCGTAGAATAGGCGCTGGAAGTGGGTCGTGTGGTGTAGTACACCCAAAGCCCCAAACGATAAACTATACACATCAAACCCCCTAAACCCGAAACCCTAAAACCTAAACTCAAACCCCCCTAAACCCGAAACCCTAAAACCTAAACCCAAACCCCCCTAAACCCGAAACCCTAAAAGCTAAACTCAAACCCCCCTAAACCCGAAACCCTAAAACCTAAACCCAAACCCCCCTAAACCCGAAACCCTAAAACCCAAACCCAAACCCCCCTAAACCCGAAACCCTAAAACCTAAACCCAAACCCCCCTACACCCGAAACCCCTAAAACCTAAACCCAAACCCCCCTAAACGCTATACCCTAAAACCTAAACCCCTAAACCCTCAAAAACGAAAGCCTCCAGCTGGAGCCCGCGAGCAAGAGAGGTTGAGGTTCAGCCCGGGCGACACAACTTTTGGGGCTTGGCGCGTTTAGGGTTTAGGGTTTAGGGTTTAGGGCTTCCGTCTTTACAGGGTGTTAAGGTCTGGGGAAAGACAGGTAGGGCTTAGGAGTTACATGCTGCTTCTTCGAAGCAACATAAGAACCCGATTCTAAGCCCACGTCCCGCACATATGGTCTACAACCGGGTGATTACACAATTCAGTTCTGAAAAAGTGAGAAACTCCAGCAGTCATGACACCAAGCCCTAAACCCGAAGCTCTGAACATGTGAAAAGATGCAGCTCTTCCGAGGACGCCAACATTCTTACCTTTGGTTAGTAGGGAATGGGAGAATGGGGTACAATTATTAACTACTGTTACTACCGTTCTTCCATGCCCTACTAACGAAAGGTAAGCTTTGCCAAGATGCAGCAGGGAAGACTTGCCTGACGCCACGCCCCCCACCACTGCCACCTCGGAAAGCGGGACTCCTTATCACCAATTCCAGGCTTGTATGGTCTAGAGTTTAAGGCTTGGGGTTTAGGGTTTAGGGTTTAAGGCTAAGGGTTTAGGATTTAGGTAGTTTAGGGTTGTGTAAAAGGGCTATACAGATATGAGTAGCCCCTACTAGTCCTAACCCTACTTAATTACCGCCCACTTGCTGGGTTCCATGAGCATTCGGGCACTCCCGAATCCCTGAAACCCCAAACTCAGAATAATTATGAGTTCAGACACATTGATAAGGGATGTAAAACTAGTCCCAAAAAAATAACCTTGCTCTAACATGCTTTAGACTAGGTCTAGTCTTAAGGGTTCTGCCTCCTAAACCCTAAACCCCGCAACCCTACACCTAAACTGCTAAGCCCTACTCTCTTCTTCAACAACCGGGCCCCAGAAAGTTCAAGCTTTCTAAGATAGGGCTAATATATAAGGCCAAAAAGTTTAAACTTGCCCTGTTCACCATGTAAGCCCAAACCGTCAACCTGCAAATCCGAAGCCTGAAACTTTCTTTATCCAGGCTTCGTGGCTAAATTCCCGAGGCCCTTCCCTGAAACCGCTGTGCGTCTCGCTGCGAGGGCTCTACTCCAGGGGCCTTGATGATTACTTGGCTGCCTTCTGAACCCCTCCTAAAAGTTAAACTTTTAGCCCCCTTATTATGGTTTATATAGAAACCCCAAAAGCTAAAGTCCTAAAAGCCAACCAGAAGAACGCCGAGGTCAGAATTGGGTTTTGGCGCAGTTTCTCGCAGGTTTCGCTCGGCGTCCTTATCGTTTGCCTTCGCGTCCTCGCGGCCATGTCGAACTCTGGGCCGGAGTAGAAAAGGTGGTCGTGCTGCCGATTCTGTTTAGGGTTTAGGGTTTAGGCATTTAGGGTTTAGGCGTTTAGGGTTTAGGATTTAGGGTTTAAGGTTCAGGCACGTCGTCGTGGCCCTCACTGCATGTCCGCCGCCAGCACATCCAAGCAATTGTTGTAATTCCGGACTAGCAACACCAGGTCGCATATACCACTTCCAGCGGAAACCGTGGTCCCCGACGGACCGGAGCCAGTCTTGCCAGGCTTCGGAACATTTGCGAGGCCCTAAACCCTAAACCCTATTGTGGAGTCTGTGGGCGAAGATCGATCTCCTGAAAGTGCTCTTTGAAGACTAACCCTAAGAGTAACCTAGGAATTAAAAGGGTGCCCTTTTGGGTTTAAAGGGTGTTATAAGCGAACCTAAACCCTAAAAAAATGGAACAAGGCCCCAAACCCCACGGATCTGGGAGCTGCCGCCAGCTCCTTGCGGCCAATAGTGATGTCCAGGTTCCGCAGAACCGGAGCCTCCGGATGTCAGGCGAGTTCGTCTAGTGTTTAGGGGCTTAGGGCTCCTTTAAACGGATCTACAAGGGCTTTAGGGTTTAGGGGTTTGGGGTTTAGGGCCTAGGGTTTAGGGTTTCGGGCTTCGGGTTCAAGGTTTAGGGTTTTCAGCCTCCGGATTTCAGGAACGTCTTTCGGGTTTAGGGGCCTAGGTTCCTTTGAAGGGATCCATAAGGGCTCTATAAGGGTTCTATATAAAGAAATTGTTAAGGGTTTGGGTGCCAATAAGTTTCGACCGAAAGTTTTGACCGAAACGTTTTGACCAAATTTCCTTTTTGAACTTGTTTTGGCAATGCTGAGCCCCGGATGCCGCCTAAAACCCAAACTTCCGGCATAAGCGTGGGAGAGCGGCAGGGATAGGGAGAGGGGGAGGGAGAGGGGGAGGGATAGAGAGAGGGAGAGCGAGAGGAAGAGGGAGAAGGAGAGGGAGTGACGGAGACACAAAACTCCACCAATTTCAATTCAGGTTCCAGTTGCAAGACTCTCCAAAATTCAAAATCAAGTTCCAGCCCCACAACTCCTGCCACGTGGAACCTGATTTGTATTTGGGCGGAGCTTTGTGACTGAAGCTGGTTTTGGGCTGGGTTGGGCTTGAAATTGACGGTTTAGGGTGCTCAACTCCAGCAATGACAAACAATTTCTATTTATTTCCTTTGTGGTGGTGAAGGGTTTAGGGTTTAGTAAGGTATCCCTTTGGGTTTTTCCAATTCAGCTGGCTCCAACTCTGAAAGAAAGAAACACTGGTGGCCTTTTGCTTTGGGGTCCTTAGTAAGGTAACCGCTTGGGTTTTGTCCAAGTCAACTGGCTCCGTGTTGAACTCGGTTGGTTCCACTACACCAGAACAGAAGGAATGGTCGCCCTAGGCTTTGAAAGCCTCACTAAGTTCAAGTGTAGGGTTTAGGGTTTAGGGGTTTACGGTCTAGGGAGTCTAGGGTTTACGATGACAATATAACCAAAGGTTTAAGGTTTTGGTTTAAAGTTTAGGGTGCGTTGTGGGGTTGGTTTGAAAGTTCATTCTGCAAGAGCTTCGGACAGGGCAGAGGGCAGGGCAGAGGGCAGGCAGGGCAGAGGCAGGGCAGGGAAGGGCAGGGAAGGGCAGGGAAGGGTAGGGAAGGGAAGGGCAGGGCAGGGGGCCAGCAGGGCAGGGGGCCAGCAGGGCAGGGCAGATTCAAGACGTCGGCGTTGAGGTGCTCAAAAAAGGCTCTCAAGCTCATCTCGTCAACGGGGACAACCTTAAGCGTGAAATCATAATCTGATTTCACGTCTGCTTCGGTTGATGTTGAAACCGTTGATAATCTGACTTCTTCGCGTTTACTTAGCGCCTTGGACTTGATGTAGTGCTTGAGAGTCGTTTTTGGTGCCATGGCTCTAGGACTATCTGACTACCACCTATGACTTCTTTAAAGCTACAATGCTACAATCATGAACTCAAGTTCCTCATGCAATCACACTTCACGGCAAGCAAGGAGACATGAAGCAAAACTCGCGCTTTAGTGACTTGGATTTTTTGACTTCTGCTCTTCAATGCAACAGATTGTGTAAGTTGAACCTAAAGCCCTGTGGCTACCTCTAGGTTCTCGTTGCATCGTCTGTTGATGCAACGGCTGTTGGCAAAAAACCCTAGCGAAGTAATCACTCCGCGATGATGCTAATCATGTTGTCCTCAAAGACAATGTTCTCATTCATGCTGAGATGCTTCGTTCGGTCGTTGACCGTTGCGACATCATGCTTTGCCTCAATCTTGCCTCCCTCCTTTGGTGGATGAGCAGCGCTTTTTGTTTGCACAAACCGCGTCAGACATTGACGGAGCAATCTTTCTGCACAGCTCACGTCGGAGATGTGCCACTGTCGAGTCTGAGTTGGAGGCGATGAAAGCTGCAAATGTGGAGGAAATGGCCAAGCAGAAGGCCAAGGACTTCAAGAAGAAGAAGAAGGCCAAGGCCAAGGGCAAGCAACCGAAGAAGCAGAAGCAGAAGAAGAAGAGGACCCGCACCAGGGAACAAACAACGGCAAAGGAAAGGCTACAACGAACAGGAGCAGGGAGAAGGAGAAGAAAGAGAAAAGCCGGAAGGCAGCTTTGAAGTTTAAGCGGAAGATCAGGTACCAGGCCGAGATAAGGGTGAGGGATCAAAAAAAAATTAAATAAGGATCAAAAAAAGTTAAATGGAAAGATCAAAAAAAATTAAAATAAGGATCAAAAAAAATTAAATCACTCAAAATACAGCAATTCCTGGGGCAGAGGCATCAAAAAAAAATTAAAATAAGGATCAAAAAAAATTTAATCACTTAAAATACATCAATTCCTGAATTTTTCCAAGGGAAAACACTGTTTTCCTAGGGATTTTCTTTTGTTTCCTTAGGATCTGTTTGGTTTTTTCCTCTGGAAAACACGATATTCCTGCGGATTCCGTGGTATTTCCCTCAGTTTTCCTTGATTTTTTGTAGGAAAAACTTATTTTCCTATTACCTATGGCGTTCGGTTCATTTCTTCAGGTTTTCAGAAGGACAACATATGGTTGTTCCTCGGGAAAATCAAATTGTCCTTACAATTTCACATTTAGGACGGATTTCCTGTTGTAGATGTTGCTGGTATTCCGCTTCATCATCTATCTTAAACACGCCCCTCATTTGGCGATTCTGGTTCAGCATGTATCTACAAGGGCGGAGACGCCCTCATTTGCTGGGTTTCAAAAAAAGGCATATGCTTCAAAGCAACCCTGCACGGCTTAAAACAACCGGGGGGGTTGGGGGGGGCGCAGCCCCCCCCATTTGCAGAGACAACGTTCACATGATGGGCTTCGAGAACACTCTTTGAATCAAGCTTGCACGTCTCGAAAAGCGCGGCGGCGGGTGTTTTGTTCTTCCGTGCCTGTTCGTGTCTCTTCTTCCGTTAGCATTCTAACCTAATATATATAACATAGTAAACCAGAAGAACGACATAAGATGGTTCGACAACACAAAAATGGTGTGACATTTTCTGACATAACAGAACCTTGCTTCTTATAGCATATAATGGCATACTAAAAATACAACAATACAATATAACAGAAGATGACATAGAACAAAACAACATCTTAGTTTATAGTGTAGTACATTGTAACATAGTACAATACAGTCTGCATATTTACAACATAATATGTAGTATATTTTATAACATTAGGTTACATTATGTTATATTATGTTACGGTACATTACGATATTATGGTAAGTTCGATTGGACTATGTAGTATCCTGTTGCTTGTATCTTTGTTTCTGTGATTCTTTCATATTCTTTCTCTTTCGTCTTTTCCAACTTTGCTTTTTTATTCTGGACTTCTTTCTTTCTTTCGCTCGTTCATTTCTTTTCTTTCTTTCTGTTGTTCTTTCTTTGTTCATCTCATACTCCCTTCCTTTCTTTCTTGCTTTCTTTCTGGTTTGATTTATTTCGTTCTTTCTTTGGTTCGTTCTTTCGTTCGTTCTTGGTTTCGTTCTTTCTTTCGTTTTTGCTTTCGTTCTTTCGTTCTCTCTCTGGTTCTATCTTTCTTTCTTTCTGTTTTCCTTTCTTTCGTCCTCTTTAGATACACTAATTTTTGAATTTTTCCCAGGGGAAACACTGTTTTCATACGGATTCGTTTTCATTTCCTGCGGATTTGCTTGGTTTTTGCTCGGGAAAACACGATTTTCCTACGGATTCCGTTTAGGCCTTCGGGTTTAGGGTCGGAGTTTAGGGTTTGGGGGTTTAGGGTCTAGGCGTTTAGGGTTAGGGTTTAGGGTTTAGCGCTTCGGGTTTAGAGTTTACGGCTTAAGGCTCAGATGTTCTGGGCTTAGTTGGTGCTCGGGGTTCATGACCTCGGCCGGCTTCACAACTGCAAACAAACCCAGGATACTTGGAGGTTCATGTGTAGTCATAAGTGGAGCTATAAGTAGGATGAGTAGAATTATAACGCATAACGCATTTAGGGAACTTATAACACCACGAATAGCCCCATGAACATCCAAGCAGTTGTGCCTGCTGAGGCTTGCGATCTCAATTCGCTCGAGCTTGTGTCGGGGCTTCTTGCGTGTGCAGTTCTGCGGATTTCAAGTGTACAGTGTTTCGGCACCCTAAACCCTCAACCCCTCAACTTAAACCCCTACACCCTGAACCCCAAAACCCCTAAACCTCTAAACCCCTAAACCCCTAAACCCTAAACCCCTAAACCCTAAACCCCTAGACCCTAAACCCTAAAGGCCAGCCCTTCTGCGAAAGCGTGGCCACAAACATAAGATAATCAAGAGAATGGACACCTTTACGGTGCACCTGGACCCTAAGGAACCTACCTTTTTTCTAGGGTTCCCTCATATGATTTCTTTACATAAGTCCTTAAAAAGTATGTTATTTGTCAAAATTAAGGTCCCTTTTTTGGGTCCCCTAGTATAACACGGCACCTATTATTTAGGGTACCCAAAAAGGGACCTGAATTTTGACAACTACCCATGTATAAACGCACGTGACTTCAACACGATCGCGGCGATATGCTTACTGTCACCTTAAAGCCCTAAACCCTAATTGCTGACAACTTGGTTCTTAGGGGTACTATCGGGGCCTATTTTTCCTTTTTTTGGGTGTTCCTTATCATAGCTATAGTACAGCAGGCCCCAAACCTTATTCTAATTATTAAGGCCCTAGCAAAAGCCCTTGAAAGAGACCTCAAACATCCCCTTGAGGCCGAAGCCCTGAAAAGCCTATGGTGAACCCCAGAAAGTTGGAACATAGATTTAGGATGATTCATGCTGGGATCCCCTATACTTTAATGTAAGGGCTCGAGGCTAATGATGTTCCAACTTTCTGGCTTCTACTGTAAAACCTTAAGCCCAAAGATTCTAAGAGACCACTTAACGGATCTAGGGGCTATGAAGGTGGTAACTTTGCTTATACTTACCTACATCTCCATTAAAGGTACTTATAACGCAGACCCTTACTTCCCAAGTCCAATGATCCTCCAAGGAGTCCCTAAACCCCTAAAACTCCCTGGCAATGCACGGTGATGGTCTCAGGATTCCATCAATGCATGGTGAACCTGAACCCCTAAACCCCTGAACCCCGAAACCCCTAAACCCCTAAACCCCTAAACCCCTACACCCTTAAACCCTAAACCCCAGAGATCCCTTGAACGAACACTTTAAGGACCCCTTTGAAGGATCCCTAAACCCTAAACCTTAAATTTGGGTTTAGGGTTTAGGGTTTAGGGTTTAGGGTTTAGGGTTTAGGGTTTAGGGTTTAGGGTTTAGATGGGTGCCTCCTCCTTGGTGTAGGTGAAGCTGCCGGAAATCTTCAGGGCATGCACTGGGCCTCGGACGGCTCTTCACTTCAGGAAACATAGAGTTCCTTTAAAGGGATCCATAGCGGCTCTATAAGGGATCTATAAGGGCTTAGGGTTTGGGGTTGAGGGTTTTGGGTTTAGGACTTCGGACTTAAAGTTTCGAGTTTAGGGTTTACGGATTTCGGATGTTGGGTTAAGGCGTTCTTCTATACTATGGGATTTCAGAGGTGTTTCTATAAGGGTATCGGGGTTTAGGGTTTCGAACTTACACTGGCTTCTACAACGGTTCAGAACTTGCGATAAGGGATTGGGGTTTAGAGCTTAGAAATTATACGGGTGTCTACAATGGTTTAGGGTTGAGAATATATATTCCAGGGTTTCTATAAGGGCCTAGGGTTTAGAGTTCAGGTGTTCTTTGCTTCAACGAAACATTGCATGGGCTTCAGTGTCAGTAGGTAACATGATATGCCCTCGACCCTGCACCCCAAACGCTGAACCCTAAACCGTTGCTGAGGGCTCCGTGGTTGGAAGCATGCTTCAGGACACCATGTAGCCCTCCGGGTCACTTCAAACAAACATGGGAAAACCCTCAACACTCCTAATCCTTGAACATGGGCGTCTGCAGAGTGTCAGGGCTTTTGTTCGGGGTACTGAAGGGGTGTCTAGACCCAGAGAGCCCAGTACCCCTTAATTAAGGAATATAGCTTAAATCACAATATGAAGTCCCGATGATTTAAGGTATCTTCCTCAATTAAGGGGTATTGGGCTCTCTGGTAAAGGGCCTGGGCAGTCAGCCAGGTTCCCCAGAAAGGGTGCCCTTTTCTTCTGTACTCGTTTCAAATAAGGAGACCCCAACATATACAGAGCAAAAGCAGGCCACTGAGGAACCTAGTAGATCCTAAAAGTGTTGGGGTTTAGGAGCTTTGACGCAGGGGGGGTAGGGCTTACGGGCTTACTGCTTAGGGGTTTCGTGTTTACGGCTTAGGGTTCCTTGAAAGGGGTCCTTAAAGGGTTCCTTACAGGGATCTATAGGGTTTGGGGTTTAGGGCTTAGTGTTTAGGGCTTAAGGTTCAGGGCGTAGGACTTGCGGGTTGCATAAGGGCTTCTTCAGGCTGCGAAAAAATGCTCATAAGGTTCGCCAAGGGCCAGGGCTTTATGAGGATTTGACCTAAACCCTAAACCCTAAACCGATTAAGGGTTGAAGGACTTTAAGCGACACATGGGACTTACTCAGCGACTTACGGTCAAGGATTCTAGGGGCTCCAGGGCTTTATAAGGGTTGCTACAAAAGTCAGTACGACGGATTCTGTTGACAAAAGGCTCAGGCATGAGATACTTTAACAGCAACCCGAGACTTAGTGATACAGGGGTATATCATCCTAACATTACATGAGGAAGCCCGAAGAAATACTTACAGGATCGGACCATGTAAGTAGGATTTACGGCCTCAGGTTTTGAGGTTTTTTACGGCTTTGGCTACAGAGTTTGGGTCTCCGGGCCACGGATGTAGGGCTGAGGCTTTATGGGTTAAGCTTCAACACGTGGCACGTAGGCCGCAGCATCCTGTACAGTTGTCAAAAAGTTGTCCTTTGGGCTTCCAACGGAATTGCCAGTCAAGGAGCTTAGTAGGTGGGTTAGACACAGGGTTAAAGACGGGACGGCTCCTTTTAAGGCACCTACTCTGAACCTACGTTGCAAACACATCCGCTGGCGTCGCTTAAGGCTTAAAGTATGCTTAACCTGCGCATGCAATCCCTTGACCTGGAATGTTCAGGCCCTTGCTGTGAAGAGCACAATCTTGGAGCTAGGGGTATAACCCTGCTACAGACGAAGTTACCGAAACCTTGACTTCCTTAACACTGTGTCGAAAGCTGGTGCAACTTAATTTCTGCAGTTGCGCCGAAAACTGTCATATAGAATCACCACTGCTACTATTGAAACCTTGGCTTCTCTAAAGCTGCACCGAAACTGCCAAGCACCATGCTCTTGGTGGAATAGCACCACCCAGAATTGCATGTTGCAACAATGGAAGTCAGAGCTTGCATGTAAAATCGACAGCAAGAATTAAAAACAAAAACTTGGTTGTTCTCCAGTCCAGTTGATTGAACTGCACCACTCGTCATGACATCCGCCAACCATGTTGTTCATGACCAAACATATAATCCCAACTTCATGCTCAACGCGAAAATATGCGAAAAAATGGTCTTGCTCATTACACACGAAAGTACCATTAAGCATGGAAGACTACAAAGCATCACTGCCGGCATCATGAAGCACACAAACACAAGCATGACACAAGCACGAGCATGGGAGGTCTGCTTCCTTGCCGAAGGCTGTTCACGTACACAGATCGGCTCGGTGTCTAAAGGGCTGCTTTACAGCAAAACAGTGAGCAAGGTGCGCCTTCCTTGCCTGCTCGGCATTGTTCCTTTCGAGCAGCACCTGTGCCTGCACGAATCTACGAGCTGCAAGTGCTGTCCTTTCATGCACCTTCCTCGCATGTGCGTATAGCCCCATGGTCGCTCCTTGAGCAGCATCACCTTCTTGATTGCGGCTGCCTCCTGCTCGTTCGTCTTTTCTTTTGCCTAGCAAAGCTTCGGAAGAACAGGGTGCAGGACGAGGCTCCCTCTGCTCTGCAATTCCGACGGCCGTGCATTCCCAGCGCCCGTGATTTCGGTGCCAACCAATGGAAAAGGAGGCTTCAGGAATCACGAGGACAAGCCAAAGCGGTTCCATTGGAGATGGGTGCAACCTTGTGCATTGGGCGTTCGATGCGCTCAATCTCTCCGACGTCCTCCAGATGGACACTCCAAGGCTGTTTTTGTTGCGTGTAACAAATAGACCAAGTGGGGTACAGGCGTCATTCGAAGCAACAGCAGCAATGCTGTTTCATGTCTCGAACCTCGAGATTGCGAGGCTCCAGGAAGGCCTTAAAACCACAAAAATATATTAAACACCCAATTGCCAGACTCTACTATGCGCTCTGAACCCAAAATCCTAAACCCTATAGCTCCCTTATAGACCCCTTATGGATCCCTTTAAAGGAGCCCCGGGCCCTGAACCCTAAATCCTAAACCCCAAACCCTGAACATCATGACCTCCACCCGAACTTCACCCCAAGGCGCTCCGCACAAACCAAGCAAAGTCTCTGAGCATAATTTTCCACAGGAGATATATGCATTTGTGCATGTAGGCGTGTACTTAAGACAGTAAGTAAATAAATAAGTCAGCAAGTAAGTATGCATGCATGTATGCATACAGGTTGATGTCCAAGCAATGTTGCATAGCTTTGGGTTGATAAAGATGTGTATGTGTCTGTTTAAGCATATAGGCATGTGTACATGCATTTGTATCAGTCTATGTATATGTACCTTCATATGTATACGTACATGCATATGTACAGGTGTATGTATACATATGTGTATACGCATCCGAAACGGTATCCGTGATATTGTTTTCTATATGTATATATAGATGTCTATCGCTATGTGTACGTGTATGCGCATGTGTATACATATGATATCCGGAGAGTGTATCTGTATGTCTATGTGTGCAAATATAGGTAAATGTACATGTATATGTACGTACATACGTATGTGTGTATATATATATATATGAAGAGTGTTTGTATCGACCCAAAGTTACCACAAAAAACGAAGCTCGCATTGTTTCATAAAACCCTGAAAAAGAGCCCTAAACCCTAAACCCTAAAAAGCCTAAAGCCCTACAACCCTAAATCCCAAAACCCTAAACCCTGAAAAAAAAAAAAAAACAGACAAAGAACCTGTTAAAGGAACCCTAAACCTAAAGCGAGAGCATTAAGTTGAGAAATCCAAACCCTAAAACCCCAAAGCCCTAAAACCCTAAACTCTATAGATCCCTTTAAGGGCCCCTTTAGGGAACCCTTTAAGGATCCCTTTTCAGGACGCCCAAACCGTCAAAGACCGTGGCCCGGGCTCGGTAGGATGGCTCGGGGCGCCTCGTTTGGCGGCCTCGCGCTTAAAGGATCATGGGACTTAGTAACTAGGGCTCCGAAAAAGGGCTCCTTGAAGGGGATCTCTAGGGTTTCTATAAGGGGGCTTTAGGGGTAGTTAAAGGATCCTGGGACTTAGTAAATAGGGCTCCTAGAAAGGGCTCCTGAAAAGGGGATCTGTAAGGTTTCTATAGTAGGGGGGTTTAAGGGTACTTAAAGGCTCCTGGGATTTAGTAACGAGGGCTATAATTAGGGTAACTGTACTTGTAACTACTTATAACCCCAATTAAGGTACCTCTAACCTTACTTACTAAGTCCCATGATCCTCTAAGTAGACCCTAAACCCCAAATTAAACCGACAGATCCCTTTAAGGAACCCCATAGATCCCTTTAAGGCGCCGTTTAAGGAACCCTTACTTACTAAGTCCCATGATCCTCGAAGAAGACCCTCAACCCTTATAGATCCCATTATAGGAACCCCTATAGATCCCTTTTAAAGGAACCCTACACCCTAAGGTTCACCTTAATTACTAAGTTCCATGATCCTCCAAGCAGCCGTACTCTCAGCTCTTGGAGGCAAGGCTTGGGTTTAGGGTTTAATTCGGGGTTTAGGGTTCAAAGGGGTTTAGGGTTCAGTGGTTTCCCGTACTTTCTCTCAACGCTCGAGGGTCAGGACGCTTTCTTGGGGGCGTTGGATTCGCCCAAACCCTACACCCCAAACCCAAAAAAAAAACAAACCTGAAAGGGCTGCTTTCAGGGTTTACGGCTTTTCTGGCGCAATTGTTTTTCAGGGATCAGAGCTGAGGTTGCAGTGGTGTTTTGAGAGTTAGGGCTTAGGTGGAAGGCTTTCTGTTCTGCTGACCCCGAATTGGCTTCTGCGGTCTTTATCACTGGCCTTTTTACTTGGTTTGTAAAAGTGATATAAGGGGAGAGGTCCGCAGGTATGTTCTCATGTGTTTATCTGTATTTGTACTTTCCCGGCTCTCCATATCTATGTAACAACAAGTGCAGATAGATATGTGGATGGAAAGATAGATGGATGGGTGGATGGATGGATGGTTAGATAGACAGGCAGATAGGCAGGCAGACAGACGGGCAGGCAGATGGATAGATAGACACATAGCTGGATAAATATGCGATATAGATACGAAGATGGATAGGTAGACAGATAGATCGATAAAGGCAGGGTGTTCGTTTGCTGCTGCACTGCACGTTTTAAGGGTGGTATACTTGTTCTTGCGGCCGGATTGAAAATTTTCGTGAGGGGTTTCATAGGATTCTTGAGGAGGCCTGGTCGGGTGTTACCATGGCTATATAAGGAGTTTCGAAAGGTTTCATCAGGTGTTCAATGGTTCTGAAACGGCTTTGTAACGCTTTCTACCAGGGTTTGTTATGGCAAAGCTCAACCTGAAACCGTATGAACCCCGAGAAAGCCTACAAAACGCTTGAAAGGAGCCCCTGAACAAACACTTTACAAAGAACCTCGAAATTCAATAGATAAGACCTCTCAACAGATTGAATTGACGTTTAGGATAACCCTGGTCTTCTCGATTCATGTAGTTATGGGCTTAGCCAAAACTCAGCGCAAGCTCAAGCAACTCCATTGGACAAGGAGACCAGGTGCACACAGCGTGACAGGCGCAAACGACAGTCCGAGTGATAAGCAGCGGCTGGGTTAACGGGATATTCTGAATGCTAAAAAAAGGTACACCACCTCGCGTCGCAAGGCCTAAGGTCATGGGCCCCAGTTACCCAGAGACTCCAATGTCCCTTAAATCAGGAATATACCTTAAATCATATTAGGGATCCTACTACAACTTAAGGTATATTCCTTAATTAAGGGATGTTGGTGTCTCTGGGTACTTCAGCGACTTTCAAAGGTTGAGCCTACCGAACCCAAGGGCGGGACATAGTACCCAAGCACGTCCCACTTGGAGGATCATGGGCACTTAGTAAGTGAGGGTTCCTTAAAAGGCGCCTTAAAGGGATCTATGGGTTTAATTTGAGGTTTCGGGACTACTTAGAGGATCATGGGACTTAGTAAGTAGGGTTATAAGTACCTTAATTGGGGTTATAAGTAGTTATAAGTAGTTATAAGTATAGTTACCCTGATTATAGCCCTAGTTACTAAGCCCCATGATCCTCCAAGCAGGCAAGCTTCTCAACGGCGAGGCCAATGAGGAGATTGAGCAGTAGCCGGCCCTTCCGGCTACAAGATGCAACTGACATGTCCGGGAACCCTAAACCCTAATCCCTACACCCTTAGGGTTTAGGGACTAGGCTAGTCCCTAAACCCTAAACCCCTAAACCTTAAACCCTAAACCTTAAACCCTAAACCCTAAACCCTAATCCCTAAACCCTGAAGGCGACTCTGTGGCCCTGGTTGGTAGAGGCGGTAGAGCTGAATGCCCGGTCGGGCAAGAAAGCTGCTGGAGTCATGTCTGCCACAAAGGCCACGTCCAGGTAGTCCAAGGTTTCGGGTTTAGGGTTTAGGGTCCCACTTGCAGGACGTTTAGAAACTGGGGATGGGCGAAAAAGCCACGGTGGCAATCTGAGGATCCCAATAGTCACAACCCGACCACTCCGGCACAGTGGCTCGAACAGAGAATTTTGCACTTGGAGGGTGGTATAGGCCGTCACATTGGTTTTCGGAAACATGTGCACTGTAAGGGTATATTTCTACCAACAGACTACGATATAGTATGCTGTATGCTGCAGCCTTCTGCGATTGTTGCAACCATAGGTCAAGATACCGTCACAGATCATTGTACCGTAGCTGCAAACTATAGAGGCCTGAATAATTCAAACAGGGTTTAGGGAGCCACCACAACATATATATATATATATGTATATGTATATGCAATTATTAAAGCCCCTGTAGTACAACGTCGCCTGGCCTGCACTAAACCACGGCCTCCAACTTAAACCTGTCACCAAAAACATGAAGAAGCTAGAAGCCTGAAAGTTAGAAAACTGGACTAAAAGCATAGAGACCGAAACACCGCAACTCATGCAAGACCACAACAAAAAAAGAACCCACAACTCCCCCAAAAACACAGCGCGATAAACACCACACAAGTTTAAAAACAAACAGCTTCAAAACGCAAAACGATATTCCCCATCTAACGAATAACTATACATCCTCTGCCTGTCCGGCTGGGCCATGAAGCGGCGAATGCGGTCGAAGGCGTTGGGAACCTGTGTGTTACTTGACAACCCACGTCTTCCGGGTTTAGGGTATTCAGTCATGGATTTGGGGCTTGGGTTCCGGGGATTAAGGCTGGGTGGTTCATGGCTTGGGGTTCAGGGGTTGAGGGCTTAAGGCTCAGCACAAAAGGCTTTTTGGAAAGTTTGAGCTGGAGGGATAAGGTCGGGCCCATTGCTGGATGGTTGTTATGGAATGCGGGTTTTGCCAGAGCTCTCCAGGGTTCCCAGAAGGGGCTCCGAACCGGAAAGGGTTGAATTCCGAAAGGAAACAGAATGCCGAATACTGAACCCTAGGATCCCTAAACCCAACACTATGAAACCTCGATACAGAAGCCTGAACAGCTAGACTACAAACTCGCGATACCCCATATCTTATCAAAAACTGTATAGCCCCATTAAACAGCCCTACATAGAAAGCCCAAGAAGCCAATTTCAAAAACCCTGCTTCATAAATCTATACCGTAAATCGCCGGAAACCCGAAACCCTAAACCCTAGTGTAGAAGCTGGAGAGTTGGAACATCATTCTCTCCGTGCCCTGCAAGTAAGGAATAGGGGATCCCAGCTCTAATCGTTCGAGAATCCATACTCCACAAACCCTAAACCCTCAGCCCTAAACCCTAAACCCTATACATCCCTTACAGAGCCCCTATGGATCCCTCTAAAGGAACCCTAAACCCCACTTGGCTGCCTTCTGAACCCCTCCCAAAAGTTAAACTTGTAGCCCCCTTATTATGGTTCATATAGAAACCCAAAAAGTTAAAGTCCTAAGAGCCAGCCAGACGAACGTCAAGCCTAAACCCTATAGATCCCTTGTAGAGCCCCTATGGATCCCTCTAAAGGAACCCTAAGCCCCTAAGCCCCTAAACCCTAAACCCTCAAAAAGGGAGTCACTATAAAAAGGCCTAAACCCCTAAAACCTAAACCCTATAGATCCCTTGTAGAGCCCCTATGGATCCCTTTAAAGGAACCCTAAGCCCCTAAACCCTAAACCCTCAAAAAGGGAGTCACTATAAAAAGGACCCGCCTCGATGAACTTCTGGAGCCCCACGAGGATGATGGCCACGGCGTTCAGGAAGGAGCCTGGGTTTAGGGGTTTAGGGGTTTAGGGGTTTAGGGTTTAGGGGTTTAGGGTTTAGGGTTTAGGGTTTAGGGTTTAGGGTTTAGGGGTTTAGGGTTTAGGGTTTAGGGTTTAGGGTTTAGGGGTTTAGGGTTTAGGGTTTAGGGTTTAGGGTTTAGGTACCTTTGGTTAGTAGGGAGGGGGTCTTATAAAGGGGTCTATAAGGGTTACTATAAGGGATCTATAAGGGTACTATAATATAGGGGCCTTAGTAATCCTTAAACTTACCTTTGGTCAGTGGGGAATGGAGGAATGGGGTACAATTATAGCTATTTTTACTACCATTCTTCCATTCCCTACTATCCAAAGGTAAGTTTAGGGTTGCCGGTGTTGTGTTAAGGGATCCTTTAGGGGTCCTTTAAGGGATCTATAGGGGTCTTGGGTTCCCAGAGAGCCCAATACCCCTTAACTAAGGGATATACCTTAAATCAGTCGGGGCTTCATATTATTATTTAAGCTATATTCCGAAATTAAGGGGTACTGGGCTCTCTGGGTTTAGGGTTCTAGGTGTTTCTTAAAGGGTTCTTTAAGGGATCTACAGGGGGTCTACAATGGGTTTAGGGTTTGGGGTTTAGGCTTTAGGTGTTGCTTTGTGTGCGGGTTTAGGGTGTAGGCTTTGCTCCAATATCCCTTATATACGTAACTTTAAGTTATAGTGGGGACCCTAGTATGATTTAAGGAATATATTCTAGACCCAAGAGTAGCCTAGGAATAAAAAGGGTGCCCTTTTTGGTTTAAAGGGGCTTATAAGGGAACCTGAACCCCCAAAAAAGGGAATAAGGGCCTACTCTAGGTCCTAGTATTTCTTGATTATGGGGTTTAGGGCTTCGGCTTTAGGGCTCAGACGGCAGATCTCTGTCTCTGCTCTGTTTTTCGGTGGGAGGTCGTGTTGGTGAAGGCTTAGGGTTCAGGGTATAGGGTTTCTCTGCTTGTTTTTGGGAGGTAGTGTTGGTGAAGGCTTAGGGTTTAGAGTTCAGGGTATAGGGTTTTTTTTGACAACACGTGTTATGAAGGTGTAGGGCTTAGGACTGTTGGAAAATTTGTATCGTGAAGGTTTAAGGTTCAGGGTTTAGGATGTTTGGAGAGAATACTGATGCCCAGAGGGTCCATACACACTACCATTATGGAATTAGGCCCTAAAAGACTATCACTATTATGGTCTTGGGTTAGTTCCATAATGGTAGTGTGTATGCACCCTCTGGGATAATGGCTTTTAAGGTTCTGGCCAGATCTCTTTCTCAGCGTGTTGGAAAAGCTGTTATGAAGGCTCTACAGCTGATGATATAAATCCTGCATTGCCCATAAGAATAAAAAAGTACCATATCTCCCGTAGTCTAGGGCCATTGAGGCAGTGCAGACTTTATATCATCAACCGAATGAAGGTTCTATGAAGATTCTTGAAGGGTTCAAAACGGCTTGCAGTGGAGGCTTATACCGGGTCGGTGGGATGTTCTAAAAGCGTTTCAAAGATCGACTTTTTGGTATTGTGTGGGAGCTCTCTTTTGTCGGGTTTCGTACCTCTTTTTTCAGGGTCCTGTTGGCGTTGATCTGGTTGGATAGTCATTGGAAAGCCGTTTCCAAGGATTGCATAGGGTTGTTGAAGGGATCTGTAGGGGCTTGTGCTTTACAATGATTCCCTAAAACCCTAGACGTTACGCTTCGGTTCGGGGTCCTTGGGTTCAGGGCCTAGGGTTCAAGGTTCAGATTGACGATGGAAGGTGCAGGTTGACTGATTCGACTACAGCTCTGACGCTTTAGGGGTTTTTGATCTATGTTGACCGCCCTTTTCCTGAATAGGGTTTAGGGGTTTAAGGCTTCATTCAGGGGTTCCTTTACGGGTTCCGTTAAGGGGTTCATAAGGGATCTTTCGTGGTGTAGTGGTTTATGAATGTGCATTGCACAACCATGCACAACCCTCCAGAAACATGAAAAGGCAAGCACAAGTGCCTGCAGTTGTGGTGTCGCGCTGACCTTTGGCACCTAGAACGCAGCACATACGAATGCATCCGCCCGTCAGACATGACCAAGCTTGAACGTGAAGCCATGACGATGGTACTGACATGTACCTACCATCCGCGACGCAGTATTCAAAGTGGAGCCCTTGCCTGCACAATCTCCTGCAGAACACATGGGCAAGCTGACTGTCCACACTGCAAAAACATAGCCACATCAGTCAACACACGTGCCTGCTTTGCCAGAACGCATGCCTGACATGCGGCTTCTCGGTCGCTGTCCGCACATGTGCAGGTCTTCCGACGCCGATCATGTCCATGCACGTTAGGGAGCCTGGCTTCGCCCCCAAGCCAAGAAGATTCCAAATCCTAGAACGACCTATACCTTGAAAGCCATAATCTCGGAAAGAAACAAAACCTAAGGCGAACCCTCCAACCGTAAACTCTAGATCTGGATTATCCAAACCCTCAACAAACTCTACCCTTCACCTTGACCCTAAAAATCGACCCTAAACCCTATAAACTGAAACCGCAACAACCCTGCCCAAAGGAATTCATAAAATCCTCTTATTCCCTCCTTATATATATATACATGTACATACATAGATATCTATATTTTTTAGACATATATGTATGTATACATACATATATTATATATGTATACATACATATATATGTACATACACAAATACATACGCACATACGCACATACATACATACATACATACATGCATACATGCATATGTATGTGTATATACATATATATATATATATATATACATATATATATATATATATATATATGTCTATTTCTTCCTTTGATTTACTTCTATATCCGCTTACATATATATATATATATATATATATATATATATATATATTATACACATATATATGCTTTTACATTCCCTGAACCAGGCCGTGAAAAGTGCTTGGAGGATCATGCGACTTAGTAAATAAGGCTATAAGCACCATTAAATATCTTTCATTGGAGATATAAGTAATCTTTGAGTATAGTTGCAGTACTTATAACCCGAGTTACTGAGTCCGATGATCCTTCAAGTACCCCGAAACCCCCCCTTATAGAAACCTTACAGACCCCTTTTAAGTAGCCCTTTAAGGAACCCTAGTTGCGGGAAAACCCTTATAGAACCCTTAGAGTAAGCCCGTAAATCTGAAGTACCCTTTTAAGGAAAACTAGTTGCGGAGTCCCATGAAGCTTTAAGTAGATATGTCAATCAAAAGGGCCGGAGAGAGAGAGGGCTTATTTGGACTTTGGGGTTTTGGGGCGAAGGTTTAGGGTTCAGGGTTTAAGTTTTGGGCTTTTGGGGTTTGGGAGTGTAGGGTGTGGGATCTTGTATCGGTGAGAAGACACCTTAACCTTAATCCATATTAGACACTCATCTGTATAGCTTAAGGTATACTCCTTGATTAAGGAGCCCCTGCAAAACGTAACGACCTAAGATGTGCCTCTTGATCAAGCATTTTTCCCGAAAACCAGGGGCGTCCCGAGCAAATCAGCCGAGCAGCCAATGATCCGTGACACCACGATGATTTGGTGCGCCTGCGGTGATTTAGGGTTTCGGGCCATTTACTTTGGCAGGGTCTCTGTTGGGTGTATTGGTGGGAACTCCGGCTCTAAAAGATTCTTAAAAGCAAACTATCTGTATCATTGAGGAGTACAATCATCACGATGGTGGAAAGATGTGCACATCTGTCTGCTTCCCTTGTACGCAGTACTCTCAGTTTAATCTCCGTGCATGCCAAGCCCAGAGAGCCCAATACCGCTTAATTAAGGAATATTCCGTAAATTACAAGGGGATTCATATTATGATTTAAGCTATATTCCTTAACTAAGGAATATACCTTAAGTTATAAGTGGATTCATATTATGATGTAAGCTAGATTCCTTAATTAAGGAATATACCTTAAGTTAGAAGGGGATTCGTATTGTGATGTAAGGCATATTCCTTAACTCAGGACTATACCTTAAATTACAAGGGGATTTATATTATGATGTAAGCTATTTTCCTTAATTAAGGAATATACCTTAAGTTATAAGGGGATTCATATTATGATTCAAGCTATATTCCTTAATTAAGGAATATACCTTAAGTTAGAAGGGGATTCATTTTATGATTTAAGCTATATACCTTAATTAAGGGGTATTGGGCTCTCTGGGAGAAAGAGAGCACGGAAGCTGGAGGACTCGTTGGGCGACTCCCAGATGCCGATGCCTCCGAAGAGGTCCTGGACGTTCTTGCCGAGGCCGCTTTGCTCCCTCTATAGAGTGATTTTTTAGGAAGTATAGAGTGGTTTTTTAGGAAGTATAGAGTGGTTTTTTAGGAAGTATAGAGTGGTTTTATAGGAAGTATAGAGTGGTTTTTTAGGAAGTATAGAGTGGTTTTTTAGGAAGTATAGAGTGATTTTTAGGAAGTATAGAGTGGTTTTTTAGGAAGTATAGAGTGATTCTTTAGGAAATATAGAATGATTTTTTAGGAAGTATAGAGTGATTTTTTAGGAACGGTAACAGTAAACCCTTGTGACCTTCAGCCCTAAACCCTAAACCCTAAAGCCCTTATATGCCCGTAACTCTTGCGGTTAATTCGCAGTGTTCGGGCTTTCCCCCGCATGTATTCGATGGTTGGCTCGGCTCAGCTCGTCTAGTATCGGGGCCTTAATTTTCTTTGAATACGATTTTTGTGAGTTCCGTATTATGAATATAGTATAACAGACCCCAAAACCCCAGTCTAATAATTAAGGCACGCATATTCGTTTCAATTTCACCTGGCACTTTGAATCACCCGAAACCCCTATACCCTGCACGCCTTCACCCAGAAAGCCAAAGATAAATCCCTGTGACACCCTGGAAACTAGGGGCCTTAACAAATTAGAATTGGGTTTTGGGGCCCTCATACCATAATCATAATAAGCAACCCCCAGAATAGCATTGGTAATTATTTAGGCCCCTGTACTAAACCCCCATAATACCCCTAAACATACTCCTCACAGACCCCCTTTTAACAGGAACCCTTTAAAGGGAACCCTAGGTACTATTTCGGCCCCAGTTTTCATCTGCAAACCGTTGCTTGAAGCCTGAAACTGGGCTCCCAATCATCACATGCTCTGTCCTGTTACTCACTGTGGGTTTAGGGTTTAGGGCCAAAGGTTGCAACCGGGGACCTGCCCTGCGAGCAATTTTACATGGATGGTTGTCCAAACTAGGGTCCCTTTTTGGGTCCTCAATATACTACGGCATCTATTGTTTGGGGTACCCAAAAAAGGGACCCTAGTTTTGACAACCACCCACATGGAGCCGTCTTCTTCGGTTCACGGCTTCCACCCCCAAAAGACCTTTAGAGACCTTTCAGCGCACCTTCTTAGAGCCAACGAGATGAGTTTAAGTAAAAGTCTTCAACACCGTTATAAAACCCAGGAAACCCTCGCAGAATACAACCTAAATCCTAAACCCCAAAACCCTAAAACCTGAACCCTAAACCCCAAAACCCTAAACCCTAAACCCCAAAAATCTAAATCCTAAACCCCAAAACCCTAGAAACCTGGATGAACCCTGGCCTCCACAAAACTGAACCCTAAACCCTGTTTTTCTTGCAACTACTTGGAGGATCATGGGACTTAGTAAGTAAGGTTATAAGTATCTCAATTGGGGTTTTAAGTACTTATAAGTATAGTTACCCTAGTTATAACTCCCTAGTTGCTAAGTCCCATGATCCTTTAAGTATGGTTTGAGGCTGGTCGGGTTTAGGGTTTAGGGGTTTAGGGTTTAGAGTTTTTAAGCTTTAAAGTTGAAGGAGTGGCTTAAATTTCTTTGGATGGGTTCTATCCTAGGTGCCGATTTCAACAGTCCCAGAAGATCGATACGTTTGAGGGGGTTTTAGGGTTAACTATACGGAACTTCGAACCCTAGCAAAAATCATAATTTTAGCTGTTTCTAGGGGTTGATAATCACCAAAACTTAAAAAATATTTCTAAGTACCCCTAAGTTAAGGATTTCGGGGATCAGGAGATTAGCGTTTAGGGCCTAGGGTGTAAGGTCCTTTAGCTAGCCATGTCAGGCCTTGATGTTTCCCTCGACTTTGAGGAAGTAGAGCCTCGATACGTCGGATTCCGGGGTTCGGGGTTCCGTGTTTAGGGTTTCGGTGTCGGGTTTAAGATTTAGGGTTGAGGGGTAGGGCTTTCGAGTTTAAGGTTGAGGGTTTTGGGGATTGGAGTTACGGTCTACCTTAAGCCGGAATAACCTACCTTTTTAGGGTTCCTTATTATGATATCCTTATATAAGTCCTTAAAAAGGTAGGTTATTCCGGCTTAAGGTAGGGTTCAGGGTGTTGGGTAGGGTTTAGGGCTTCGGGTGTAGAATCTGGAACGCTTGCGAGTTTCTACAGGTCCTGGGTTGGGGTCCCGGACCCTAAACCCCCTAAACCCCTAAACCCCTAAACCCTAAACCCCTAAGCCCTAAACCCCTAAACCCCTAAACCCCTAAACCCTAAACCCCTAAACCCCTACACCCTAAACCCTAAACCCTAAACAACCAAACCCTAAACCCTAAACCCCTAAACCCTAAACCCTAAACCCCTAAACCCTAAACCCTAAACCCCTAAACCCTTTCCGAAGGAACAGGTGCTCACGGGGTTCAGACGGAGTCCCCAGAGAGCCCAATACCCCTTAATTAATAAGGATTATAGCTTAAATCATAATATGAATCCCCTTATAATTTAAGGAATATTCCCTAATTAAGGGGCATTATTGGGCTCTCTGGGTCTAGAAATCGTAGAGGGCGTACCGGGTTTAGCAGATGAGCATATCTGTAACTTTAAGGGTCTGAGGGGGTGCCCAGATAGCACCATAACCCTTAAGTAAGGAAAAGACCTGATTCTATCGCGCCTTAGTATTACAAGCGCAAGCCTTTTCGCAGACTAAGGCTCTTTAGGGTTTAGTCTTAAGTAAGGAAAATCTATCGGTGCGTGAGTATTACAAGCCAAGTCCCTTTCGTTAACTAAGGGGATTTGTCCTCTCTGGGGAAGGCTCTCAAGGTTCTTGACAAGATGTTTGGGTGCTGTTGGGGCGTTAGAGTCCTGTGCAGTGGCAACGATTGGGGGGCTGGAGTTTGGGGTTGGTGTCTGGCGTTGGGTTTAGGAGTTAGGGCTTAGGCTTTAGGGTTTAGGGTTGAGGGTTTAGGGCTTAGGGTTGAGGGTTTAGGGAGTAGGGTGGAGGGTTTAACGTATTTGATTTGGTGGTCTAGAGCCTGGGAAAACCCTAGAATTTGGATTCAAGTTGCAACACAAGCTTTCTGCAATGGTCGGTTAAAACAAGCGGATCAGCGTTCAGTGTTGCAGCACAGAACTTAAAGCCTACTACTACTACTACTACCACCACCTCCTCCTCCTCCTCCTCCTCCTACTACTACTACTACTACTACTACTACTACTACTACTACTACTACTACTACTGTGCCCAACCAAGGTCGAGGAAAGGAGCCCAACTAATTCGACCAGGGTTTCGAAAGTGTTCTATGCGAAAACATGTGGTAGGATCAGACCAGAAAGTTTCTGCACTGTACATATCTATATCTATATCTATATCTATATATCCATATTTCACATGAACTTTCAACCACAAAAAGTCCGCTGCTATAGAATTCTGTCCGGGTAAGCGGAGGCTCTTCAAAGGGGGTACCATGTTTACGGGTCCGTTCAACAACTACTCTTGTATGTTGGTGCCTATATTGGAGTCCGTGGCGACTACAGCGAGCTTCTCAAGAGAGGTGGACAGCATCATGGTTCCAATCTGTTACTTTGTCACCAGCGTTGCTCAGAGTTCAGAAGCCTCGTGCACACGAGCTTGCAGCTGGAGTGTGGCTGTCCGCCCGTTCCTGTTCGTTCGCTGGAGTTCCTCATTTTCTGAAACTCTACAGGGTGAGACTTTGATGGTTGACAGTTCCCTCGACTCGGCCAGGCAGTTGAATTCACTTCACGGAGCTGGGGGTTTGGGAGTGGCTACTGCTTTAGTCTCTGCACATAAAACCCGCAAAAGCCTCCCCTAAACCCTAAACCCCAAATCCTAAATCCCTACCCGCAACACTATTCCTTGCCCAAACCCCTGCGCACATCCGAGGCCGCCGGCATCGTGCACAGCAGCACACCAATGGGGACGGTGGGGCCCAGGGCCGTGAGAATGCCGGTGATCAGCCTGTGGTTGCTGCCACCAAGTTTACGGACATGGGACTAGGACTGAGGTATTTGGGACTAAGGGATTAAGGGCTTATGGTTTAGGGTTTAGGTGTTTAGGGTTTAGGGCTTCGGGTTTAGGAACTAAGGTTTGGAAAGGCTGATTCTGACAAGTTTGCAACCTGCTTGCAGGAGGTTGAAGTTTTTGTCATCTCGTGGAGTGCTGCGTCCAGGCTCTAGTCGTTGTCCTCAACCGGATCCGGGTACTGGAAGTTGGGGTTTAGGGTCTAGGGTTTAGTGTTCATAAACCCTGGCCCTGGACCAAATCATGCCGTGAGAGGATTGGATTTGGATGCCTGGTGGTGGGACAGTCCACCCCCATGTGACGGGCGAGGTGGTTATCCACGCTCGGCGGTCAGTACAGCATGTTGCGTTGTGAAGGCCGTGCCGCCCGGGCAGGAACACCTGCGTGCACAAGTCGAGCACCTTTGGATCCATTGCCTTCAGCACTGCCAAATGTGCCGTTTGCAAAGTGCGCTGGCTTGGCTAAAGATGCATTACCTTGCCGGCAACCAACTCGCGGGTTGATTTGCAGGCTTTCCAGGCTGATTGCCGGCGTTTGAAGCCTCCATAATCCATTCCCCCATTCCGTACTAAGAACCAGACAGGGGCTATAGCTACCCTAAGCCCCCTTATAGAAGTCTCATAGGACCATTTAAAGGAACCCTTAAAGGAACCCCATTCCCTCTAAGAACCAGACAGAATACCGAACCTGCCAAAACCTACGACCAAAGCAGAAAGTACGGCTTAGGGTTTAAGATTTAAGACATCGGGCTTAAGGGGTACGGGGTTTCGGGTCAAGGATTCATGATTCAAGATTTCGGGTTTAGGGTGTGTTTAGGACTTCGGGTTTGGGGTTTAGGACTTCGGGTTCAGGGTTTGTCTTTCGGGTTTCAGGTTTAGGACTCATGATTTAAGACTTTGGGTTTAGGGTTTCTTTAGGACGTCGGATTTGGGGTTTAGGATTTCGGGTTCATAGTTCTTTTAAAAGGTACTGTAGGGTTCCAGAACGGGGCTCCCTGTAAGGGTTCCCTAAACCCTAAACCTTAAACCCTCAACCGCGATTGCGCGGCAGAACTGTGCCATGCCATCGGGGTTGAGGTGGGTCTTGTCGCTGTGGTGCGCGTGCCCTGTAAAAGAAAAAGAGGCATCTTCCAGAATTTGCGCCGCATCCTCGCAGCGAGCCGTGAAGTACAGCAACATCGCGTGGCAGTGACAGCAGACATACAACACAAAGGAAAGGAAGAAAGCTAGATTAGGGCCTCATAGATGGCAGCGCTCGACATACTGGCGGGGCAAGGTCCGGGCGGAGGCGGGTCGCGTTTGCCCGCCCCCCAGACTCCGCGGGGGGCTGGCATGGCTACCGCACGCTGCCGCGTCTTCACGCAGGGAGAAACACAACTGAGCAGGAAACGTCAGCGAAGTGCCAGCGACAAACATCCGTGCTCTCTCCCACAATGCTCCACAAACCCTTCTGCAACGCTTATCAACCAACAGTTGTGGAACAAGTATTCGTCCATCAAGGTATATAAGCTCGTGGTAAGTGAAGTTCAAGGATAGTCGAGATGTTGGGGCCCAAGTTGTGGGATACAAGATCCGAGCTTTCTGGTCTCGTTGTCGACCTGACCTGAGCGTCCGTTAATCTTTCGGTGTTCAACACAACCTTCTGACAGGATCAGCAGGAGCTGCATCGGCATGTGTTCTGCCCTCAACCTAAGCACTCTACATTCGCAACAGCCGAAACATGGATTTGCTGCTGAATGTCGCAACATGCAACCTATCTACCTACCGTCCTATCTACCTGCATGCATACAGAAAAAGCGCCTAGGAAGGTGCATAGAACAAATCAGAGTGTGGATACAAGCACATACACAGACAAATACATATGCTGCACCTACATAAAAAAGTATTGCGTGCAAGAGTTCAACACACAGGGATCCTAGAACCAGCCCCAAGTACAAGGGCCCTCACGGAGTCACACTGATCCTGATGGCAATGTGTCGAAGAGGCAGCCAAGTCTCATGCAAATATCAAGCGAGCCAACATCGCATTGCTGGGCCAACATCGCATTTCTGGGGTTTGCAGATGGGGGTGCCAGTTCAGGAATCTACACGACGGCAGATGAGATGCCACTTTGCAAGATACCCTATACCCTCAACAGCAGTTCCTTGTTCAAAGTAGCTTCTCTATGATGCCTACATACCTGCGTTCTCACAGGCATGGCGGCCCGCGCTTCCTGACGGCCGAGAATACCACTCAGCGTTGTCGACATGCCATCGTCACTGGCCTGCTCCTCCCGACTAGCTGGCGAGCACACTCGGGAATAATGATACCCTGCGCAGAAGTGGCCAGACTCGGCCAACAGCTTCAGATGGGGCAGCAAGTCTATCTTGAACAAATGTGCACAGACACCCTTGGGTAAGAGTTACGAGAGACCTGCTTTTGGGCTCTGCCTTTCTGGGGTCTGGATCCCTTTACACGGGCATCTTCCGTGCTAGCAGTGGAGGCGGGGAGCTAGAGGATAGAGCCGTGTCTTGCACACGTAACTCACGAAGATGCTAGGAGCCGAGATGCGACGATGGCGAATGAGTGCTGGAAGGCTGCCTGTATATGCGCAAATGTCACATTGCTCTGTAGCGCCGCACATGCACATGCAGAGACGCACAGAAAGACACACGCACACACACACACACACACAGACACAGACACACACACACACACACACACATTCCGACGCACACAGTCGCTTTGAGTTGGCAAGTTAATTTCTCTTAAATCATTTGCGGAAATCTAAATCTCCTGTGATCATGTGACTTCGCTTTAGGAGCTGCGCTGCATGCGACAGCCGTGGCTACCAATCAGGAAGAAATCAACAAGCATGGAGAAGCTTATCTTAGCACTCAACACATATAGCACGCTCCTGTCGAGCCCGTGAAGCTCAAGGAGTCATGAATGTTAAAATGCAGCAGACTAGCAAGCAGGCTTGGCGCACACCAGACACATGCAGACACTTTGGCCGAGCTGGGTGACACAGAATCTTCATAGAAAGCCGCACAGAGACGGCGACCTTTCGGCACGACAGCTATGGCTGTGCGTCACGAGCTTCCAGGAGTGGGTTCGCTAGGTGGCTGGGCTGCCTCCTCACTCGATACCGCGACAACGCCATCGTCCTTGTTCTCTGGACCGGGCAGCAAGAACTGCGAAGTAAAGTAATCATGCACCAGGCCGAACCAGCAGGCGACAGATGCAGATGGTTTCAATAATTTAACGCACCGTAGGCTGGTGTGGAGCCAAGCAAACTGCCATGACTGCAAGGATTCACAGGATGTAGTTGCATGCTGACACTGCATGGAGGATTCGATAGACACACGTGGCCACGCACAGCGGCCGAAAGGCAAGTGACGCAGGATCTTCATAAGGCTACCTGTCAGGCTAAACCCTAAACCGTTTAGGATTTCGGGTTCAGAGTTCAGGGGATCCTAAAATCCAATATGTTCCTCCCAAGATCGCCGAAGCGACCTACTTGGAGGTTCGTGGGTTCCAGGGTTCCTTTAAGCGTCGTTCCTTTAAGGGAGCTCGAGGGTTTAGGGTTTAGGGGATTGGGGATTTAGGGTAGTTATAAGTGGAATTATAAGTCCCCTAATATGGGTTAGAATTATAGATACCTTACCTATAACCCACCTATAACTACCCTGAACCTCCAAGTATATAAAGCCCTTACTCGAAGACCAAAAAACACACCTCCATTACGTGTTCCTTTGTAAGGTTCCTTTGACAACAATTTGAGGGTTCTATAAGGGAAATACTTGGAGGATCACGGGACGTGGAATTGGGGTTAGGATGAGGCAATTATACTTCTCATCACTTTTCACCCCAATCTAAGGTACTTACAACCATATACCAAGTCCCATGATCTCTTAAAGTAGTTCCCTAAACCCTAAACCCTAAACGCTACACCCTAAACCCAAAACCCTAGCCTTAGGGTGTATCGAAAAAAGCCTCCAAGCCTATCAACACGAGTCCAAGAGGCATGGCGCCACGGAGGCAACTCAGCTCCTGGGTTTATGTAGGAACTGTAGGTTTTAGGGTTTGGGGTTTTGGGTTGAGGATTGAGGGTTTAGGGTTTAGGGTTTACCGTTCAGGGTTTTGGGCTTGGGAGGTTTAAGGACATATATAGAGAAATCAGAATGAGGAGTTCCAAATAATGTCTAGATTCCTAAGTAGCACCACAGAAGTAAGGGTACCCATTTCCTACTGTTCGGTTTTTATACGCGGTCCCTAAACTAAAACGGGCACAAGGGTACTAGTCAGGAACCTAGGAGATTGAAAACCCCAAACATCCCCTATAGATCCCTTGTGGAGCCCCTTTAAGGAGCCCTTTAGGTACCCCTTTCAAGGAGCCCGAAGACGGTTGATCTCTTACTGCGTGGGGGGCTTGGGGGCTTTCTGCGAAGTCGGAGACGACCAGTCCGAGCCATTACGATCCCCAGCATCCCCTGGCTACGGCTGATGATAGAAACCCCGCAATACGGACAATAAGGATATACCATAATTCCCATAGTTTAGGGTCCTTAAGGTCATGCAGGATTTATATCATCAACCGTCGCAGGGATACCGGTTTCCATGTTACTTGCCGTGTAATAGAGGGGTCCGAATAATCATGAGAGGGTTCTGGGGCCACTAGATTAAATGTCTTATAAGGAACCACCAAGACAATATAGGCAATTACTAAGGCCCCTATATTCAACCTTTGTAGACACCGGCATAAACACGCCACCCTTATAAGACGCTTCCCGAAGATTTCTAAAACCTAGAAAAACGTGTAAACCACCTTCCGAACCCTCTATTCTCCTTGCAGAACCGCACAACTCCTGAAAAGTGCACGAAACCCTTTAAACCCTCGGGAGAAGACTGTAGATCCCACGAAACCCGTCCAAGATCCTTCCGAAGCCCTCTCGAAACCTCAAAGCCCATCTAAAACCTTTCATGAATCCCAGAAAGCCCTCTCCGAAACCTACCAAAACTTGAAGAACCCTAGGAAACCCTGAAACAAAGCTTTGCACAAAGCGTAGAAAGCCCTTTAAACACCCTAAACCCTAAACCCTAAACCTTGTTCCCAAACTTCCACCGACCCGAGCCACCAGGACGCGGCCCGCTGCGCCCCTCTCGAAGGCCAACTTCTCCCAAGAGAGGGCCTGGCAGCGTTCCCTTACCCTGCTTAAGGATCATGGGACTTCGTAACTAGGGTTCCTTAAAGGGCTCCTTAAAGGGGATCTGTAAGGTTTCTATAAGGGGGGTTTAAGGGTACTTTAAAGGATCATGGGACTTAGTAACTAGGGTGATAATTAGGGTAACTATACTTATAGCTACGTATAACCACAATTGAGGTGCTTATAACTTTACTTACTAAGTCCCATGATCCTCCAAGTATAAACCCTAAACCCTAACTCTAAACCGTGAAAGGGCTCCCTTTAGAGGGCTCTTTTAAGGGCCCCTTCAATCAAGGGATTTTTTCAAGGGTTTAGGGTTTAAACTTTAAACTTCTCTCAAGAGAGGGCCTGGGAGAGGTCCGTTAAGGGGATCCCATATAAGGGTGTCCCATAAGGGATCTTTGAAAGGGGATTGGGAGAATTCCTTTAAGGGTTTGGGGTTTAGGAGTTTGGGAGGATCTGTAAAAATAGATGGTGTTTCCTTACTGTGGTAACTTAAATTAAGTTCCTTAGGCCGAACACACTTTAAGGCTTCGATCACAGAGGGGCTTTAACCTCTGAGCACAAGCTGCGGGGTTCAGGGTTTAGGGTTCAGGGTTAGCGTTTAGGGTTTAGGGGTGATTCAATTAGGGGCCTTAATAATTAGAATAGGGTTCCCTTTGAGGGTTCCTTTTAAAGGGGTCTATAACTAATAGGGTTTTGGTGCCTATTATGCTACAGATATAATACGGAACCCCAAAAATAGTGTTCGTAATCAGTTAGGCCCCTATATTAGTCTTCTGATAAACAACCCTTCGCGCATCTTTGCATGCGCGTCAAGCCTAAAGCCTAAACCCTCAACCGAGCCGACAACCCTCCTCTTCTGTGCTTCGCCCTTTCTTCCTAACTGTGGCTTTGCATGCTTGAGGTTGAAGGAGCAGGAACCACAGGGAATGGAATTATGACCAGGGCACCTGCCCTTTGTCTGGGGTTCAGGCGCACCTACGTTGCCCCAATCAAGGTCCTAAACCCTAAACCCTAAAATCAAGGTACGCCACGGGGAAACCTTAAACCTAGGGGCAGGAGGGGTGGAGGACTATACCTGTCAGGTCCTCATTGGGGGTTTAGGCCCCCTACAACCCCCCCTTACCTTCATGGGGTGCTAATGAACCTCAGGATAAGGCTTCTGGGAAAAAGGCAAACCTAAAGACGCCAAAATTTAGCCAACTGGCCAATCAGTCAATTCACAGGGTTAAGGTTCAGGATTTAGGGAAATTAATAGTTTATTGGTTTATAGATAATTAGTTCCAACCTGGAAACGAAACCTCGACATCCGGCAAAAAAATAAAAGCAAACCCGAAATCCTAAACCCAAACACCCCAAAAAAAAGGAAAGCGAAAAGGACTCCCCTGGTTATTAGAAGGCCCAGCCTTGACCGTACGGATGTGAGTCAACGACTCCTTGTTCACGCTTTGGAGCTCGTGTCGGGTTTCGGGAACCTAAACCCCAAACCCTAAACCCTAAGGCCTAAATCCTAAACCCTAACCCCTAAACCTTAAAGTCCAAAGCCTAAACCCTAAGGCCTAAACCCTAAAGCCTAAAGCCCAAAGCCTAAGGCCTAAAGCCTAAACCCTAAACCCTAAGGGCTTAGGAGTTTAGGCGTTCAGGGGTTGGGGTTTGGGGTTTGGAGTCAAAACGCTCTAGGGGTTTCGGGCTTAGGACTTGAGGCTTAGATTTAGGGTTTACGGTTCAGGGTTTGGGGTCTAAGGGTTTAGGGTGTAGGGTTAGTCGCTAGGATTTAGGGTCCAGGGTTGAGGGCTTGACCATCAGTAGATGATGTAATGCAGTGTCTCTGTTGATAGTAGAAGCCGGCTGAGCCCAGCCTCACCTTTGACGACTGATTGTGCTTCACCTCCCGCAGCACATAATTCACATTCACTTGTGTCCACAGCAAGCGCTCTAGTGCTCCGCGCTTGCTTAGCGAAGCCGTCTCTGCAATGAGCTCCGCACGCAGGATGCGAGCGACATAAGGTAAAAGCCAGAAAGTTGGAATATGATTATCCTAAACCCTTTATGGTAAATTATAGACCCTAAAACCTAAACCCTAAACCCTAAACCCTAAACCCTAAACCGTAGCCTACCCTGAAACCATGTTCCAACTTTCTGGAGTTCCCTTTACTTGCGCGATCGGCCGGCTGCTGCTACGTCAGACTCGGGTCCGGCCCCGAACTTGGCTAATATAGGGGCCTTGATAATTAGAATAGGGTTCCCTTTAAGGGTTCCTTTTAAAGGGGTCTATAAGGGGTACTATAAGGGGTATTATGGGGGTTTTGTATAGGGGCCTTGAAAATTAGAATAGGGTTGTGGGCTCCTTAATACTATAATTATAATAGGGAGCCCGCAAAACAGTATAGGTAGCTTTTCAAGCCCCCATAGTACCATATTCAACACCCTTCTCGGTGGGACCGTTCCTTATGCGCAGTGCTTTTGCTGACCGACTGCAGTGTCCGTCTTCCCAAACAGATGCGCAATGCTAGGTATGTTGGGGATTCGGGCTTAGGTATTTCGTTTTCGTGTTTAGGCACTTGGGTCGAGCGCCTAACACAAGGGCTTCAAGCAACTAAGTAAGCCTGCTTCTACATGTGCTGTAAGCACCCCGGCTGGGGAAAATACCGAAACGGACACTCTCTGTATGGACAAAGAGAGGCCCTACTTAAAGGATCATGGGACTTAGTAACTAGGGTTATAATTAGGGTGACTATACTTATAACCCCAATTAAGGTACTTATAACCTTATTTACTAAGTCCCATGATCCTCCAAGTAGTGCTGTCTGCAGCCCTCATACCCAGTTTCGTTGCACGGACTTTTCGGGCAAGACATCCCGCCGGCAGGAAAAGACAACATGCCGAACTCTCCCCATGTATTCTGATTCTCTGTGCAGGGTGGAGGGGTATAGATTCAGGGTAGTGTCTTATGGCTGAATGCTTAAGCCCTCAACCCTAGATCCTATACCCCTGAACCCGAAACCCCCCTAAACCCCCTCAAAACCCCTAAAGCCTAAACCCCATACCCCTAAAGTAAAAGCCAGAAAGTTGGAATATGATTATCGTAAACCCTTTGTGGCAAATTATAGGGTATCCTACCCTGAAACCATATTCCAACTTTCCGGAGTTCCCTTTACACCCAAAACCCTCAAGGTTATGGAATCACTGGGCCGAAATCTGAGTCTGGAGAAAGAGATCTTTTTTCACGGCCCGTGATGGAAACGCCTCCCCGCCCAGGCTGTTGCCCGCACCGAGTCTGCAAATCCTCGGTTTCCAGTGTGCTTCCCTTTCCTGGTTCTATTACTTAAAGGATCATGGGCCTTAGTAACTAGAGTTATGATTAGGGCAACTATACTTATAACTACTTATAACCCCAAATAAGGTACTTATAACTTTACTTACTAAGTCCCACAATCCTACCTAGTATGCCTTCGTCGTCTGCCAGATCCTTGCCTTCGCCAGCTTCCAGCAGCAAGCGCGCGAGTTTAGGGTTTAGGGGTTTAGGGTTTAGGGGTTTAGGGTTTAATTAGGGGTTTAGGGGTTTAGGGTTTAGGGTTTAGGGGTTTAGGGTTTATGGTTAGGGTTTAGTCTGGCCTTCTTTGTCGGCCGTTCTGTGTCTGCCAGGTCTTTGTCGGCGCCGGCTTCCAGCAGCAAACGCACGACTTCGACATGGCCCACCGAAGATGCCCACATCAAAGCTGTCCCGCCGCCTTCGCCTGCCAGATCCTTGTCGGCGCCGGCTTCCAGCAGCAAGCGCACGACTTCGACATGGCCGTCCCAAGATGCCCACATCAAAGCTGTCCCGCCGCCTTCGCCTGCCAGATCCTTGTCGGCGCCGGCTTCCAGCAGCAAGCGCACGACTTCGACATGTCCCTTTGAAGATGCCCACATCAAAGCTGTCCCGCCGCCTTCGCCTGCCAGATCCTTGTCGGCGCCGGCTTCCAGCAGCAAGCGCACGACTTCGACATGGCCGTCCCAAGATGCCCACATCAAAGCTGTCCCGCCGCCTTCGCCTGCCAGATCCTTGTCGGCGCCGGCTTCCATCAGCAATCGCACGACTTCGACATGTCCCTTTGAAGATGCCCACATCAAAGCTGTCCAACCGCTTTCGTCTGCCAGGTCTTTGTCGGCGCCGGCTTCCAGCAGCAAGCGCACGACTTCGACATGGCCCTTCCGAGATGCCGACCTCAAAGCTGTCCAGCCACCCGAGTCAAGCAAGTCTGGATCTTGGGGCAACTGAAGCATGGACTCGACCTGAAGGGCAACGCAAACCCCTGACTTGTAAATTCACCGCTAAACTTTCAACCCTTACTGCAGTGATTTACAGCTCCCCTACACTAAGGGTCTTCATAACAAAATCGCTGTGTAATCCTCAGTATGCAGTGTTCACAAAGCTTCTACCTGTAAAACCATAAGCAACATAAGAAAATAAGACATGTTGATGCTACACTTGTCTTCCAGGCATCGGGGCTCCTACTTTCGCAATTGTCCGGCTTGTTCGGGGATACATTCCGAAGCCGGCAGACACACAAGGGTCCCTGGGTGGGGAGGGGGTCCTTAAACTGGGAATCCCGGTATCGGTTTTCAACAGGCAGCTGCAGGGCTTTGCTGGGATTTGCAGGCTTTGCTCCAAATGGCAGGAAGTACAAGGATAGCTAGAGCAACGGTGTAAAAAAGTCGTGGTTACTTTCACACATGCTGGCCGGGTCCGGAGGTTGCGAGCCCTTTATCCCCTAGTCCATGAAGCTTGTGCCCCGCTTGATCTTTCGTCACCACCCACCTCTGGCATGGAGCCCTGCCAAGCAGCGGCTTCTAGGATGTCAACCTGACTTTGAGGAACGCCAGTGAAACTCAACAGAACGAGACACAGATCCATCGGCGAGTCCAGCGTGTCAGAATCCTCCAACTCCTTGCCATGGGCCAGGACCCTCTGTCTAAATCGCGGTGTCAGGCCAGGCAGCTGACCTTACTTGACCAATATCCTGAAAGAACTCAAGTTTAACCTTCAGGGATTATAGTACCCCAAAAGGTCAAAACCTTAAACCCCAAAAGGTTACAACTCTCAAACTAAGTGACTCATGAGCTGCTTCAAGCCCCGCACATCGCGTATCTCCTCCACGGGTATGCTCGTCACAGGTTCCCCAGAGAGCAGCCTGACTTGAAGCATCTTGGCAAACCCAATCCTCAAAATGCCTCAATGATCTATCGTGGAAAATCCCTCATAGCAAAAATTCGTAGTACGGATCCTTGATGATAAGGACCTTGACTGATGTTGGAGTCTTTAGGAAGAAGTTAGTTAGGCCTATGAAACAAAGCACCAGCGACAGCTTTTGCTAGAGTGAGCCAAACTGTATGGCTGCTGCATGCATCGTGGCAGTGTCAGTTATCCTGCTGCCTCTCTGGAATATCCAACGCAATGCGGCCTTCCTGACAAAGCCAAGACCGCAACACCCAAAACCGAAAACCCTAAACCCTAAACCCTAAACCCTAAACCCTAAACCCTAAACCCTAAACCCTAAACCCTAAAGATCAATCAACCGTGAGACCCTAAGCACGAAACGCAACAACCATGACCCTGTGCCCCCCCGAAGCCAGAGCCCGAAGGTAACCTACTTGGAGGTTCAGGTGTAGCTATAAGTGGGCTTATTAGTAACGTAACTAAAGGCATAACCCATATTAGGGGCCTACTGCCCTAAACCCTTCGAAGGAACCTGACCCCTAAACCCTGGACCCTAAACCCTTCCAGAACCCTTATACCTAGTTCATGGTCGGGATAGGATTAAAAATTCAAACTTCTATTCCTTATTGCGCTTAAGTACCCATAAAAATGTAAAATGTTACTCAACTTTTACAAAGATACGAGCCCTTTGCAGAGACCCTACACTAAGTATCAAGGCCCCAGTTTCGGGCTTCGGGGCGACGTTTGGGTCCGGGCTTACGGACCGAGGTCCAAGCCCTGCACTCCAACTTAATCGCTTTAGGGGTTTAGGGTTTAAGCTTCCTTTAAAGGGACCTATAAGAATTCTATAAGAAATCTATAAGGTTTAGGATTTAGGGTTCCTTTAAAGGGATCTATAAGGTTTAGAGTTTCGGGTTTTAGTGTGTAGGGGTTTAGGCTTCAGGGCTTTGGGCCATAAGGTTTGGGGGATGGGCATTAGGCGTTGGGGCTCGGGGTCTTGGGTTTTCGGTTTATTACGGGTTCAGGGAATGTAACCCTCTGCTAGAAAAACGGCTCCCAGTTGGCTTTCATGAGGCCCTTAAGAAAACGCATAAAGAACTCCAGGCCGTCCTGCAGCCACCGGATGCGTCGGTCGGTGGCAGTCTGATACCGGCGATACCAGGAAAGACGCCTCGCTTGCCAGTGGGGTTTAGGCTTCTGTTGAAAACGGCTCCTTTGAGCGTTCCTGTAAGGGTGCGTTTAGGAGTCGCTACCAGCGGCTCTCTAAACCAAAAACACCCTGAAAGCCATCCAAACTCTAGCAGCGAAAACCTAAACTCCAAGAGTGAGGGTAAAGGGTTTACAGTTTTAGAGTTTAGAAAGATCCGGGTGACTGCATAAGTCAAGCTAGAACAATGCAGCTCCTGCGTCAGAGACCTACAACTTGAGCCGGCTACGGTACTTGTAATCTTCGTCACGCACTCACAAAAGCAAGTACACAAACCATTCAAGTGTCAGCAAACCTCGTAGCAACCCGTACAGAAACCTTTCTTTCTAAATATTACAAGCCCTCAAATCTTTTGGAACACCTGCCTTGAGCCTAGAGCCACTCTAAACCTTGAACCCTAAACCCGATGCCCTACTTGGAGGTTCATGGGTAGTTATGAGCGGGTTATAAGCAAGGTAACTATACTCATAACCGGGACTTATCACTCCACTTATACCTATACTGAACTTAGAACCCTAGCAATTAACTTTAGCTGTTTCTTAGGGATTATAATAACCAAAAAAATTCATGGTTCCCCCAAAAGAATAAACAGACCGGCTAGTAGACCTTCTAAAATAGTTCCTACTAAGGGATATAGGTATAGGGCTCTGTCTATTATTTCTAAAAGGACAAGGGTGGGCAGCCCCTCAACCTACAAAACCTGCCAAAACTCTTCAAACCCTGCTCCCTACACTCTCATCCTTGAGCCCACATCTTGATTACAAAAACCATGAACCGATGAAAATGTAGACCTTAAGGTAAAGACCCTGAGGGTTAGGGTTGAGGGTTTAGGGCTTTGTGTTTGGCGTTTGAGGTTGAGGATTCAAACCCTCAACCCTGAACCTCCAACCCCTATACCCTTAGCCCCAAAACCCTGAACCCTAAACCTTATAGATCCTTTGTAGATCCCTGGTAGAACCCTTATGGATCCCCTGTAAAGGAACCCTGAACCCTAAGCCTGGGACTTCAGGAATTTTCGGATTTCGGACTTCCGGCGGAAGCAGGCCCCGATTCGTGCTTTTGGCTCTAAGCTTCAAGCTTTGGGCTTCCCAGAGAGCCGAATAATCCCGCTTAATCAAGGAATATAGCTTAAGTCATGATATGAGGCCCTCTACAATTTAAGCCATGATCTCTCAAGTTCAATTGAGGAATATAGGGGCTCTCTGGGTTCCTAGTGGTTTAGGGCCGAGGGCTATTCTGATTATTTGGGTTTAGGGTTTAGTAGGGTTTGGGGTGTAAGGGTTACCGGATTTATGGTTTGGGGCTTAGGGCTTAGGGTTCCTACCGCGTTGGGTCCGAGGGGAAGTAAGGTTTAGGGCTGTTAGGGCTTAAAGGGCTACCATAGGAATCCTTTAGGGTTCGGGGCTCTTCGTCTCACAGATCCTCTGGCTGAAGGTAAGCAGATTTAGGCTTTAGGGTTTTAAGTCCACCAATGTCAGGAAAGCTGCCACTGCAGGACCAGGAAGATGACGATGACCTCCACTAGACTAGGATGCCCTTTAGGGAACCCTCGAGAGCCCCCTAAGGAACCCTACTTTAAAGCCCTTTAAGGAAACCTGTTCCAAAACCCTCTAACGAACCCCAATTCTAGAACCCTTTAAGGAACCCTAAAGAGCCCTTAAAGGGCCCTATAGCTAGGATGCCTAGGAATAAAAAGGGCTCCCTTTTTGGTATTGGGTAACTTTATAAGGAACCCAGGACTACAAAAAGGGAATCAGGGTATTGCCTTCTGAACCCACTTTTAGCCCCCTTATTATGGTTCATATAGAAACCCAAAAAGTTAAAGTCCTAAGAGCCAACCAGAAGAACGCCAAGTACATGCTGCTGCGTACTTTTAGGGTTGAGGGTTTAGGGGGTAGTTATAGGGGTTCCTTTAAGGGTCCCGAATCTATAGAGATTCCATAAGGGTATAGGGTGTAGGGCCTACTTGGAGGTTCATGGGTAGTTATAAGTAGGCTTACAAGTAGGGTAACTATACTTCTAACCCATATTAGGGGACTTGTAACTCCACTTATAACTACCCATGAACCTCCAAGTATGTACATGCTGCTACGTGCCGCTACCTTTACGGCTTGTTACCAGTACAGCTTATCGCAGATCATTGTCACGACTATGAATCTCTTCTCCACATTGTTTGACAGATCCCTGGATCTTACTACAAACAGTGATTATTGACACTACGAATACTTTTCTGCGTTTTGCCACCTCTGCTGTTTCACTATTTGGCTACAGTTCGATGAAATAAAGTCCAAAGTCCTCTCGTATCTGAATCTGAAGCCACGATGATCAGGAACCTATGAATACAATGGGGTTCCCTTCTTGGTATTGGGTAGCTTTATACGGAACCTAACAAAACACGAAGGGAACAAAGGCTCACTGGGAGACTTAGTTAGCATCCCGAGTATGAGAGGAGTGAATGAATCAGGGGTCTACATCACCCGCCCAAAGGCCATTTATAGTTACGGTTCTCTACTAAACAACAAGGACGATTGAAACGATCCCAAATCGGTACCTAGCATTTAGAATCGGGTGTCAGGGTAAATGAACAAACCGAAATGGAAAGAGGGACCCCGTTTAGGGTTCACGGTTTGGAGTTTATGGTGGTTTAGGGTTCAGGGTTTGACCTCGCGGTCACGGCACTACAAAAACTTGAGGCCTTGTTTGTGCTCGTTACGGCACTGTTATTGTGGGGGATTGACCTTCTCAGGACCGAACCCGTCAACGACACCCTAGACCCGACAGTTTTTTTACTGTAAGAAAACAACCTCACGAAAGCCTTTAGAAACCTTACAAAACTCAGCAAAGCGAAGGAACAGCTCCCGCTTTTGAACCCGAAATGACTGTTACTGTTCCTGAAAGGCGACGGGAACAATCCCCTCCAGCTCTGATTACCCTGCACCCTCAACCCAAACCTCACCCTGAACCCTAAAAGCCGCAACCTTATGTCCCAAACCCACAGCCCCAAGCCCTAAAACCCTAAACCCCTAAACCCTAAACCCCTAAACCCTAAACCCCTAAACCCCAAACCCTAAACCCTAAACGCCTAAACCCCTAAAACCCAAAGCCCTAAGCCCGAAACCACAACCCCCGGGAACCCCGAGCCCCACCCCTGCTTTCCCGAGCGCCGAGTCCCTCTAAACCTCAAAAAGCCTCGCCGGGCTTAGAGTTTACGAACCTTGGGGTTTAGGGTTTAGGGTTTTAGGGTTCAGGGTTCTAGGGTTTAGGGTTTAGGGTTTTAGGGTTTAGGGTTTTAGGGTTTGGGGTTTAGGGTTTAGGGGTTTAGGGGTTTAGGGTTTAGGGTTTTAGGGTTTAGGGTTCTAGGGTTTAGGGTTTAGGGTTTTAGGGTCTAGGGTTTAGGGTTCTAGGGTTTAGGGTTTTAGGGTTTAGGGTTTAGGGTTTTGGGGTTTAGGGTTTAGGGTTTAGGGTTTTAAGGTTTTAGGGTTTAGGGTTACCATACTTAAAGGATCATGGGACTTAGCAACTGGGGTTCCTTAAAGGGCTCCTTAAAAGGGATCTGTAAGGTTTCTATAAGGGGATTTTAGGGTATACTTAAAGGATCATGGGACTTAGTAACAAGGGTTATAATTAGGGTAACTATACTTATATCTACTTAAAACCCCATTTAAGGTGCTTATAACCTTACTTACTAAGTCCCATGATCCTCCAAGTGCAAGAACCTCAACAGCCTTTTGCTGCAATGCCTTTCCCAATCCTTATCACTCTGCCCTCAGCCCAAAATCCTACACCCTGAACCCTCAACCCGCAAACCTTAAACCTTCTTAACCAAAGATCTGTCTCAACCCTCCGCACTTGGAGGTTCATGTGTAGTTACGAGCGGGGTTATATGTAGGATAACTATACTTACAGCCCTTCTTTGGGATGATCACTCCACCTGTAACTACTCCAAATACCCTAAGACCGCTGAACCCTAAACCCTAATGATCCCTTAAAGGAACCCATAGAGGATGAACCCCCAAGTCTTCTACTTAACTTAAACCCTTCTCGGCTCTTTATCGAACCCTTAAAGGATCCCTTTCCTACTTGTCGGGTATCATGGGGAACTAAATGGTAAGCATTTTGGGTTATGTAGGGGTTATATAGGGACTAAACTACCCCAAACAAGGTTAAAGGTTACCTACTCTACAACTTTAAACAAACTCTGAAAGCCAGGCTCGGAGTCTCCACAGACATGATTTCTCTGAGACCCCCGGCGAAAGGGACGACGTAGAGAGAGCCAACAAATCCTCTGACTCTGGGGTTTGGGATTAGGGCTTAGGGTCTATAGGGTTGAGGGCTTAGGGTCTATAGTTGATAGGTTGGAGGGCTTCGGGTCTAGGGATTTTGGTTTAGGGTTCAAGGTTTAGGGTTCACTATACTGAACTTAGAACCCTAGCAAAAATTATCATTTTAGCTGTTTCTTAGGGATTATAATACCCAGAAACTAAAAATATTTCTAAGTACCCCTAAATTTAGGTTGGGGCTTGGGGTTAAGGCTTTCGGATTTGGGGTTCTGGCTCTGAGGGCCGGTTCAGGTCACGGGTATTCGCGCTAATCCGTACTTAAAGGATCATGGGACTTCGGGTTATATTCAGGGTTCCTTAAAGGGCTCCTTCAAAGGGATCTGTAAGGTTTCTATAAAGGGATTTTAGGGGTACTTGAAGGATCATGGGACTTAATAACAAGGGTTATAATTAGGGTAACTATACTTATAACTACTTATAACCCCAATTAAGGTACTTATAAGCTTACTTACTAAGTCCCATGATCCTCCAAGTATCCTTCAAGCACCGGTGTGTTCAGCTGCGGCGCCCCCATTGTAAGTGCAATGACGGAACTATCCCCCACCCCCCCACCCCTGCGTGTTAAATGAAGTGTTTCCCAACCAATCACGGAACTATCACCGCCCCACCCCCCCCCTGCCCAAGCCAAATTCTTTCCATTTCCAACAAAGTTCCATGACGGAACTATCTCCTCCACCCCCATGCCCCTGCCCAGACCCACCGAACACCGTAAAATACGATGTGTTCACCACCCAGGGCAAGAAAACGCTGCAAATACCGAGGATTCCGGACGTCGCAAAAACGAAGCATTGCAGACACACGAAACACCGACAGCACCGATGCGAAAGGCACTTCGCGTGTAGGAAACGCTGCAAAAACCGATGCAGACGGCATGTCGGTCTTGTGCGCTTACGTCAGGTCGGCGCCAATGACAGAAGACAAGACGTCCCACCTTGGCAGTACCTGGAAACCTAAACATAATTATCACCTAGGATCCCGACAATAGAAAACCTATGTATCCAAAACAACAAGTTCCAAAAAAAAACAACCCTAAAAACCCGAAACGTCTCAACCCTGCACCCTAAACCCTAAAAAGCCTAAAACCCTCAAACCTGAACCCCAAAATCCGGTCTGCAGGGGCACTAGGAGGCTCACGGCTACTTAGGAGTTATAAGTAGGATAACAGCATTTATGAGGGTTTAGGGTTTAGGGTTTAGGGATACTACTTGGAGGTTCATGGGTAGCTATAACTGGAGTTAATAAGTCCCGTAATATGGGTTATAACTCTAGTTACCTTACTTATAGCCTCACTTATAACTACCCCCCAACCTCCAAGTTGGGGACATATAACTCCACTTAGAACTACCCTAAACCTTAAACCCTCAACCCTGTCGAGCCATTAGAACCGCCCTACTTCGAACTCCGCTTACAACTACCCACGGCCCACGAAACTCTGAGTCTAAGTAGGGGTTACCGAGGGGGATCGCGGGAACCCGAAATCCTAAACGGTTTAGGTTTAGGGTTTAGGGTTAAAGGTTTAGAGTTTAGGGTTTAGAGTTTTCTACCTGATCCCTGCAACGAACATCTCCATGACTAGAAATCGGCTCTTTTGGGGTTCAAGGTTTAGGCTTGTGCAGGGATCTTGCTTTATTAGAATTCCACTATGTAAACCCTAAACCCTAAACCCTAAATAAGGGTACTGCAGGGCTTTGGAGGATCCCCGGCCTCAATGGTCCATATGGGTAGTTGTCAAAATTAGGGTCCCTTTTTGGGCACCCCAAATACTAGGTGGCGTATTACAATAGGGACCTAAAAAGGGACCATAATTTTGACAACCACCCATATCTGTATTGGGACTGCAAGGAAACGTCATTTCTATAGCAATCTCTAGACTCGTATAGAACCCGTTTAAAGCACTCCGATCGGGCATTTAGAGAACTACGCATATGGGAAAAAGCCCGGGTTGTATGAGTCTGCGGTCCTTAATCCTCTTCTATGGGCAAATAACAGGTAATGTAGGGCCTAAATAGTACCGATACTATTTTGGGGGGTTCCGTATTATAAGTATAGTGTATGTGTCCCCAAAACCCCATTCTAATTGTTAAGGCCCCTATACTAAACCCCCCCTAATACCCCTTATAGTACCCCTTATAGACCCCTTTAAAAGGAACCCTCAAAGGGAACTTGATTCTAATTATTAAGGCCCCTATAGTACCTTTTCCACCTGCATTGAGGTCGCCGGCTTGCTCCGGGACTTCCCTTCTGAGACCTGGAAAACAAAACCGAAACCCGAAACCCAAAAGCCTACATGAAAAAAAACACCTGCCCTAAACCCTAAAGCCTAAACCCTAAACCCTAAACCCTAAACCCTAAACCGCCTAAATCCTAAAATTGAAAAATCCAACACTTCCTGAACCCTAAACCTTGGGTTTAGGGTTTTAGGGTTTAGGGTTTAGGGCTTTAGGGGCTCAGCAGGTACTTGCAGGTTTATGAGTTGCTATAAGCCGGTTATATGTTGGGGAACTATATTTCTAGCCCCGTTTACGGGACTTCTAACTCTACTTTTGACTACCCTGAATCCTACAGTAGAAGCCCAAAAGTTGGAAACCCAATAGCCTCAATCCTTAAGAGTAATGTACAAGGAATCCCAGCACTATTTGGCCTTAATCCGGCTTCCAACTTTATGGGGTTTACTGTAGACCCCATAGAGCCCTTAAAGGAACCGTACTTATCACTACCAATGCACCACCCAGTGAGGCAGAGGAGCCGAGGGGTTGCAGGCTGCTTTCGGTTGATGATATAAATCCTGCATTACCCATAATAAGGAATATACCGTAATTCCCATAGTTTAGGGTCCTTAAGGTAATGCAGGATTTATATCATCAACCGTTTGTATAAGACCCCAGATGTCCTGCAGCCTTCACCTCACTGATGAGCATCACCAGCAATATTCCTGGCGGCTGAAGCACCACGGTTCCAGGTTTCAGGGTTTAGGATGGTTGAAGGTTTAGGGTTTCGGGTTCAAGTTTTTGGGTAAGGGGTTTGGGGCTTGGGTATCATCACTCTTACTTCCTCATTAGAGTTACGCACGGTGCTGTTACTTTTGCTACTGCACGTACATGTGCTTACCATCGCCAATTTAAACTGTTGCTGAATTGAGTATCATTGCTAATTCTTGTTGATACAGTTTCCTTCCTGGTGCTCACTACCGTTGTTGCGATGGTTATTGTAATGATACTGACGACATTGCTAGCGTGATTGCCGTCAATACTGTCATGAAGGTGTCATGATTGTTCCGATTTGGAGTCATAAGCGCCGTAATGACTATGCCAACTGTTTGGGTATGCCCTAAACCCTAAACCCTAAACCCTAAACCCTAAACCCTAAACCCTAAACCCTAAACCCCTAAACCCTAAACCCCCCAAACCCGAAAGCCGAACTCCTAAACCCTTAGCCCCAAAGCCTAAACCCTAAACCCCAAAGCCCTAAACCGTAAACCCGAAAGCTTAGCCAGAGACTCCCCATGGCCCCTCAACAGGCATTTTACCACGAAATACATTATGCACCCTTATATGATTTACAATATGCTCCTTGATTAAGAAGTATAGCAGTGGCTTTGAACAGTTGATGTTCAGAATCTCAGCAAGAATGCGCTTAGAGCAAACCTCTCATAAGATGTCGCTTCTACCACGTCAAGCGCTTGCATCGGCTTACACGAAGCGACCGCTTTGAGTCCGGGGTGGTCAACGACTTGTTTGCCGTACTGTCGGTGTACAGTACTGCAGCCCCGTTCCTATATTGGTCCTGAAATCTAACCCTCAAATCTCGTATGTCCGATGCAATATACACCCGTTCCGGTGACTAGTGACGCTTCTCGGCTATTGTCACTGTTGATGTGGCCTTCTTGGAGGTTCATGGGTAGTTATAAGTGGAGTTGAAAGTCCCCTAATATGGGTTATAGGTATAGTTACCTTACTTATAACTCCACTTATAACTACAGTACCCCTGAACCTCCAAGTAAACCCTAAACCCTATACCCTTATGGAATCCCTATAGATCCCTTTGAAGGGGCCCTTAAACTTATAACTACCCCGGAACCTCCAAGTTCCACTGCCAGAGCGAACCAAGTCATCTCCAGGCCAGCGTGCTTTCACTTCGCGTCCGAGATGTCAACTCATTTCTCCAGCATCCCCAGGTCCCACTTGGAGGGTCGGGGGACTTAGTAAGTAGGGTTTCTGTAATAGGGGGGCCTTAATAATTAGAGTAGGGTTCCTTTAAAAGGGTCTATATGTAATACGGTTGATGATATAAATCCTAGGGGTTCCTTTAAGCTGATCTATAAGGGTACCCTTAAGGGGCTCCTTTAAGGGATCTATAGGGTTTTAGGGTTTAGGGCTGATGATAGAAATCTTGCATGGCCCATAATAAGGAATAGACCATAATTCCCAGAGTTTAGGGTCCTTAGGGTAATGCAGGATTTATGTCATCAACCGCAGGTCCTAGGGAAACCAAAACGGTTATAGTACCCCAAAAGAGGTTGAAAGTTACCGACTCTACTACCAAGTCAAAGATCCAGAACTTCTTAGTCGCCGGCATAGACCTGCGTACCCCGTGAGTCTTTCCTGTACTTAAAGGATCATGGGACTTAGTAACGGGGGTTCTAAATAGGGTAGCTAGACTCATAACTACTTATAACCCCAGTTAAAGTACTTATAACCTTACTTACTAAGTCCCATGATCCTCCAAGTAGACCCTAAACCCTAAACCCCCATAGATCCCTTTAAGGATCCCTATAGATCCCTTTAAGGAAGGAACCCTTACTTACTAAGTCCCATGATCCCCCAAGTAGGTCCATGACCCGATCTCTGCGGACATCTTTGCGGGTTCGTGTACCACCTTTGTGTACATTATATAGTGCAACTTGGAGGTTCATGGACAGTTATCAATGGAGATATAAGTCCCCCCAATACGGGCTATAATTATAGTGACCGCACTTGTAACTCCACTTTTAACTTCCCAAGAACCTCCAAGTAGAGCCAAAATTCTCACAGTGTCACCTGCCAAGGTCGAAGCATAGTGTAATTATATAGGGTTTTGGGGTATGTTGTACTATAACTATAATCAGGAATATTAATCCTTTCCTTCCTGCTAGATTGGCGACCTCCTGCAGCTGGAACTCACCCTCGTTATCAATAAACTTGGCGCTCCATCCTCCTCCTCCTCCTGCAGCAGCAGCAGCACTTGCTTCCGGGTCATTAGAGGTTTATTGTTGTTAAGATATGGGAGTTTCCGAAAATTAGGGGTAGCTTGTTTCGGGGTTCTTACAATAAGGGTCCTGCTATCTAGGGTACTATATTAGGGTCCCGTATTTTCGGAAACTCCCATTTGGGTTTCAAGTCCATTAAGGTCAGGGCTTCCGGGTCATGGTATCGGATGCAGCAACCTCAAATCTATGAAACCTGAACCCTAAATTCGAATCCCTGAAACAAAAAACTTGGGACCTGAACCCCAAACCCTAAACCCAAAGCCCCAAACCCTTACAGGAACCCTTAAAGTGGCCTATAGATCCCGTCAAGGAGCCCTTAAAGGAGCCTATAGCTCCCATAGCTCCCTTAAAGGAGCCCTTAAAAGAACCCCTATACATCCCTTAAAGGAGCCCTTAAACAAACCCCCTATAGATCCCATAAAGGAACCCTATACTCAAAGGAACACCCCTAGATCCCCTAAAAGAGCCCTTGAAGGAACCCCTACTTAAAGGATCCTGGGACTTAGTAACTGGGGTTATAAGCAGGGGTAACTATGCTTCTAACTACTTATCACCCCGATTAAGGTACTTATAACCTTACTTACTAAGTCCCATGATGCTCTAAGTCTAGATCCCTTAAAGCAGCCCTGAGAAAAAACTCGCGGCGGTTGCACCGATGTTCAGGGGAGCGTTGATGAGCCGTGCCATGGGTTGGGCCAGGTCGGTCCAGACGCCCATGATGTCCTGAAGACGGAGGGCTCCCTTTAGAGGGGTCTATAGGGTGTTAAAGGGTTCCTTTAAAGGGATCGGGATCTTCAGGGTTTAGGCTTTAGGGCTTCCTGAAGACTTAGGGCTGAAAAAAGGGTTTAGGGGTTTAGGGCTGTAAAGCTATGATGTAATGGGACTACGGGCTTCCTTTCAGAGATCTATGATGTCCTGAAGACTTACTTAAAGGATCATGGGACTGAGTAACTAGGGTTATAATTAGGGTAACCATACTTATATCTACTTACAAGCCCAATTAACGTACTTTATAACCTTACTTACTAAGTCCCATGATCCTCCAAGTAGGGCGGCTTAGAATCCCGAATTTCTGTGGTTGAGGTACTACCTTAAGCCGAAATAAACTATATACCTTGTCAAGGACTTATATAAGGAAATCATAATAAGGAACCCTAAGAAGGTCGGCTATTCAGGGTTAAGGTACGCTCTCGAATAATGGTAGCCGTAGCCGCAAGAGTCGCTAGGGTGGCGCTTCTTCTAAACTGTGGACTTGATGCTAATATTGGGGCCGTAATGATTACCTATACTATTGTGGGTGTTCCTAATTTTTAGTATAGTATAACGGGCCCCAAAACCCTTTTCCACTTATTAAAGCTCCTTTAATAGAATGCGAGTTGAGGGCTTAGTTTGGGAGTTCAGGGAAGAGGGAGATTTAGAGTTTAGGGTACTGTGGGTTTGATGAGTAGAACCCGAGTCACGGTGATATCCGAGACCCTCAACCCTACTTGGAGGATCATGGGACTTAGTAAGGTCATGGGTACCTTCATCGGAGTCATGATAAGTAGTTATAAGTTTAGTTGCCCTAATTATGACCCTAGTTACTAAGTCCCATGAATATACTTACACACGAAGTCATTTGGTCCTTCAACTGCAAAGATCTACCGCTGCAGCTTGCTCGGGGATTGCAGATGGCATTGGCTTAGCGATTTCGAATTTGCGGATCGCGCAAATCAGGGACGCCAAAGCCAAACAGGTCCCCTAATCCTGGCCCCAATGAACGAGGTTCCTAAGTAAACCCACTATACTAAGGGCACCCTTCTTCCTACTATTCGGTTTTAATGAGGGGACCCTAAACTAAAACGGGCACAAGGGTACTACTCAGGAACAAAGCTAGAGCCACGAGGTACTTCTCATCCTAAGGACCCTTGCGAGGGTAGGGTGCTAGGGGGCCTTCATAAGCTATTATAAGGACTTAATGAGGCCAATCAAAGGAAGTATAGTCCCCTTCCCCCCCTCCCCCTAACCCCTAAGGGTCCCATGAACTCAAAAAACCTAGGAAAGCAAGGTTTCTGAAAATCGTCATTTCAGGCCCACGGCGGCCGTAAATTCCAGCAGCCAAGAAAGCTTCAGCCATGAAACCCGCGAACCTCACACCCCAAATTCCCCAAACTAAAACCCTTAAACCCTGAAACCCTGAAACCCTTAAATCCTACAACCCATAGACCCTAAATCCCTAAAACCCTCAATCCCAAAGCCTGAAACTACAAAGATCAAGGGTGGGGTGCGTGCTTCTCTTGGGTCCGTCTTCTTCGTTGATAAGTTCGTACTCCCAAAAACTTTTAATCTTAACACCTTCTGCCCTAAACGCTACACCGTAATCTAGTGGTATACTCATTCAGGTACTACTTGGAGGTTCAGGGCTAGTTAGAAGTGGGGTTATAGGTAAGGTACCTACAATTATAACCCATATTTGGGGACTTATAACTCCACCTATAACTACCCATGAACCTCCAAGTAGGCCCTGAACGCCATACCCTTATATAAGCCCTACAGATTCTGTAGATCCCTTTATAGGGAACTCCAGAAAGTTGGAATATGGTTTCAGGGTAGGATACCCTATAATTTACCATAGAAGGGTTTAGGATAATCATATTCCAACTTTCTGGCTTTTACCTTAAAGGGACCCTTATATAAAGGAACCAACCTCCACAACTAAGGCTTGAGGCTCGGAACTGCGAGCCTGTCCTAAACATTAAACCCCTAAACCCTTGAAGGAACCCTAGAGAACCCTTCATAGACCCCATAATCCCCATCAAAGAACCCCCTAAACCCTAAAGCCCTAAAACCTAAACCCCTAAACCGTAAAGCCCTAAACCCTAAAGCCCTAAACCCTAAAGCCCTAAACCCTAAAGCCCTAAACCCTAAACCCTAAACCCCTAAACCCCTAAACCCCTAAACCCCTAAAGCCCTAAACCCCTAAACCCCTAAACCCTAAAGCCCTAAACCCCTGAACCCTGACCTGGTTCAAAACCTGCACGATGTTCGGCATCTCCTGCAGGTCCCAGAGAGCCCAAGGGACCCCTTAATTAAGGAATACCTGGGATTAGGGCTCCTTTAAGGGATCCTACAAGGGATCTGTAGGGTCTAGGGTTTAGGAGAGCCCAATACCCCTTCATTAAGGAATATAGCTTAAATCATAATATGAATCCCGTTATAGTATCAGGTATATTCCTTAATTAAGCAGTATTGGGCATCTCCTGCAGGTCTTCTGCGAAGGCTTATAGGCTTTTTTTTGAGGGAGCAGGTTTTATGAGGCTTTTGAGTGTAGGGTTTAGGGTTCACAGCTCCGTAAAAGGTTTACGTAGGGTTTTTGGGGTTTAGGGTTTTACGGTTTTAGGGTTTAGAGGTTTAGAGGTTTAGGGTTTTAGGGTTTAGGGTTTTGGGGTGTAGGGTTTTAGGGTCTTAGAGTTTAGGGGCTAGGGCTTTAGAGGTTTAGGGTTTTAGGCTTTAGCGGTTAGGTGCCTCTCGAGGGATCCTCTAAGGCTTTTGAAAGGTTTCTACAAAAAAAGGTTAGGGTTCGCATCTGGGGGCGGGGTTTAAGTTAGAAGGGCTTACTTACAAAGCTCATGGATACTTACGAAGTCCCATGATCCTTCAAGAAACCTAAACCCTAAACCCTAAACCCCTAAACCATAAATCACGAACCCTAAACCCTAAAGTACTCGGCTTATACAGGGGCCCCAAGGTTCCCTTAAAGGGCTCGTTGAAGGGCTCTGACTCTATAGGGTGGTTTAGGGGGGCTTCAAGAATGGGAAGAGGGCTTCTTAAAAGCTGTCCTTTTGAAGTGTTCTGTTGGGATTTTGAAGTTTACGGGCCTTCCGAACCTCATGTCATAGACCCTAAACCCCCTCTCAGAGTGAGCTTAAGTCCAGAAGCTCAAAACTTGACAAATGCACGTTTCATTCACTGAAGGAGGCCGGAAACCCCACCACATCCCGCTAAGCGTTTACCTGGAGGATCATGGGACTTAGTAAGGTTATAAGTACCTTAATTGGGGTTATAAGTAGATATAAGTATGGTTACCCTAATAGAAGCCCAAGTTACTAAGTCCCATGATCTTTTAAAGTACCCCTAAACCCCCCTTATAGAAACCTTACAGATCCCTTTTAAGGACCCCTTTAAGGAACCCTAGTTACGAAGTCCCATGATCCGTTAAGTAGGGTGCAGGGCCAAGGTTTTGAGCAAACGACAGCACAAATCCACACAGGAGCCTGTCAAAGAAAAAAAAATTAAAAAAAAAGTTACAGAATCCTTGTAGAACTGCCCTAAAAATATTGACGGGTTCTTCTCTCAATTAAGGTCTGACTTACGGTCCTTTTCTCAGGGTGACGTACTACTTTGGCGCTTAGAAAGAGATCCTAAATTATGGGAACTACCCATACAGAGGGGCCTATAATTTGTACGTACTCGTATATACTCGGTGCTCCATAAAGCTATCCCATGTAGAAAACTACTATACGGGCCTTAGTTGTTAGAATAAGGTTTTGGAACCCATTACGTATACTATATACGAAAGACATACTAAGTTACTGAGGAACCACGACAATAATATAGGCAATCACTAAGGCCCCTATCTTACCCCTTTGAAAGCCAGCATCCCAAAGCTGACCTGCTGGCTCGTGTCTTTGCTTCCCTTCTCGGAGGAGGATCCGGCGGAAAGATGCAAGGCCTGCCAGAGTTGAGGGCTTAGGGTTTAGAGCTCGGTTTAGGGGTTTGGGTTTAGGGTGTGATTTGGGGTTTCGGGGTTAGGGTTTAGGGTGCGATTTAGGGTTTAGGGGTTAGAGCTTAGGGTTTAGGGCTCGGTTGAGGGCTTAGGTGTTAGGGTTTCGGGTTTAGGTGAACACTGCCCTAAACTCCTGCACCCTAAAACAAAAAAACAGTTGGCTCTACCCCAAAGACGTTCCCAAGGGCCGGGGGGGATACCCCAAGCCTGAATCGTAAACCCCAAACTCTCAAATCCTCAAGAACAGCATAAACGCCCTTATGAAACCACAAACCTCTGAGCCCCAAACCCGAATCCTCTTTATGGCCCTGAACTTTCCAAACAGTTTCGGGCCAAGGGCAGTCCTTCTAAGAGTTTTAAGCCTACCGTACATAACTACTCTCCTAGCCCCTGATACCCAACCGTTGGAGCACTCCTAAACCCCAAAGCCCTGCACCCTATGCAAACCCGAAACCCCAAACCCAAACCCTAAACCCATACCTTAAACCCTAAACACTCATCCCCGCCTGGCTTGAGGCATTCTATACTGAACTTAGAGCCCGAGCAAAAATTAATGCAATTTTAGCTGTCTCGTAATGATTATAGGAACCGAAAACTTAAAAGCTATTTCGAAATAACCCAAGCATTAGGTGTTCTGGCCCCGGGCTTAAAATTGTAGCGCTGGGGTTGTTTAAAGGCTTAGGGTTTGGAATTTAGGGTGTAGGATTTCGGACTGGCGGTGCGAGGTTTAGCATGTAAGGTTTACCTGGGGGTCCAAAAACCTACCGCTTTAGTGGTTCTACCCTCTAGTTCGGGGGTCACAACCTACTGGCCTTTGGGGCCACCGGCTGGGTTTAGGACTTAAACCCTAAACCCTAAACCCTAAATCCTAAACTCTAAACCCTAAACCCTAAACCCTAATCGAAGTTTCCGATTTAAATTTAAACCTTGGGACTTAGAGTTCGGGGCTTCCCTTCGGTGAACTTGAGGCTGCTTGGAGGCTCAGGGGCAGTTATAAGTTTAAGGGATCCCTTTAAAGGGATCTACAGGGATTCTATAAGGGTATAGGGTAGTTATAAGGGTTCCTTTAAGGGTCCCATTAAAGGGATCTTTAGGGATTCTAGAAGGGTATAGGGTTCAGGGTTTACTTGGAGGTTCAGGGGTAGTGAAAAGTGGGGTTATAAGTAAGGTAACTATACTTGTTACCCATATTAGGGGACTTATGACCCCACTATGACTATCCATGAACCTCCAAATGGGTGCTTGTGTCTGCTGGTGCTGAACTTCCTCTGTGGGGACACTGCTCCCGAGCGACATGGCTACCAACCAAGTCCAAAACCCAGAACCCTCAACTCCACCGACTCCACCAAAGCCTTGTAAGTTAAACCATAAACTCAAATTCCGAAAATCGTAGACGCTGAAGGGCGTATAAAGCGAAATAAAACACTACAGAACCCTATACCCTAAACCCTAAACCCTAAACCTAAGTCCTAAACCCTTAAGGTCATTCAGCCTAAAACCCTATAGATCCCTTAAAGGAACCCCTTAAAGGTACCCTTATAGATCCTTTAAAGGAACCCTTAAGGAATTTCATCAACCCATAGGAGTCTGGGGCTTAGTGGGTTTGGGTTTTCGAGGTTTAGGGACTTAGGAGGGCCAGTTAGGGTTTAGGGTTTAGGGTTTAAGGCTTAGAGCCTAAAACCCTATAGATCCCCTTCAAGGGACCCTCAAAGTAGGTACTTGGGTTCGGGTTTTAGGCTTCAGGTATTTCGCTTGGGGCACCCAGGCTTTGGGGGCTACTTAAAGGATCATGGGACTTAGTAACTAGGGTTGCTATTGGGGTAACTATACTTATAACTACTTATAACCCCAGTTAAGGTACTCATAAACTTAATTACTAAGTCCCATGATCTATATTATGAATATTATTCAACTATGACTGAGTGGGGGCCGTACCCAAACTAAACGTCCGACTTTCTAAATCTTCCCAGGGGGCACAAGACCTAAACCCGAAACTCTAAACCTGCCTTCTATCAAAGGGGAAAGGAGGGACCCTTAAGGGGGACCCCTACCCTGTAATGGGCTATATAATGGGTATATAATAGCTATAGAACCTTGAAACGAACCCCTAAACCCCAAACCCTAAACCCTTAAAACCCGAAACCCTAACCCCCAAACCCCTAAACCCTCAAACCCCAAAGCCCTCAAAGGAATCCGTAAAGAAACCCATATTTTGGAACCCTTTAGGGAACTCTCGAGAGCCCCCTAAGGAACCCTATTTTAAACCCCTTTGAGGAAACCTGTTCTAAACCCTCTAACGAACCCCACTTCTAGAAACCTCCAAGGAACCCTAAAGAGCCCTTAAAGGGCCCTAACTAGGATGCCCAGTAACCTAGGAATAGATAGGGCTCCCGTTTTGGTATGGGGTAACTGTACAAGGAACCCAGGACCACAAAACGGGAATAAGCGTACTACTGGGCATCCTAGATAACCCCCATTGAAGGAGCCCTCCGAAAGAACCATTAAAGGACCCTATAATCCCTAAACCCTAAACCCGAAGCCCTAAGCCCTAAACCCTATACCCTGTAACCCCCATTAAAGGAGCCCTCCTAAAGAACCCTCAAAGGACGCTATAATCCCTAAACCCGAAGCCCTAAACCCTAAACCCTATAATCCCCATCAAAGAAGCCCCTAAACCCTCTAAGGAACCCTAGAGAACCCTTCATAGACCCCATAATCCCCATCAAGGACCCTATAATCCCTAAACCCTCAACCCTAAGCCCTAAACCCTAAACCCTATAATCCTTAAACCCTAAACCCCATAATCCCCATTAAGGGGGCCCCTACATCCGAAACCCAAAAATTCTCTGCCTTCTGGAAGACCATCGATGCGAGGCCTCTCGGGAGAAGAGCTGGGGTTTCAGACTTTCGGGGATTTTAGGGGTTCCTTTAAAGGGATCTACAGGGGTTCCCTTAAAGGGATCTACAGAGGTTCCTTTAAAGGGGATCTACAGGGGTTCCCTTAAAGGGATCTACAGGGGTTCCTTTAAAGGGGATCTACAGGGGTTCCTTCAAGGGATCTACAGGGGCTCCCTTAAAAGGATCTACAGGGGTTCCCCTAAAGGGATCTACAGGGGTTCCCTTAAAGGGATCTATAGGGGCTCCTTTAAAGGGATCTACAGGGGCTCCCTTAAAGGGAACTACAGGGGTTCCATTAAAGGGATCTATAGGGGCTCCTTTAAAGGGATCTACAGGGGCTCCCTTAAAAGGATCTACAAGGGTTCCCTTAAAGGGATCTACAGGGGTTCCCTTAAAGGGATCTATAGGGGCTCCTTTAAAGGGATCTACAGGGGCTTTATAAGGGATCTATAGGGATTAGGGTTCCTTTAAAGGGATCTTTAGGAGTTCTATAAGGGATTTATGGGGATTAGGGGTTTAGGGGTTCGGGTTTAGAGTCTGGGGGCTTCAGGTTTAGGATTTAGGGAGTGTAGGGCCTCCTGCTTATTTATGATTTAAGCCCCGAAACCCGAAGCTCTAGACCACGAACCCTAAACCCGTACTGTAAGGGCCTCAATAATTACCTACACTATTTTCGGTGTTCCTCATTATAAATATAGTAGAATGGGCCCAAGACCCCATTCCAATTATTTAAGCTTCTATGATAACCCTAAGCCCTTCTAGTGTAGAGCCTTTTAAGGTTCATTTTTCCTTTGAGCGTGTCGGAAGGACCTGCATATCTTCCAAAAGCCTGCTTTAATTTAAGTTTAAGGAGCTGTGTGTTTGTACGCATGTGTACATTTTTATATACATAGAGGGAGAGAGGAGAGACAGAGAGAGAGTGAGAGACAGACAGAAACCGTTATGAGGAACCCCAAAAAAACCTAGGCTTGTCGGCTACAGGTACGGCTTGGGCTTGCAGCGGCGGGCTTCGGGTCAAAGTATAGGACTTAGGTCTTGTACTTCCCGGATCATGGGACCTACGGTTAAGGACCCTAAACTATGGGAATTATGGTATATTCCTGTTCATGGGTAGTGCAGGATGTATATCATCAGCCGTAGTAAGCAGGGTTCCCTTCGGCGATATAGTTTTGTGTAGTTCTAAACAAGGTACTTGTACGTATACTTACGTATAACCCCAATACAGTAAGGTGGTTTCCCCACAATGCCCAGGGTCCAAAACCTCTCAGTTCAAAAATACGCCTTCAACCATACATGATCATAGTACGAAGCGCCCTTATTCTTCAAGGTGAAGGGTTTAGTGGGTCCTTACCATTCATGCTGGAAACGACCCCACATCCGAAACAAGCGGAGATAGAGGTTTCGTCCCGCGTCTGTGGTGCCGTAGACGGGAACTCGAGCAATCATATGCACGGCTTTTTGTATCTCCGGATCAGGTACACCCTTGGGATGCTTCTTCGGTACGCGGAGTATGAGAAGTCGCTCGAGGGGTTTCCCTTGGAAATAGGCATTTGTGATGTCACCTGCTTTGAGCCGTAAGCCGAGGGAGACCGCCCACGAGCAGATGATGGCGATGCCCTCAGGTTCCGCTGTGGGACTGTCTGCTCTGATGTCCCCCTCACAACCAGTAGATCCGAACGCCAGTACTGCAGGGGCCTTGATAATTCGAGCAAGGCCTTGGGCGGTATAGTATAGTATTAGATACCAGACAAGAAACAAAGGCTTGAAGGGGATACTGCTATCAACTACTGAGGCTCCTATGTTCCATCAGAAGCTCTGCATGGCGCCTAAGACCTTTGCTCGCCTGAGCCTTTAAAAAACCGAGAACAAGGACTTATGGTTTAGGGGTTTGAAGGTTTAGAGTTTACCAACCTGTCCTGCAAAAGAGTCCGACTCCGCACCCTTTACAGACTGGGCTTATAAGTGGCCACAAATGTAGTTGCCCTGCTGAGCTGCAGCCATACATACCCGGTCCACCGATCTTATTGCAAACATCAAACCTCGAAACACTGACCGTACCCTGCGACACCTGTATTGCACCCTCATAAAAAAACAAGTGCAGACCTTCTAGGAACCTTTATAGAAGTATGTCAAGAACGTGACGAAACACTTGCACAGCCGTATAAGCCGAAAACCGTATAACACGTGTGAACCCACCTGAGGTGGCGAAGTTCGAGATGTGCCCGTCCATGAGCACCACGGAGATCGAGAAAATTCGGTAGACGAAAGGCACTCCCCAGATCAGAACGACCTCGCTCGAGGCTAAATCCTAAATCAGGCAGGGGTCTACAAGGGTGCTCTCGCTGAAAAGCCTTACGGGGGTGTCTGCGAGAACTTTAAATGAGCTTACTAAATCCCATGACTAAAGAAGTGTTCATTTTGGGATCGTAATATGGGGGCCTTAATAATTAGAATGAGGCTTTGGGGCCCATGATACTGAATTCACAAGAAGGAACCCCACAAATAGTGTAGGTAATTAGTAAGGCCCCTATGTAACGGCTCCACACTCTTTTAAGGGATCTATCAAAATGAGCCCACGAGAGGGAGGCCTGCACCCAAAGAGTCAAGCTTCGGCGGGAGCCCATTGCTCTGCACATGCAGTCTACTGAAAGGATCACGCGACTTCGTCACTTTGGCCAGACACAGGGCAACTACACTCATGATTCCTTAGAAACCCTAAGGAATAACGCCGATACCTACTGACAACTCTACATTACTGGCGTCTGATGTAAGGGCCTTAATACTTAGAATATGGTTTTTTTGGGGTGCAATTTTACTATAAGTATAATGAAGAACCCCCAGAATAATATAGGTAATTATTTAGGCCCTACAATTACATAACTTGCATCTGTGTTACGGTCACTGCTGTCTGAAACTCCCGAACACTACTTGGAGGTTCATGAGGAAGTTAAAAGTGGAGTTATTAGTGGGGTTCTTTTGAAGGCTTCCTTCAAGGGCTCTATACTTAAAGGAACCCTTAATCCTAAAACCCTTTCCCGGCGCCACTGAAGCCGAGGTTCGCATTGGATCGTCGGCTCGAGGTAGCTCAAGTGAATGCCCGGCGAGGCTTTCCTTGTAGGATGCAAGAACCCTAAACCCTAGTGATCCCTTACTTGGAGGATCCTGGGACTCAGTAAGCAAGGTTATATGTACCTTAATTAGGATTATAAGTAGTTATAAGTATAGTTACTCTAATTATAACCCTAGTTACTACGTCCCATGGTCCTTGAAGTAGACTGTGAACCTCCAAGTCTTCTACTTAACTTAAACCCTTCTGGGCTCCTTCTAGAACCCTTAAAGGGTTTAGGGTCTAGGGTTTAGGGACTTGTCGGGCATCATGGGGAACTAAAGGGTAACCATTTTTGGCTACATACGGATTATATAGGGACTTTGCTACCCAAAAGAGGTTAAGATTACCTACCCCTAAACCCTAAACCCTAAACCCTAGACCCTAAACCCTAAACCCTAAACCCTAAACCCTAAACCCTAAACCGTACCTTAGGGTTCAGCGGTCTTAGGGTTTAGGGTTTTAAGTCAAGGTTAAAGGTCCCTTTAATAAAAGGCTACTGTACAATTTAGGTTCCAGGGTTTAGGATTTTTAGGAGGCTTGGGGTTTAGTACGAAGGCTTATGAGGTGTAAGATTCGGAGTTTAGGCTTCTTAGCTGACTGGTTCCAGTTCGGGGCTTGTGCTACCCTAACCGCCTAAACCCTTAAATTAAACCTTAAACCTTAAAACTCGAAACCCTAAACCTTCAACCCGGAACCCTAAACCCCTACACCCTATGGTAGAAGCCAGAAAGTTGGAACATCAGACTCCTCATGCCCTTAAGGTAAAGTACAAGGGATCCTGGCACTTATCCTCCCAAAGCCATGTTCCAACTTTCTGGCTTCTTCTGTAGTTCTCAACCCCTAAACCCCAAACCCCTACGTAAGCCCCAGAAATCTGCGAGGGAGCTCCGGGCGCCTTTCAGTTAAAGGCTAAGATACGGGCCTGACCTGTACCCCAAAGAACCTATTGCTTTAGGGTTACAAAGGGCTCCCTTTTTGGCATTGGGTACCTACCTTTATAAGGAACCTAGGACCACGAAAAGGGAATAAGGGTACTATTGGGATGCTTTAGGTTTTAGGGTTTAGGGTTTGGGGGAGTCCGCTGAGGGTTTTGTAGGATTGTGTAGTGTCTTATTCACCCATTCGAATGATTGATTTCTGTGCTGCCTAAACCCTTAACCGTAACCATCGTAATCCCTCAACCCCAAGCCTTAAGCCCGAAGCCTTTAAACCTTAAACACCGTAAACCTTCGACCCTAAATCCTAAGAGTTAAATCCTAAAGGCTTAAAGCCTATACCGTAAACCCTATACTTATTCCCCAATAAGCCACAGAAATAAAAGGTTAAACTTTCCGATTCCTACTAATCTACAAGAACCCAAAAGTTTAAAGGTTGGGTATTGGGGATCTAAGTATGCCCTAAACCTTGCGCCCTAAACCCTGAAGAGTAAGCCCTCAACCCTACGCCCTACGCCCCAAACCCCAAACTTCTCAACCCTAAACCGTACTAGACCCTCAGCCCTGCTTGGGTTTTAAGGTTTAGGGTTTTGGGCTTCGGTGTTGAGGGTTTAGGGATTAGGCGGTTTAGGGTTTAGAGTTTTGGGCTTATCATGTGTGGGGGTTCGGGGCTGGGGTCAGTCGGGTTAGCGGCTTCAGGGCGGGTGTCAAGGGTTTGGGCTTGAGAGTTTACGGTTTCTGGGCTTGTAGGACTTGTTGTGCGTGTCAGGAGTTTAGGGCTTCAGGTCTCCAGGGCTTGAAGAAGGCTTCGGTGTTTAGATTAGGGTTTAGGGGTTTCGGGTTAAGGGTTTAGGGTTCAGGCTTTAGGATTCAGGGTTTAGGGTTTAGGGGGGCTTAGGGAGATGCTTGCCGTGGAGGGCTTGATGGAACGCTGTCCACTGTGCGGCGACCTAAATCGTGCTAGACCTACGACGAACCGATTTCACGCAACCTTGCTAATTGCTTGCAGATATGGAATGCACAGACACTAGGCCTGCGCGAATGGCACTATGGCTCGCAAGGGGTCCTGGACTCTCCCTACACGACCACAGTACGTAGTATGAAAATGCTGAGGCTGTTAACCAGTTGAACACGAAGGAGACGCCAGCCCCAAGCCAAGCGGCGACTCGACCCTTGCCTTTCTGGGACTTGCCTCCGCGATCGCGGTAGTCCCTGTTCTCCTGCCTGTCCTTGCGCTTGCGGTAAACACCCGCGCGCTTGGAACGCTTGGCCCTGAGGAGGGGCACGAACTCTGCTTCGTCCGCCCTCATGTTCTCCTCCATGGCCTGGATCTCCGCGCTGTCGTCGGAGTCCGTGTTCTCCTCCCCGGGCGCAGTGTCACCCAAAACTCCCAGTCTCAGAGTTAAACCCTAAATCCTACTTAAAAGGATCATGGGACTTAGTAACTAGGGTTATAATTAGGGTAACGATGCTTCTAACTACTTATAACCCCAATCAAGGTACTTCTAACCTTACTTCCTAAGTCCCAGGATCCTCCAAGTATAACCTACCTGTTTAGGGACTTTTGGAAGGGGAATCATACAGAGGAGCTCAACACCCTAAGCCCCAAAAAATAACCCCAAACACGGTTTAGCGTTTAGGGCTTAGGGTTTAGGGCTTTAGGCCCCAAAAGCCCTAAGCCTTCAAAATCATAAACACCTACACCCAGAAACCCTCACTCAACCCTAAAGCGTACAACGCAAACCCCGAGCCCTAAAATCCCAAAACCTAAAACACTGAACCAGCCATAGACCCTTAAACCCTAAACTAAACCAGCCCGCAAATCCTGAACCCAAATAAGGGAAAGAAGGACCTTACCGGATTCGAGCATCTGCAACTCCTCCAGATTTTCCAGCGTCGTCAGGAACCTTCGGCTAAGAGTTTCAGAGTTTAGATTTTAGGGCTTGGGGTTTAGAGTTGGGTCGTTTTGGGGTTTAGGGTTTGGGTTCACGGCTTGGGGGGTTAGCACTTTTGTGTTGTTACATGCCTCGCTGCAGGGTTCAATGAGGATATTGTGAGGGCTGCTGTAATGCATGAATGTAGGGGCCTTAATAATTAGAATAGGGTTTTGGGGCGGATGCGGGCGAAAGCCTGTCGACGAAGAGCGAAACGAAGGACGACGTGTAGAATAGCGTTTTGGGGCACATTATGCCATAGTTACAATAGGGAACCCCCAAAGACGGTATTGTCAATAATTTCGCCCCCCCTACTGACTAAGGTTCTTACGGGATACGGGACTTATCAGGATTTAGACTTTGAATTTAGGGTATAGGGTCAAAGAGTGCTTGGTTCCTATAAGGGTTCCTGATTGTCTTCCAGGGTTCCTCTAAGGGGTCACTACCATGATGGAACTAGCTCCCCAAAATCATCATAGGGATGGTCTTTCGATACCTGAAACCCTATAGAACCCTCAAAGGAACCCTTAAAGGAACCCTTAAAGGAACCCTATAGAACCCTCAAAGGAACCCTTAAAAGGAACACTTAATGGTAGTGTAGATGGACCCTCTGGGTTCTAGGGTGTCGGATGTAGGGCTCAGGATTTTATGCTTTAGGATCCTCGGGTCTGGGATATCGAGTCCTTATAGATCCCTTAAAGGAGCCCTTATAGATCCCTTAAAAGAACCCTTATAGATCCCTTAAAGGAACCCTTGTAGATCCCTTAAAGGAACCCTTATAGATCCCTTAAAGGAACCCTTGTAGATTCCCTTAAAGGAACCCTTATAGATTCCCTTAAAGGAACCCTTATAGATTCCCTTAAAGGAGCCCATATAGATTCCTTGAAAGGGGTTTAGGGGATGTTGGGGTTCAAGGTTTCAGCCCTGGATTTTTGGGGGGGCGAAAGCTTCGGGGCTTAGGGTGCAGAGTTCACGATGCTGGGGTTTCGGCTTAGAGGGTTTAGGGTTTAGGGTTTAGGGTTTAGGGTTTAGGGTTTAGGGTTCAGTCAAGAGTTCTCATACTTGGAGGATCCTGGGACTTAGTAAATAAGATTATAAGGGATCTATAAGGGTTCCTTTTTGGGGGGATCTATAAGGGTGTAGGGTCTACTTGGAGGATCCTGGGACTTAGTAAGTAAGGTGAGCCTTAGCGTTTAGGGTTCCTTTAAAAGGGATCTATAAGGGTTCCTATAATGGGATCTATAAGGGTTTAGGGTCTACTTGGAAGATCCTGGGACTTAGTAAGTAAGGTTGTAAGTACCGTAATTGGGGTTATAGGTAGTTATAAGTACAGTTACCTGAATTATAACCCTAGTTACTACGTCCCATGATCCTTTAAGTAAGCATGTCTTGACGCACGGTTTAGGGTTTAGGGAACGAGGTTTGGGGTCGGGTCCTAAAACAGCTCTGAAAGCTATCTTCCGAGTGCTGGTCCTGGGAGACAGTTCTCTGGCATGCTCTTCTTGCTTTCGGAAGTTGAACATAACTTACGCTAGCAGGGGCAGATCACCCGTTCTGTTGTGATTTAGGGTTTAGGGTTTGGGGTTCATATGATGGTAACATAGACTATGGTGTTTGAGACTGCACAAAAAAGCACGTAAACGCCCAAATGCCCTGATAAAACCTTCGCAATGGGAACTGAAATTGAGCTACTCAACGAGAACAGGGCCTAATGTAGGGGCCTTACTAAGTAAGATAGGGTTTGGGGTATATCACACCATACACATCATAAGGAAACTTGAGAAGCAGCATTAGTATTCATTCAGGCTTCTACGGACAGACTAACGCTGCCCTGCTTGGAGAAGAACCCCGCGAGCCCAACATACCTCTGAACCCTAAACCCTTAACCCCTCTAAACCCTAAACCCTTAACCCTCCTTATGATTTATTGAGGGTGGTTCAAGGGGGGAGGGTACACAAGGGATCCTTAGGGAACCTTAAGGGAACCTTAGGGAGCACTTGGGAGAACTAGGGATTCAATTCGGCAGACTGAAATCCCGGCGCTGATTGCATCATTGCACTCCTTCAACTTCTTCATGATCTCCTCAGGAAGCTCTTCTTCAGGGAAAACCAGCCTCGGGTAGTAGGTCTTCACGCCATCCTCGGAGTTCATGTGCCAATCCATGAAGCCTTGGAGGAAATCTTCCATTCCTGGAGTTGGAATCTTCAAGTCCTCCAGCAAGAGCTTCATCGGTATTTCTTAGAAGGGGCCCCCACCCTGTAATAGTTACCATAAGGATTGTATAGGATTATATTAGAGCCCTATTATATTCCTATTATACCACTATTACAGGGTGGGGGCAGCTTCTAAGGTATTGCCACGACGTGGCTGTATGGGTGACCCAAAATGAGCTTGGGTGGTTGTCAAAACTATGATACCTTCGTGGGTCCCTATTATAGTACGGCACCTACTATTTAGGGTTCCCAAAAAGGGACCTTATTTTGACAACCACCCGTATAGAAGCCTCATTATAGAACCCGTATAGGACCCTTATAGAACCCCTTTTAAAGGAACCCTAGAAATCCCATGAAAGGAATGACCCAAAATGAGCTTGGAGATGTAGCCTTCAATGTCCGCTCGGTCAGAAATTTCGTCGATCAAGTTGACAGTTCGTCCGGTCTGGGCCACAAGCTCATGGTCTGCAGGGAACTCCAAGGAGGTTCCTGTGACGATGCATCTGAGACTTCATAAGGATTTCTATAGCTGCAAACTTAGGACCCTAGCAAAATTTATAATTTTAGCTGTTTCTTAGGGATTATAATAACCAAAAATTAACAAACATCTCTAGGTACCCCTAAGTAACTGCAGGAATCATCCTGAAATCACAGGCAGCCTGAGTCCCCCTCGAATGATGACCGGGACGTGCAACAAGTGAGTGTCGATGCCGTGCAATACGGCTGATGACAGAAATCCTAGGGTTCCTTTAAAGGGATCTATACGGGCACCTTCAAGGGCTCGTTTAAGGGATCTAGAGTTTTAGGGTTTAGGTTGATGATATAAATGCTGCATTACCAGAATTCCCATAGTTCAGGGTCCTTAAGGTACTGCAGGATTTGTATCATCAACCGTACGAATGAACTTCGACTCGCTACAAGTATGGGCTGCCCAGTGGTTGATATGCTTTCCCTACTATGGAAGATGGATTCGTCTAACTTCCCTGTAAGTATCCCAGTACCGGTATGCAAATGCCGAACCCCTAAACCGGACACTTGCCCCAAACCATGCGCGAGGCGCGACTAAGCCCCACAGTCGCTCCGTCGCTAGCCACACCGAGCCAGGCGACTTGTTGAGAGCATACACCATCGCAATGCCATTCAAGAACTCCTGGGGTGCAGGACCCTAAACCCCAAAGCCTAAACCTTTTCTGAGCTGTTCCTTATCGTAGTGCTGATGCGGTATATCATATAGGGCTGCGCGCAGGGTTGGCAGGGTTGGGATGAATTCATGGAGGCCTTGCGCAGGCGTCTGTACCACGCAGAATGCATCATCCTTACTGCGAAGCCCTTGCCCTCAAACATCGCACGAAAGAGATTTGGGTTTGGGATTCTGTTTATATATTAGACGACAAAGTACTGAACACCACTGTAACAAACTTATGACACAAGAACCGTCAAGAATTCCCTACGCATTACAATCCTCAGAACACCGAAGCCCAAGCGGTTGAAGCTTTCGGATTTGAAGTTTCGGGCTTGGGTTTAGGGGGTAGGGTTTAGGGTTTGGGGTCTGGGATGAAGGGAAACCATGAAGCCACAAAAGCCCTTACACGCGCAACATCAAAGACGAAACCTCGAAGCAATTCGAAACAAAGAAGCCTACCCAACATCTGTGAAACTTAGACAACCTCGGAAAGCCCATGAAAAATACCATGATACTATATATGTCAACTGCCACAATATTGACTGTTCGCCCACATCAAGTCGTCAGGGTTGTTGTATATCGAGCGGTGTTAAAGGCCTTGGCAGGGGTTGCATTGGTTTGTCTATCGCTTCAAACAGGCTTGCAGGTGTGTAAAGGTCATGGATACAAACGCTAGGGTTCAGGGGTTGCAGGAAATTCGATTGAATCGCTGTGCAACTCTACGAAAGAGCCGTGTGCCTTCCTGGGTAAGCAAATCAAGGCCATGGAAGATAAACAGAAAAACGGAAAAGCGATCAGAATGAAAACCTGTAGGCTCGAACCAAGTCCCAACTTAAGAAAAAAACCGTCACCTAACACGCTTAGGCGAAACCTTAAGCTCAACCGCAAAGGCAAAAATCCCTTTGCCCTTGCAACTTATCGTCCTATGAAAAAGTGACCAGCCCGAAAGCTCCATCATACCAGCTCCCTAAACCTAGACCCCAGAGAGCAAGGAATATACCTTAAATCATTGGGGACTTCATGCTATGATTTAAGCTATACTCCGTAATTAAGGGGTATTGGGCTCTCTGGGAGCCTAAACCCCGGAACCCCTAAAGCGCATTGCGCCTCCATGAAGGCTGTAAACCACATCGCCAACATGGTCTTGGCGCCCAAAGACTTGAAGATCACCTCAAGCCGCAAACTCTAACCAACCCTAAACCCCTAAACCCTAAACCCCTAGACCCTAAACCCCTAAAACCTAAACCCTAAACCCTAAAACCTAGGCCATCAACCCCTAAACCCTAAACCCGGGCTCGGGGGCTTTGGGTTTCAGGTCTTGAAGCCCAAGGACTTGAAGATCACCTCAGGCCGTCAAAGTTAGGTTTTAGGGCATACCCAGAGAGCCCAATACCCCTTAATTAAGGAATATAGCTTAAATCATACTATGAAGCCCCTAAGGATTTGAGGTATATTCCTTCATTAAGGGGTATTGGGCTGTCTGGGTAGTGCTTAGGCTTGGAGGTTCGGATTCAGGGTTCAGGGCCTTGCCGAAGACCTTCAGCCCAATACACCTTGGGGGGCCTTTCTTTGTGCGATTACGATTTACCCAGACCCGCGGGAGGATCCAAAGAGTAGATCCCTTAATGGGGGGTTCCTACAAAGTGCCCTTAGTAGTATAGGGCCCCAAATTAGGGGATCTACTGTCTAGATTCTAGATCCTCCCTGGGGTCTGGGTTAAGGATATTTGAAGCAGGTTGCTTGTTGGGGCAGGCCTAGGGGCTCCTAGGGGTTTGCAAGCGCATTCCAACGGAGAAAGCTTTTCAGCACCGTAGAATTCTATACGGGCTTGTCATCAGGATGGTATGATTGCTGGAGGTAAAAGGAAGTCAGTATGGCTTACCCGTCAACCCTAAACCTTGAATACCCCCAGAGAGCCCAATACGCCTTAATTAAGGAATATACCTGAAACTATAGGGGGATTCATATTATGATTTAGGCTATATTCCTCAATTAAGGGGTATTGGGCTCTCTGGGCCAGCACTATTGACTAAAGCCCTCCCAGACCCCCGGGAGGATCTAGAAAGTAGATCCCCTAATTTGGGACCCTATACTACTAAGGGCACTTTATAGGAACCCCCCTTTAAGGGATCTACTTTTTGGATCCTCCCGGAATTCTGGGCTCGTACTGTAAAGTAGGCTGAGATAGAGGCAGTTGCAGGGGGTGTTCTTTGAGGCTGCTCAGGGGTTCAGCGGCTTTTTGGGGTGGAGGGGTTTGGGGTTTAGGGATTTAGGTCGTTTCGGGTATAGGGGTTTAGGTCGTTTGGGGTTTAGGGGTTAGGGGTTTAGGCGTTTAAGCGTTTAGGGACCGTAAGGCTTTCTATCATCAAGGAAACAGATTCCTTGAAGGACTGGGTATGTAGCACCTGCCACATTCAGGCTCGGGGGTGAGGAAGTATACTTGGAGGAACATGGGCGGAGGGCTTAGACTCTTAGACACGACACCCTAAACCCTAAACCCTAAACCCCTAAGCACTAAACCCTAAACCCCCAAGCCCTAAACCCTAAGCCCTAAACCCCAAACCCTAAACCCCTAAACCTTAAACCCAGGCTCAACACCCCAAGGATTCCCGCAAGAGTTCTCGAATAAGGGGTTCAGGGTTTTGAGGTTTTGGGTCTAGCGGCAAAGGGATTATTAGGGTATATGATAACAGAATTACAATAAGGATCCCTAAGGCAGGGTATTGGCACATAATCAGACCCTAATACAAGAGCAGGGGAAATTTAATCAGAACTTTGATCTTGATATACTACGCTTATATAATAGGCACGCTCAGGAACAGTACTGGTAATTACTGAGGATTCTTTATGGGCACTGCGTACCTGACGAGTAGGAAACCTCAAGCGGAGTATCGGGTGAAAACAGCTTCAAAACCGCGTTCGGGGCGTTTGCAAACCCAAGAAGAGCAAGAGCAGTGCCTTGGCCAATGACACCTTCGCGATGTCGCCGCCATGCTCTTTGACCTTCCCAAGAGACCCTAAACTCTCAAAACAGAAGCCGTAAACCCAAGAGACTCTGAAAAACGTGGCTTCTGGATTTATGGCACTTTATGCGTGCTTGCAGCGGTTTATCAGGTGTTGTACTGGTTTTAAAGAACCCTAAGCCCTACAAAGAACCCTAAGCCCTACATCATGAAATATGCCTTAAATCATAGCAAGGAAGGTAACACAAATCAGAGCATAGCTTCAATCACTTTAGAGAAAAACTTAAAGGATCAAGGGACCTAGTAACTAAGGCTATAATCAAGTAACGATGCTTATTCTAATCACTTATGACCCCAAGACCCTCCAAGTATGCCTTAATATCTTTAGTGATGCTGAAGGAAGGATCCCGTGTTGAGGTTTACTGGACTCTCTGGCTCCGACTGTTCAGGTTTTAGGGTTGTGGTATTCGAAAACCGTTTAAGGATTCAGCTTTCTAAGTTGAGTTCCCCTAGACCCCTAAACCCTAAACCCCTAAACCGTATACCCTAAACCCTAAAGCCAAGGCTTCTGAGCCAAAGCTGGTGTAGGCACCTCCCAAACCGTAGGCCTTAAAGAACCCACAAACCCTGAACCTCAAATGCCTATACAAATCGCCAGACTGTGAACCGTAAATTTACAGTAGAAACTCAAATCATGAAACTCACAACGCCTTAATTAAACTCTAAACCGCCTCCTAAACCGCCTCCAGCCAAACTATAGAACCCTTCGAGGACCCCTGAAAGGACCCAAAAAGGACCCCGTAAAGAAACGCTTCAAAGGAACTACAGAGGCCTTAAAGGCCCCCTAAGAGGATCCCTGAGAGGAACCCGCAAGCCCTAAACCCTAAACCCGCATAGAGCCCTTTAAGGAACCCTGATAGCCCCCTGCAAAGGAGGCCTTAAAGGATCCTTTAAGGAACCCGAAACCCCAACCCCTCATTCCCAAATTTAACGAACCCGAGAACCCGACAAGGGCTCCAACTGTTAGGGTCTGGTCGGTTGAGGGTTTAGGGCTTGGGTTTTGAAAGGCTGAGGGTTTAGGGTTTAGGGTTTGAAGGGCTGAGAGTTCAGGGTTTAGGGTTTGAAGGGGTGAGGGTTTAGAGTTTAGGGTTCAAAGGGTTGAAGGTTTAGGGTTGAGGTTTTAGGGCTTAGGGTTTAAAGAGTTGAGGGTTTCGCGCTTAAAGGGTTGAGGGTTTAGGGTTTAAAGGGTTGAGGGTTTAAGGCTTAAAGGGTTGAGGGTTTGAAGGGTTGAGGATTTAGGGTTTTGGTGAGGGTTTAGGGTTTAGGGCTTAGGGTTGAGGGTTGAGGATTTAGGGTTTCGGGTTTGGGGTTTAGGGTTCCAACATTTAGGGTCCATGGTGCAATACAGTATAGGGGCATCAACAATTGGAACAGTATTCCTATAGAGGGTTTCCTGGAGGGCTGTCAGTAATTGGGAATGGGGTTCTTTCTTGTCGGCTCCTCAAGTACAGGTATGGGGACTACACACCCCTAAATCCTAAACCATTAATCCCTAAACCCCACCTCAAGAGTAGTTCCTGGAAGTATCCACAGACATGAATACGCCTTTCCACCCTGGGTGCAAGCAATCCAACCTTAGGGTCGAGCGACCAAATGCCTGATTGTAATGACCTTGAAGCGTTCTGGGGGGATACTGACAAAGAATCCGGCCGACACCTCTAGAGGTGCATTCGTCACATCCTCCATGAATCGATGAAGATGTTGCCACATCGTCAGAATGGCGTCATTATAAGGCCTGACATGTGGGCATACCAAGGCTGTCATCGTTTCCAGCACTGGTCAAGACGATCAGGAATTTCCGCACTGGATGGGCTGCGAAGCTGACAAGGGTCGACCTGCACGCCAGCAATTTTTTTATGTTTGAGCAAGATGTATGCCCAAGGAGCCTTAGACGAAGAATGCTGACTTACTATGAGGATACTACAAGGGTACTGTAAGGGTACTTGAAGGGCGGGCATCACGTGCAAGCCACTCCATAAACCGTAAAGCCTAAACCCCAAACCTTCTGTATTCAAGGGTTCCCGTTTAAAGTCTATCCTAAGAACACTCACAGACACGAACGTACTTAAAACCCTAAACCCCAGACCCTAAAAACCGTAAACCCATAAACCCTCAACCCTGGACCCTTAAGCCCCAAAAAATCCTGCTAGTAAAGCCCTAAACTCTTCAACCCTAAACCCCCAAATCCCTGGAGCCTAAAACCCAAGCCCCTAAACCACAGCCTTGAAGAACTCTAAATCCATATACCCCAACCCATAAGCCGCTTATAAGAACTAACGGCCTTAACGGAACCCCTCATCAGGAACCCTTAAAGGAGCCCCGTTAAGGACGCCCTTCAAAGAACCCCTCAAACAAACCCTTAAAAGGACCTTTTGAAGGAACCCCTTAAAAGCGCTGAGGGTAACCCTTCACAAGTAGCCAGAGCCGTTCAAAAAAAGAACCCCCTAGAGGAACCCGCAAAGGACAACTTAAAGGAACTCTAAACGGCAGCCTCACAGGACCTAAACCCTAAACCCAAAACCCAAAACCCTAACCTTTCGAGGAACAGGCCTTCAACCATCAACGCGGCGCCTTAGCATCCCAGTGCGTTTGGATAAGGCTTACGGTTACCCTAAGCCCTACACCCTAAAAGGGTTTAGGGCTTAGGTTTTAGGGTTTAGGACCCTACCTCAACCTCCCAAACCCTACTTTTTTGTAGATTCTTATGAAAAACCCTAAAACGGAATTTACAGGGACCTTACTTGTTTTGTAGGCTTTGGTAGGTTATAGGGCCCCAAAAAAGCACATAAGCAAAAAATAGGGTAGGGATATCCCATATAAATCCCCTTATAATGAAGCCCATTAAGGTAGGGATATCCCTATGAAATGCTTATGCTTCTGTGCTTTTTTGGCCCCTAAGGTTAAGGTAAACCCTAAAAGTAGCCCTGCGCCTCGGCGTCCCAGTGCTTTTGGATGGTCAGATGCGGCTGAAAGTCCCGGAGGCTCTGCCGGTTCCAGGACAACTCACTCCTGGCCGGATCAAGGTTTCAAGGCCTGGAACGATTCCCTGAAGTACTAAAGATGTTAAACGGGCCGAGGGTTTATTCAGATTTACGGGTTCCTTTGAGGACGTTTGATGGTTAGGGGGTTTAGAGTTTAAACTTTAAATTTACCAGTTCCTTTAAACGGTCCCAGTAAGGGTGCTAAAGGGGCTTAGGGTTTAAGACTGGGCTTATTCCGTTTGCTGGTTAAGGGTTCTATAAGGTATACCCTACCCTACTTTTTTGCAGGTTCTTATTATAAGCCCAAATATGGAATTTATAGGGACCCTACTTTTTTGTAGGTTTTGGTAGGCTAAGGTATAACTTATAAAGAGGCGTTGCCAAAAAACACGTGGGGCTTTTATGGCGTCTTTCCTCATTCTAGGAATACTTGGAGGATCATGGGACTTAGTAAGTAGGGTTATAAGTACCTTAAGTGGGGTTAGAAGTAGTTATAAGCGTAGTTACCCTAAGTATAAGCCTAGTTACTAAGTCCCATGATCCTTTAAGTACACCTCGAAGTACAGCGGGATCTAAAGTATGAGTTGAGGCTCAGTCAATACCCTAAGGCCTTAAAACCCTAAAACCCCTAAACCGTAAACCCTAAAACCCTTAGACAAACCCCAAACCCCTAAAACCCTATGGACGTTGAAATAAAACTGTAGCCAACTATGATGCCTTGACCCACGGGACCGGGATGCCATTGCCTTGACCCACGGGACCGTGGATGTCATTTGTTTGAGTGCTGACTGCACATCCTTCCTGTAATTTTCCAGGGCCGCCTGAAACTCATCGTCATCTGCGATAACAGTAAGGGTGTCCCGGAGCACTTTGATTGTGACCCTCTTCTGCACTTTTGCTCGCGTGAATGGCTGTATACCCATTGAATTTAAAAGGAGTTGGTTCGCCTATGCGTGCGTTTTGTGAATAAATATGCAGAAGCCCACGGCATGTGTATGAAACCTTTCCGGCATCATTCTCGTTAACCCACTGCTGATTGTTTTCGCGGGTTGTAGAGCCAGATGGCTCCTCGTAACTTTCCCCTGTAGGGAAGTTAGGTGCACGGTGATGGTATGTCCTTGGCCCTTGCCTCCCTTTGGAACGTGAACCAAATCTTTGAGTTCCTCCCCAAACCGTAAAACCCTAAAACCCCAAACCCCTAAAACCCTACACACTAAAACCCCAAAACTATAAAACCCTAAAACCCTAACACACAAAAACACTAAGACACTAAACCCTAAAACCCTAAATCCCTAAACCCTAAGGCTCTGAACCCTAAAACTCTAAAACTCCATAACACTAAAACCCTACACCCTAAGACCCTAAAACCTTCAAACCCTAAAACACTGAAACACTAAACCCTAAAACCCTAAAACCCAGAAACTTTTCCCTACACCCTAAAACCCTAAAACACTAAAACCCTCAAACCCTAAAACACTAAAACCCTGAACCCTAAAACCCTCAAACACTAAACCCTAACACCCTAAAACCCTAAACCCTAAAACTTTAAAACCCTACAACCTTAAAATCTTCAAACCCTAAAACACTAAACCCTAAAACCCAAAACTTTCAAACCCTCCACCCTAAAACACTAAAACCCTCAAACCCTAAAACACTAAACCCTAAAACCCTAAAACCCTCAAACACTAAAACACTAAACCCTGAAACCCTAAAACCCTCAAACACTAAAACATTAAACACTAAAACCCTAAAACCCTAAAACCCTAAACCAGAGGGTCCCAACATCATAATAGGGATGGTCTTTCGGTACCTGATTCCATAACTTCAGAATGGTAGTATATATGGACCCTCAACCCTAAAGCCTATAGAACCCTTCAAGGAACCCTTAAAGGAGCCCTAAACCCTAAACCCTGAACCCCTAAACCCTACACCCTAAATTGGGGGAGCCTAAGGCCCTCTGGTTTGGGAAAAGCTCTTGGAAGCCCAGCCCCGATAGAAACACCCTTGTCCTTTCAAAAATATAGACAGAGCCCTATACCTATATCCCTTCGTAGGAGTTATTGAAGAAGGTCTACTAGCCGGTCTGATTATCCTTTTGGGGGAACCATGAAGAAGGACAAGGCTGCGATAGAAAGCGAGGCCGCATGGCTCGTCCATCTTCGCATGAGCGGACTTGCCGTAGCCTTAGGGATCTAAGGACTCACAAGGGGTCCTTTTAGGGTTCCTTGATCCATAAGGGTTCGATAAGGGATCTTTAGGGTTCCTTTACCCTATTTCGGGATCTAAGGACTCACATATTAAGGCTTTTGGGCCCAAAGACCATACTGCACAAGGCTTTTGGGCTATTTTGACCCCAGGGGATAGCCTTAGACTCTGGATGCGGGACCGCGGTTTAGGATTTAGGGTTTCTAAACTCTAAACCCTAAACCCTAAAACCCTAAACTTTGAAAGAAAAACGTATAAACAAATGGTATAGGCTTTGGGTTTCAGGCTTTCAGTGTCAAATGCAGATCTCGGCTACACAAACACCCTGCCTTCAAGGGGCTTCTTGATGTTAGGATTCGTATTACGCCGTATGAAGGGAGGGTGGAGGGTGTTGCATGAGTAGTTAGGGCTTACGGGCTGCATACCCCCTAAACCTGATAAGTCCTAAGCCCTAAACCCCAAACCCCAACTCTAGAGCCCAGAACCAAGCCCTAAATCCTTAAGCAAGCCCAAGACTTACCCGACGTATCCTCAACATCACCCTAGTATAGTACCCAAAATAGTAGGATCCTGATTAATTATATGGACCCGAAATAAGGTACCCCTAAATTCCTCAACCCCAAAGCTACACGTAAACCCGGGCCATGAAATCCAGATACTGATAGAAACTAAGGTACGGACCCTGGATAGTAGGATCCTTCCTAGCAGAAGGGGTCCCAAACACTGCACGCCTAGCTTCCAGACACCTTGGAAGTGCAATCCCAGCCCGTAAGACTCCGAAACCCAAAATGCCCAAGACCCTCAAACTTAAATCCTAAACCCTAGACCCTGAAACTCAAAACCCTAAACCCTAAACCCGAAGAAGGAAGACCCTAAATACCCCCAAACCCTGGAACGGCGGGAGCGAACTGCGACGGAAGATCTCAGCACCTTGAACCTACGTGCACAAACCTCAATCCGTTCCTGGGCGGGCCCGCTTATAATTATAGTATAAGGGGCCCCAAATCCCTATTCCAATTGTTAAGGCCCCTACATTAAGGGTTTAGGGCTTGGTTCTGAGGCCTTAATAATTACCTATACTATTTTGGGGGCTCCCTCGCTTGTACGCCTCGTGGCAACGCGGGCATTGGTGAGTGCCACGTGCACGCGATGGCCACGCCTGTTGAACCTGTGACCAGCATGGACACCGAACTGCGCACTGGGAGGTGCGGTCGGTGAAGGGTGGCGGCAACAGCTCCAACTGGCGTTCTGTGTCTTGTCGCCGAAGCTGGTTTTGCCTGTGCCGTCGGACTGCGACTGAAGCACTGGCACCTTGGCACCAGCAGATGCTTTTTTGGGGAGTCGCTTACCGAAAGCTGCAAAGCCACGGATAGAAACTCCGCTTTGAGAAGCAGAGAACCGACATTGCCCAGGAAAAGACGCCACCGCCAGCCGATTGGCGAAATCAGGTTCAGCGCCCCAAGAGCCTCGACCCCTAAGCTTTGCCCAAAAAGAAATCCAAAGCAGCTTGAACGAAGATAGGGGTTTCTGTGAGGGCAATAGGAGTACTACAAGGGCGTTTGGGAAGAAACGTAAGCCGAAATACAGAATTAGAATAGGATTTTGGGGCATGAACTGATATACTTGCAATACGGAGCCATCAGGAATAGTATCGGGTTTTGCTTAAGTTTCTAGATGATTTCACCCCAAAACCTGAACCCCAAACCCTAAACCCCTGAACCCTAAAAACCTATAAACCCTACCCTAAAATCCCTAAAACCCCTGCGAACTGCCAGGGCCCTGACGCCCCTGGAGCTCGTCCAGCCAGGAGAGGCCTGGGTGATGAAGCCTCTAGAAGACCTTTTGGGGACCCCAATTAGAAGGGTACAGCAAGGGCTTAATATTGGGGCCCGAATAATTAGAGTAAGGTTTTGGGGCAAGGTTTTGGGGCCCATGATATTACAGCTATTTTGCCTGGAAGCCCTAAACCCGAAACACATAATCACCTGTAGAACCCTTACCTGCACCCTATCAAACCCTCCTTTTGAGGGCTCCCTACGATGACTTCCTTGTATGAGTCCTGAAAAAGCTGGCTCATTTGGCGTCCAGGCCAAGTTTCAACATCGCAGCGGCACCAATCAAGACTTCACAAGGGCCTGAAGTCAAGCATCTGTTTGACCATGTGGCCTAACTCTCGCAGGAAGTCGTCGATGAACATGGCAGCTCCCACACTTTGTTGGTTCGTCAGGAACACCATGCTCCCGACAGCAATGGATCATGAACCGGAGGATGACTATGTGGGCACGGGTATCTATCTTGCCTTCGTAGCCCTGATGCGGCCTCCAGGCATCATGAGCTCTTTTGTTTGCCTTCTTTATTCAGGTACCACTCAGTGGTCACCCACAGCTCAGCAACGCCACTCATGACATTGCTTGCGAATTAGTGGCTTAGGCCGTGCAGTGGTTAAGCTCGTCTACCGTGTAGTGGTTAACTGCGTTCTTGAAAAGGAATTAGGCTAAGTTACCATAATACGGAAGGAGTACATAGATCATTTAGACCCCGATTTATAATAACTCAAAACAACTCCCTAACAACCTAATCTAACAGCTAAGGATTCAAGTGATTTAGGGCTCGGGATGCAGGATCAATGACTCAATGTTGTTCGGGGTCCGAACCCCTAAACCCCAAGACCCTCAACCCAGAACCCTCAACCCTACCAAAACCCTAAAACCTTAAAACCCTAAACCCCAAGACCCTCAACCCTTAAACCCTCAACCCTACTAAAACCCTAAAACCCTCAACCCTAAAACCCCCAAAGCGTGGAAAGGTCCAAAAGGTTATAAGTCCCCTAAAACTCGTTATGATTCTACTTACCCTACTTATGACGCCACTTGTAACTACCCATGATCCTCCAAGCAAGGCTTTATGCTGTCTGAGACGTCTCAGAAGGCACTAAACCCCAAACCCTAAACTTATGACCCAGACCCTAAATCCGAAGCCTAGCACCCTTATTTAAGGGGTATCGGAAACCCTAATCCCTATAGATCCCTTTTAGACCCCCTTTTAAAGGAACCCTAGGGTATATTCATTAAGGGGTACTAGCACCCTAAGCCCCACCAAACGCTAGGACCGTTACGATCATGAAGGCCCCTATCATGAACCCTTACAGTCACCCTTCTGCAACCCATAAAGGAACCCTTAAAAACGGAACCCATTTGAAACTGCTAAATGAAAAAATCAACGAAATTACCCAAGGGCTCAACTGAGGACATGATGCGAAGGCACTTGAAAAACCAAAACATGCACCAATTTTTTTAGGGTATTGGGTTTTGGGTGTATGGGTAAACTTTCAAATTTGGGTTCTAGACCCTCAATAACACGCTAAACCCCAAACCCAGTGGAAGTGCGCTTACCAATTGCCCCACGGATTCCGGACAAAAGAATACAAACAACTCTATATTAACCATTTCGAAAAAAAATGACCCTCACCCCGCCTCTCAACAAAAAGAAGTGCGTGAGCAATCCTTGGTCCCTGGCCGATCCAGCGAGAAACACCCTCGTCGTAGGCGCGCTCCTGCCATTGCTGGATCCCTTTTGGGTGATGATACTACACAAGTTAGAAATCCATTGAGAAGCTTGTTCTGAGGCCTGTCACATTATGGATCCCTTTTGGATCTTGGAGTTCTTTGCCGGGCTTCTTCTTCCCCCCTGGGTTTAGGGTTTTGGGTTTAGGGTTTTGGGTTTAGGGTTTTGGGTTTTGGGTTTAGGGTTTTGGGTTTAGGTTTTGGGTTTAAGGTTTGGGGTTTAGGGTTTTTTGCTGGGGATGAAGCTGCAAGGGGAGACATACAGTTGATAACAGGGTTTAGGATTCAGGGTCATGTTATTGGTAACAGGGTTCTTGTTAGAGAACTTAAATTTGGTGAGCATGATGAAGACATCCTATTATTCAAACCCTAAACCCTAAACCATAAACCCTATAGGTTCCGATTATGGCTACTTAGATTCGGCCCCACAACAAGAAGCCAGATAAAGGATCTCGCTAGGGTTGTTGGAGCCTCGGGGTTACCGGCCTTCATAGAGCCCGTTATCGAAGCCTTAAGAAACCGTAAACCCTAAACCACTAAACCCTACATCCCTTAACCCTAATTCCCTAAATTCCCTAACCCCCAAAACCCCTAAACCCTAAACCCTAAGCCCTATACCCTTGTAGAATCCCTATAGATCCCTTTAAAGGGGCCCTTAAGGATTCCTTTAACAGAACCCTAAAATGGATCCCCCGAAGCCCGTCATTCCGCAGCTCGGATCGCCTGATCCGCCAAGGGCTCTTTCAGCAGGCGCCGGTCCTTCTCCTGCAAAGAGGGTTCAGAGTTTAGGCTTTAAGCTCGATAGAGGATATCTTAAAGGGCCCTTAATGGAACCCTTAAAAGTACCCTTTATCTTAAAGGGTAAATCAAGGGTTCCTTTAAGGGGTACCTGTAAGGGGTTAGTATAGGTGCCTTATTAACTTGAATTGGCTTCTGGGGTCGATGATACCATAACCCTAAACCCTAAACCATAAAGACCACTGAAAGAAGGAAGCAGGGTGAGTGTCGGGGGTCGATGTTTCGGGGGGCTGAGGGTTTACTTGAAAAGTTTAGGAGTTAGGGTTTAAGGGTTTAAGTAAGGGCTATTTGGGGAGTTTAGGGTTTAGGGCATTTCTTTTCTTTGGGGAGTTAGGGTTTAGGGTTTGAGTTCCTTTCAAGGTTTTCTGTATCGGTTCTATAAGGGAACTTCAAATTTAAGGCATGGGGTTTTACGGTTTGGGGTTTAGGGTTCAGGGATTAAGGTTTGTGGTTTAGGGTTCAGGAAGTAAGGTTTGGGGTTTAGGGGCTATATAGGGTTGAGGGCTTAGGGTTCCATAAGGGTTCTACTTAAAGCATCATGGGACTTAGTAACTAGGGTTATAATGAGGGTAACTATACTTATAACTACTTATAACCCCAAGTAAGTTACTTATAACCTTACTTACTAAGTCCCATGATCCTCCAAGTATAAGGAGTCTCTCATAAGGGTTCTATGAGGCTGAGGGTTTCGGGCTTAGTCCTTGGAAGGGTTTAGGGTCTAGGGTCTAGGGTCGACATTTTCGGATTTGCCTAACCCTTAAACCTCAAGTTTTTATAACCACTGAAGCCTGGACCCTAAACCCCTTGTAGTACCCTTCTAGCTCCCATACAGTAGTCCTTATAGCAACCCTTAAAGGAACCCTAAACCAGAAGGCAAACCACTGAAGCCTGAACCCTAAACCCTACTTGGAGGATCACGGGACTTAGTAGGTAAGGTTATAAGTACCTTAATTGGGGTTGTAAGTAGTTACAAGTATAGTTACCCTAATTATAACCCTAGTTACTAAGTCCCATGATCCTTTAAGTAGCCCCCAAAGTCTGGGTGCCCAAAAACGAAATACCTGCAGCCAAAACCCGAACCCAAGTGCCTACTTTGAGGGTCCCCTTAAGGGGATCTATAGGGGTTCTATGAGGGTGTAGGGTTTAGGGTCTGCTTTGAGGTGCAGGGGCAGTTATCACTGAAGCTATAAGTCCCCTCATATGGGTGATAAGTATAGTTACCCTACTTATAACCCCACATATAACTACCCCTGAACCTCCAAGTAAACCCTAAACCCGATACCTTTATAGAATCCCTATAGACCCCTTTAAAGGGACCCTAATACTAAAGGAACCCTTTTTACTACCCCTGAACCTCCAAGTGCGGCTTCGGGCTTTAGCGATTGTTGGCTTGACAACTCTCGGGCTCAAAGGGGTATAAAGGGGATTGGGCTCATTGAAGGGATCTATAGGGTTTCTATAAGGGGGTCTATAAGATTAGGGTTTAGGGTCTACTTGGAGGATCATGGGACTCAGTAAGTAAGGTTATAAGTACCTTAATTGGGGTGATAAGTAGTTGTCTTAAGTATAATTACCCTAATTATAACCTTAGTTACTAAGTCCCATGATCCTTTAAGTAGGGTGAGGGGCTTAGAGATTGTGGGGCATACAGATGTAAGGCTTAGGTGCGTTTAGGGTTTAGGGCAGTCCTTGAAAGCTCTGGTAACAAGGCAGAGCTCTAAGTGCTGCCCCACTCCGGTCTGAACCCGAAACTCGCAGCTCTGTACTCTCAGGCGTCCTACGCCCTAAACGCCTGTACCGTAAACCCGTGAACCCGACATCATAAAACTGCAAACCCTAGCCGCTGGTTCCTCGAAGCCCTGTCCTTGATGCCCTAGAACCCCTCAACGACACCCTAGACCCGACAGTTAGCTACAGTAAGCAAGCGACCTCGCGGACGCCTTTAGAAACCTTACAAAACCCAGCAGAGCCAAGGAATATTTTGAAACCTGCGATGACTGTTAATTACTGCAACGACAGGATGAATCCCATCCAGCTCTCTTACCCTTCGCCCAGACCTCCGGGTAGCTGAACAACATTCGAGGACTGATTGGACGCTACCCATGATGCAGAATTTGCTGGCTCGCCTTCAAAGCTTGGAACCGCTCCAGTGGCATTGCCGCGAAAACCACCTGCAACCTCCTGTGGTTGGTCTTGATCTTCTGCGGTTGCTTCTTTACGCAACCTTATTTTAAAAAACTACCCTAAACCCTAAACCCTAAACCCTAAATCCTAAAATCGAAGCCCAAAAGCCCTTCCTTGCGCTGTTTAAGCGCTTTTTGCCACGGACCCTCGGCCCCAGGAGCTAAGCTGCGGGGCGTGGGGCACTTCCCCCCTCCTTTGGTCTTGCATGAGAGCCCAATACTCCTTAATTAAGGAATACACCTTAGACTATAAGGGGATTCATATTATGATTTAAGCTGTGTTCCTTAATTAAGGGGTATTGGGCTCTCTGGGCTTGTTGTTTGTGTTTGCAGAGTTTCCTTCCAGAGTGCATCGGGTTTACGAACCTTGCAAGAATCTCCAAATCCTTGGCCTTGAACGCCAAAGCGCCAAAACCGTTTACGGTTTAGGGTTTAGGGTCCCTAAACCCTAAACCCTAAAGCCCAAACCCTAAACCCCTAACCCCTAAAATCCCACACACACTTTGGAGGTTCTTGGCATGCTTTGACTTTAGCCGTGACCTGTGCCATCGTCCATTTTGGAGCTTGTAACCCAGAGGGTCCATGGGTTTAGGATTTGGGGCTTTTTTTAATTGATTTGGGGTTTAGGGTTTAGGGTAGGATTTGGGGTTTAGGGTTTAGGGTCCATATACACTACCATTAAGTGATCCTTATAGGGTTCCTCTAAGGTCCATGTGGGACTTAGGTCGGGGGTGTATTGTCACGAGGGTTCATTTCCACAACCGAAAGACCATCCCCATTAGACCCTAAACCCTTATGGACCCCCCAAAACCCAAACCCTAAACCCTAATTCCATAATGGTAGTGTTTATGGACCCTCTGGGTACAGAGAAGGGAAAGCCGAAGCGCCGAAAAAAACGTCAAAAGCAAGAACCCCCAAGAAACGATCTAGGGTTAAGGGGTTTAGATTTCAGGATTTAGGGTTTAAGGTTTAGGGTTCAGGGGTTTGGATTTCAGGATTTGGTGCTTAAGATTTGGAGTTTCCGAAGATAGGGGACCCTAATATAGCACCCGGATCCTTATTATAAGAGCCCCAAAATAACGTACCCCTGATTTTCGGAGCTAAGATTTAAACCTTCCTAGACCCTAAACCCTCAATCCTAAACCCTTAAACCCCTAAACCCTAAACCCCTAAACCCCCAAACCCCTAAAACCCCTAAGCCCCCGAAACCCACAAGCCTTGGCTGGCACGATGGCCACGAGCGCAAAGGACCAGACGATGAGAGCGAGGGCCAGAGCCAGCCATCCCAAGGCGATCCACCTCAAGTCTTTGGCTTCCTTTAGGGTTTAGGGTTTAAGGTTTAGGGTTTAGGGTTTAAGGTTTAGGGTTTAGGGTTTAGGGCAGATTCCGTGCACAGCTTTTGGGCTCGCGCATTTGGGGCGTTGGGGTTTCGGGCTTAGGCTGAGGGCTTACGGATTTCGAGACCAAGAGGTCCAAGTTGTTAGGGGCTTCAGGGTTAAGGGTTGTCGCTTTAGGGTTTACTTGGAGGGGCAGGGGACTTAGTAAGCCGTTTAAAAGTAGGGTTTTAGCTGGGGTAACTCCATTTAGGGTACTTATAACTCCACTTATATCCTACTTACTAAGCCCCCTGCATCAAGGGTTTAGGGGGTTTGCGAACGAGGGTTCGACATGTAGGCTTGTCGGTGTAAGGGTCTTGGGGTCAAGGTCGCCGGGTTCCGTTTTAGGGCTTCCTGTTTTGAGGTTGAGTGTCTAGGTCTTGGGGTGTAGGGCTACCTTCAAGTTTAAGAGTGCTGAAGCTTAGGTTTTTGCAGGACGAGATTTAGGGTTCAGTGCTTTGGATTTACGGGCGTAGCCAGCTTAAACAAACGCTTGAAAAGAAGAGTTAATCGCCTTAGGGCGTCGGCTCCTAAACCCTGAAGAAACCTGCTTTTTAGGGTTTTCTTTTACTGTCTCCTCAAATAATTCCTCGAACAGGTGGGGGTGTTTCCGGGTCCAGGTAGACCCTTAAAACTGGAAGCCAGAACAGCTAAACCCTAAACCCTAAACCCCTCAACCCCTAAACCCCTAAACCCCACACCCTAAACACTAAACCCCTAAACCCCTAAACCCCTAAACCCCAACCCCTAAACCCTAAACCCTAAACCCCTCAACCCCTAAACCCTAAACCCCAACCCCTAAACCCTAAACCCTAAACCCCTCAACCCCTAAACCCTAAACCCTAAACCCCTAAACCCTAAACCCTAAACCCCTAAACCCTAAACCGCCCTCTCATCCTCTCCGGAAACTTAAACTATACCGGGCCTAGGCCAAAGCCTCCGCCCTAAAGCCCCAAACCCGACAATCCGAAGCTCTCAGATCCCGAACTCTCAAAGCCCCTACTGGGAGGTTCATGGGTAGTATAAACTGGAGTTGTATAAGTCCCCTAATATCACTTATAGCTACAGTTACCTTGCTTGTAACCCCACTTATATGTACCCAAGATCCTTCAAGTAGACCCTGAACCCTAAACTCTGAGAACAAAAAGCCTGGAAAGCCGAAGCAGATCTGGCTCTGAGGTTTGGTGTTCATTTAGGGTTTAGTGATAAGGTTTGGAGTTAATTTAGGGTTTAGTTATAAGGTTTGGGGTTAATTTAGGGTTTAGTTAGAAGGTTTTGGGGTTCATTTAGGGTTTAGTTCTAAGGTTTGGGGTTAAATTTAGGGTTTAGTTCAAAGCTTTGGGATCCCCGCAACCGCCCTGACAAGATGCTGAAACCTGTATGCCCCGCTGAAACGTGACAAAAGCACGCCCCGAACACCAGAAAGGCTGCCTAAAGGATCATGGGACTTAGTAACTAGGGTTATAACTAGGGTAACTATACTTATGCCTAGTTTTGAGCCCAATTAAAGTACTTATAACCTTACTCACTAAGTCCCATGATCCTCCAAGTGCTGACGGAGCACAAAGCCCATTGGTTCTTCTGCGCGACGTCAGCGATGCGATGCGACTCGATCCCCAACTTGGTAGACATGTTTTTGGGGACCGGCGTCGGGTTTAGGGTTTCGGGTTTAAACTTTAGGGTTTAAGGTTCAGGGTTGGGGGTTTACGCTTAGGGATTCGGATTTAGGGGATGCTGATGCTGCGCCCCTGGCCCCATTCAACAACGAAGCTGGAATCCTGCAAGGCTGATCCCAGACCCCTAATTTTGGGCCCTGTACTACTAAGGGTACTTTATAGGAACCCCCCATGAAGGGATCTACTTTTCGGATCCTCCCGGGGGTCTGGGATATGGAGCCCACTACACTTTGTAGTGACAAGAAACTATGCAAAACCAAAACCCTAACTGAAAAGGACTTCTTACCACTCGAGAAACCCAGCTTTTCAGGGCTCCTTTTGATTTCTGCAAACCCCAAACCCTAAACCCCAGGCTAACAGCGATGTAGATGGGAGTTTCCGAAACTGGGGGACCCTAATGTAGCACCCCAAATAGCAGGATTCCTACTAATATAAGGACCCAAAATATGGTAACCCCTTTCGGAAACTCCTAGATGAGCCTGGAACTACGTTCAGGGGCAATGGACCTCCTGTACTTAAAGGATCATGGGACTTAGTAACTAGGGTTCCTTAAAGGGCTCCTTAAAAGGGATCTGTAAGGTTTCTATAAGGGGGGTTTTCGGGGAAGTTAAAGGATCATGGGACTTAGTAACTAGGGTTATGATTATGGTAACTATACTTCTAACTACTGATAACCCCAATTAAGGTACTTATAACGATCCTGCGAGTAGGCCCTAAACCCTAAACCCTATAGATCCCCTTAAGGAACCCTATAGATCCCTTTAAGGAGCCCTTTAAGGAATTGAGGGCTTTGTGTTTAGGGTTTAGGGTTTAGGGTTTAGGGCTTAGGGCTTAGGGTTTAGGGTTTAGGGTTTAGGGTGTAGGGTTTAGGGTTTAGGGTCAGTTTAGGGCTTAGGGTTTAGGGCGGCTACTTGAAAGATCTCGGGTACTTATAAGTGGGGTTATAAGGGTCCCTTTAAAAGGATCTTTCGGGATTCTAGAAGGTTACAGGGTTTAGGGCCTACGTGAAGGATCTTGGGTACTCATAAGCGGGATTATAAGTAAGGTATCTGTAACTATAATTAGGCGACTTATATCTCCACTTATAACTACCCATGAACCGCCAAGTAGGGCTTGGGGATTTCAGTGGGAGTTTAGAGAGAAGCTTGTGGGATTGTCGATGGTGGTCCTATCTTCTGGTCCTAGGGGTTTAGGGTTTAGGGTCTTATAGTCTTAAAGATTGCATTCAAATTGAGAAGTCGAGAGGGCAATATGCCTTGACCCAAAGAGAACCTACCGTCTCAAGAACGTATAATATATAAACGAGTCAAAAAAAAACGAACCCCAAGAATAAGAACAAAGTGACCGCAAATGTGGCTTGAAAACCCTCCAGAGGCCTAGATCTCGTGTACTTGGAGGTTCATGGGTAGTTATAAGTGGAGTTATAGGTCCCGTAATGTGGCTTATAGTTAGAGTTACCTCACTTAGAACCCCACTTATAAGTACCCAAGATCTTTCATGTAGGCCGTAAACCCTATACCCCTATAGAATCCCTATAGATCCCTTTAAAGGGACCCTTATAACTATCCCTGAACCTCCAAGCACCTTAAAGGGTCTTCACGAAAGCCTGACTTTCAAGAACCGGGGAGGCAGTCGCGTAGCCCAAAACCTCTCAGAAAACTGGCTTAGGGGTTTAGGGGTTTAGGGTTTAGGGTTAAACACAGCAATGTGCGGTTGAAAAGCAAGAACAAAAAAAACAACAAAGCAGCCCCACTAGCCCTAAGGCCCTAAGCGCTAAGCCACAGAACCCTAAACCCCCAAAGCCACAAAACCCTGAGCCCCAAAACCACAAAACCCTAATCCCTGGGCCCTAAACCCCAAACCCTAACCCCGAGACCCTAAACTCCTAAACCGTGAAACCCTAAACCCCTAAACCGTAAAACCCCCTTAACCCTGAACCCCTCAACCCCCTAAACCCTAAACCGTAAAACCCCAAACCACCCCTAGAGTAACCCTTTAAAGAAACCCTTATAGTACCCTCATGATAACCCTTCAACGGAACCCTTATAGTACCCTTATAGTAACCCTCTAAAGGAACCCTTATAGTAACCCTCTAAAGGAACCCTTAGAGTAACCCTCTAAAGCAACCCTTAGAGTAACCCCCTGAGACCCCGGACCGACACCAAGGAGGCCTTGTCCAAGGGGGCGGGGCATCGCTCACGCCAGGCCGCAAGCCCGAACTCCTGGAAAGGGATTTGGGGTTTCCTTTAAGGGTTTAGGGTTTAGGGTTTAGGGTTTAGGCTTCCTGGAAAGGGTTTTGGGGTTCCTTTAAGGGTTTAGGGTTTAGGGTTTAGGGTTCCTGGAAAGGGTTTTGGAGTTCCTTTGAGGGTTTAGGGTTCCTTTTTCAGGGATGTATAAGGTTCCTTCCAAGGGTTTGGGGTTCCTTTCAGGGTTTAGGGTTCCTTTTTCAGGGATGTATAAGGTTCCTTCAAGGCATCTATGGGTTCCTTTAGCGGTTTAGGGTTCCTTTAAGGGATCTATAAGGGTTCCTTTAGGGGTTTTGGGATTTGGGCTTGGGGCCGAGGGTTCAGGGTTTGGGGTTTTGGGTTTTGGGGTTCGTGGAGTACCCAGAGGGTCTTTTTACATGATGGAGTCAGGTCCGTCCCGGGATGGTCCTTCGGTACCTACTTACGTGATGGTAGTGTATATGGACCCTCTGGGGTGGATGGTGGAGACAGGGGGCTTTGGGGTTCCTTTAAGGGTCATCTTAAGGGTTCCTTGCTCCTTTAAGGGTTCTAGAAGGGGTCTAGGGTTCAGGGATTAAGCTGCAGGGTTTAGGGCGAGGGTTTAGGGTTGAGGGTTACGGTTTCAGGGTTAAGGGTGTCGGCAGGGATAAGGGTTTAGATTATACTAATCTCAAGATGGTTTCAATGCTCCAGAAAGGCTTTTGTAGGGTTCTCTAGCTAGCTTTGCTTTTTAGTCAATTAACGCCTGGGAACTGGAAGTCCAATTGTTCTAAGGTTTAGGGTTCGGGTTTGCTTTTCTGGGTTTCCGTAGATGCGAAACTTACAGCAACCCTATAACTATAACTGACTATAACTTATTATAGTAAGCCCTTGCACCACGCTGATGATAACCCTTATCGGAACGCAGAACCCTGATCCCTAAATGCTCCGGTCCTGCAAGACCCTTTCCTCTGCCAGGAAGCTCAAGGGCGGGAGGAGGTCGTCCACCTCAGTCTGAGACTACCTAAAGGTTTAGGCTTGGGAGCTTAAGGGTTTAGGTTTTAGGGGCTTTGGGTTTAGGCTTTACGGGTTTAAGGTTTACGGGTTTAGGGCTTAGTAGGGTTCGAAGCCGGTGAGATGATCCGTTCAAGCTGCAGGGTTTTGTTGGGGGTTGACGTTTGGGATTTATGCTTTAAGATGATTTGGGACTGAGGGTATAAGGCTCTGTCGACAGCTTAGAGGGTGTAAGAAGTCTCCAATATGTGTTGGCTTGATGCAGTTTCCGCGTCTAGCAGTGAGGGTTGAGGGTCCAGCAGCCCTACTTGTAGGGTCGGGGGACTTAGCAACTGGTTATTTTAGGGACTTATAAGTACCATAACTCCAATTAGGGTCCCCTTTAGGGTACTTATAAGTCTACTTACTACCTACTTACTAAGTCCCCCGACCCTCCAAGTAGATCCTAGGAAAAGGGGTTAGGCTTATGGAGACATGAGCTCGGCCCTACAATAAGAGGTTTTAAGCTTCAGGGTTTGGGGATTGTAGAATTCCTTGAGCCTCAACCCTATCTTCTGCAAGGCTTGCAGATGACAAAACCAAGATCCCAAAACCACAAAGCCTAATGTAGGGACCTTAATAATTTGAATAGGGCTTTGAACTCCTAAAACAGTCTAGGCAATTATTAAGGCCCGACATTAACCCTTTTGCAACAACTTATGGCTTCTGCCACTCAAAGAGGGCAAGGCTCTGTCACTGCTCAATGGATTGGGGTTTCGGGGTTTGGAGCTTAGGGTTTAGGGCTTAGGTTTTAGGGCTTGTGCTTCCGTGGTTTTTTCAGCCTGAACCCTTGACCGTAAAGTTGTTCCACACCTTATCATGTCTAGGCAGAGGGTCCTTATTTGGATGGGATCTCCTGTGCTTGAAGGTGCTGAGTAGGTTCTTTATGCCTTGATGAAGAAAAGATAAACAAGTTGACGGAGTTGGGTGCCGTGGTGTTCTCCGGAAAACTCCATTGATAGTTACACGTGCTAGTTATAGATATCCGTCTCGGGGCTGCTAAATAGAACCTCTGAGCTAGACCCTAAAGAGGCCCAAACCTCGGAGTAAACCCAGGAGCACCCTAAACCCAGGAGCACCCTAAACCGTACTGAAAACCGGCAGTTGAGGGCTTAAGGTTTAACGTTGAGGGTTTGTCAGAGTTTAGGGCTTCCGGGTTTAGGGTTTAGGGTTGACAGGTCTGGGGTCTAGAACTTAGGGCGTAGGGTTGAGGGATTCAAAATTCAAACCCGTAAACCCCAAACCCTAAAAGCCCTAAACCCTAAACCGCGGGGTGTTACTGCACCCTGAATCCCTCACCCCTGTCAAAGCTCCGGGGCTCCATGCTAAATCCCCAAACAACTAGTATTCAACCCTGGGGTTTAGGGTTTAGGGGTTTAGGGTAGCCTTCATCCCAAGACGCCGACACCCCCTGAATAAAATCTTCGAAGCCGGCCAACACACACACACAAGCCACACCCCAACGCCAAATCCCTGACCCAAAGCCCTAAGACTTACCCGAGGCTAAACACACGATGAATAAATTCTGCTACTACTATATACTACTCCTGCTACTACAACAACTACTACTACTACTACTACTACTACTACTACTACTACTACTACTACTACTCCACCACTACACTACTACTGCTAGTACTACTTGATTAAGGAACCTTGGTCCTAAGAGTTCTTTTAAAAGGGTCTTCAAGGGTTACTACAAGGGATCTATAAGGGTACTACGGTTGATGATACAAACCCTGCATTACCCATGATATGGAATATGCTATAACTCTCATAGTCTAGGGTCGTTAAGGTAATGCAAGATTTATGTCATCAACCGTATAAAAATGTAGGAACTCGACACAATCCCTCAAAGGGACTGTATGGCCCCTACTTGGAGGTTCATGGGCAGTTACAAGTAGGGCTGTTTTAAGGGTTTGAGGTTCTCTTAAGTGTTCTATAGGGTTCAGGGTATAGGGATAAGGGTGTAGGGCAGTTATAAATGGATTCTTAAGTAAGGTAACTGTGCTGATATTACCTGTTGTTGGGGACTTATGACTCCACTCACAACTACCCATGAACCTCAAAGTAGTCCCTAAACCCTGTACCCTTATAGAATCCCTATAGATCCCTTTAAAGGGACCCCTAAAAGGGGCCCCTATTCTAGTAATCCTGTAGAAGGAACCTAATCAACCGATTAGACGTTCCCTCCCCCTGAAGCAGGAACCCTTAAAGTTCACCCTAAACCCCTAAACCCTAAACCCTTGAAGGAACCCTTATAGCCCCTTATGGCTCCCTTTAAACGAACCCCCATAGATCCCTTTAAAGGAACCCCTAAGCCCCTAAACCCTTAAACCCTTAAACCCTAAACCCTAAACCCTTAACCCTAAACCCCAAACCCTCAACCCTCAACCCTAGACCCTAAACCCCAAACCCTAAACCCTAAACCCTAAACCCTCAACCCTAAACCCCCTTAAAGGAACCCTTCAAGGGGGAATCGAGCCCTGGTCCGTTCCCGACTCCGGACAACCCGAGGGCCCAGAGACCCCGAACTGAGGGTTACTTCAAGGGTTTTAAGGTTTCCGCTTTAGGGTTTAGGGTTTAGGGTTTAGTTTCGGGGTTTACGGTTTAGGGTTGTGAGTTTAGAGTTTAGGGTTTAGGGTTTAAGGATTTCGGTTCAGGATTGCTTAAATGGCCCCTTAAAGGCATCCAAAGGTTCTGTACAGGGGTTTCGGATTGCGCAAGGGATCGTGGGACTCAAAACAATGGTTTCTGAAAGTAGTACTACAAGGGTTACTGTAATTGTTCTATAAAGGCTTTAGGTTTACTCAAAGGATCATGCGACTGAGTAGGTGGGATTGGGAGTAAGGGAACTATACTGAGAGTTAAAGCAGGCACAACCAGATTTACTAAGTCCCTTGATCTAAAATACCCCTGAGAAGCAGTACGCCGGGCCGCAGGGGGGCGCCCCGAGCAATTCGCATGTTGGAGTGTCAAGGCAACCCCGGCCGGGGACGGAGTGACCTCTTTCACCTTCTCGAGATGGAGATGGCTCTTAGGCTTTAGATGGTGGCTGCAGGGTTTAGGGTTTAGGGTCCTATTTTCAGGGTTTAGGGTTTCAAGGTCTGGGGTGTGAGGGTTTTCAGGTTTAGGTTTGGAGTTGAAGCTTCAAGAATCCGTTAGCAAAGAAAGTACGGGGTGGGACAAAGCGGGATGCGTGGAAATGGGGCAAGTAGATCAGGTACATGAGGGCAGTTGTCGAAATTGTGGTCCGTTTTTGGGTGCCCTAAATATTAGGTGCCGTATTATAATAGGGATCCAAAAAAGGGACCATAATTTTGACAACCACCCATGAATAGATAGGTGCACGAAAGGACAGAGGTGTGTATACTGACCTAAACGCCGATGGTATCTCTTTACACGTACGTACTTTGAAGAACGCACAGGCACATCCACGACGCGAATGTAACACGTACACGGTCTCCGGATTTTGGGCCTCAAGTCTGTCAAGTTTAAAGGAATGAAAGCTTGAGGCCTAGAGCCAGAGGTTAACGAACTGCGGTGCAAAGTTCCATGAATGAGAAACGCACCTAGCTCCCTTAGCTCTTGCGCCCGTCCGAATATGCATGCAAGGACTCCGTAAACGCACCAAGCTCCCTTAGAAGCTGCAAATCCCACCCAAACCAAAGCCCTTAAATCCTAAGTTCGTATTACAACATACCTGAAGCTTTAAAACCCAGCAGCTCAAGTCCTGAATTCTGCTTTTTAAAAAACAAAAAGACTTAGTAACCCCTGACCTATAACTGACATAAAGCTTGGGGTTTTGGGGTAGACTTCGAGTCTAAACTGACATACAACACCAAAACTTAAGCCCTAAAGCCTAAAGCTTAAGCCATAAACCCTCAAACTTAAATCCCCAAACTCTAAACCTCACAACCCTGACCCGATCCACCCTAGACCTTCCCGTGACTCATGAACCTACAAGCATCTCCCGGCCTCTTGTTGCACCGTGACTTGCAGGTGGAGGCCTGGCTAGAGGGTAAAGCCCTAAACCCCTAAATCCGCAAACCCTAAACACCGAAACCCTATACCTTTATGGATTTACGGCTTCGGGGCCAGAGGGTTTAGGCCTGAGAACTTAAGGTCTACGGCCTGTGCCCCGAACCCAGCTTATGATGGCTTGAGACATCAGGTTCTCGCACCTTTAAACACGAGTAAGCCTTAAAACCCTAAACCCTACTGCAAAGCCCTAGAGCCCCGCAATCGACTGGTTACGAAACCCTTTCAAACACTCCCAGAATCCAAATCTCGAAGGTCTCCTTGGGTTCTATCACCGGCTCTGCAAAATTCTCAACAGATTTCTGTAAGGAACCTACAGGTTCTCGGCTTGCGGGGTTCAGGCTGTAGGGTTTAGGGGTTAAGTTTCAGCGCTCGCGTTAAGGGTTTCGGGTTCAAGGGACTTCGTAGTTAGTATCATGAATTTGGTAACTGCCCTCATTGCCAGATCCAACCCCCACTCATGTACTCTAGCTGCTCTACTTAAAGGATCATGGGGCTTAGTAACTAGGGTCATCATTAGGAAAACCATACTTACAACTACTTATAACCCCAAGTCAGGTACTTATAACCTTGCTTACTAAGTCCCATGATCCTCCCAGTTGCTGTACTTTCATCGCATGAACCTCCAAGTAGGCTTCACCTATTCGACCCAGAGTTCTTCACGGTGTTTTGCAGGAAAAAACTTCTTGGGCTTAGGGTTTTTTGTTTTGGGGAGGGGTTTAGGGTTTAGGGGTTTAGGGTTTAGGGGTTTAGGGTTTAGAGCTTAGGGTTTAGGGGTTTAGGGTTTAGGGGTTTAGGGTTTAGGGTTTAGGGGTTTAGGGTTTAGGATTGCTTGGGCTGTAGGGTCTACGCCGATCCCGGATACCAGAGGCACGAAAGGGGAACCACACAAAAAGGAAGCTCTATTTCTGCATTGCACTTTCTATAGTTCTACACAGGTTATACAGGATTTAGAGTTTAGGGCCTTTAGGGTTTAGCGACCCTAAACCCTAAACCCTCAAGTTCTATAGCGGCAGTACAAGTGTTCTGGGGGGTAGGGTTTAGGTGTGACACCTGAACCCGACGGCCTGAGATATGGAGCTGCATGTAGGCATGTAAAGCAGCGGTGTAAAGGTATGTAAATGATCTATATGGCCTGAATCCCTGTCACAAGTGGGAGAAAGCATGTAACACTTTCTCAGCCCGTAGACTGTAGACCCTGCAACAAGCACGAAATCGAGCACAGCACCCCGTTAACGGCCACTTAATGCCAAAGCGGCCTGCCTGTTAAAGCCCTGCCAACGCACACTGAGACCCCGTTCACACAGAAAGGCGATAAGAACCCCCACAATAGGCCCCTGCACCTCAACGACGTGAAAGCCCTGAAAATCCCGCAATAACTCCTGAAGGATCCTGAAGAATCGCGCGAAAACCACTGCAACGCCTTCACCAAATCCGTGTAACCCAATCACAGGAGGAAGCAAAAGCTTTAAAGTAACTTTACAAGCAACATCGAAAACCATAATCCTAAACCCGAAACCCCACACCCCTTGTAGAAGCTTTGTGTTAAAGCCCTCTAATGAACCCTAGTAGCGTCACCATCCCTTTGAGGAGCCTTTTAAGGAACCCTTACTTAATGATCCTCCAAGTAAACCCTAAGACCCTAAATCCTTGAAAGCCCCCATACTAGATCCCGTTAAAGGAGCCCTTGTAGTTGAAGAATCCAGGTGGAAGAATCCCAAACCCTAAACCCTAAACCCTAAAACCCTAAACCCTAAACCGGCCTGACTGCAGGAAGCCCGTCGTGCAGTCGGCAGCCTCGCTGCTTTCGTCCTGGTGATAAGCGGTGGATATGGACCAAAGGGGAAAAGGATGGACCCTTAATGGGGACGCTACCCTATAATGGGCTACAAAATGGGTATATAATAGCTATATTAAAAATCCTAGGGTTCCTTTAAAGGGATCTATACGGGTACCTTTATAGGGGTTCCTCTAAGGGATCTATAGGGTTGTAGGGTTTAGGGTTGATGATGTATGAATCCTGCATTACCTTAAGGTCCCTAAACTATGAGAATTATGTTAAATTCCTTATTATGGGTAATGCCGGATTTGTATTGGAGTATGGTTTATATTACTTGTGTCCCCGTAAGGACACCCAGTATCTATACTCACCAATATTTAACAGGTGCCCTATCTACACTCGCCAAAACTGTAATATAAACCCTACTTCATATCATCAACCGAAATTCAGGGCTTTGGGGTCTTAGGGTTTACGGCTCTAGGGTTTTCGGGTTTCGGAGTCAGGGTTTAGGGTTTACGGCTCTAGGGTTTTAAGGGTTTCGGATTTAAGGGTGCAGGCTGTAGGTTTTGAGGCTGTGCGGATTAGGCTTTGGGTTCTAAAGTTTTCGCTTTTGCTTAAGGGGGCTTGAGCTCTTTAAGGTTTAGGATTTAGGGCGGTTTGGGGTCCGGAGCTTAGGGTTTTCAGTGCTTTGGCGGTTTGACGTTGAAGGGTTTAGGGTTCGTCGCAATGCAGGCATGGTGTGGGCGTGTCTACGGGCTCCAAGAAGTATGCCAACGTATGTCAAGCTTTCCTATAACATAAAGGTTTTCCGCAACCCTAAACCTTATAAACTCTAAACCTGAAAACCCTAAATCCTAAACCTTAGAACCTCAAACCTTAAACCCTAAAACCGTAAACCCTAAACCTTAAACCCTAAACCCCTCGGTTTCAACAACATGGCCTGTTTGGGGCTTGTGTTGAGGATGCCATAACAACGCATCAACTTCAACGCGCCTTCGGGCTTCTGCTGCGGTAAGACTGCACAATAACCAACATAATGTATAATGACTGTATAATGTAATGAAGCTAATTCAAGCAAAACTTATACCATAGATGTGATATCACATAACAAAATACAAACAATATGATTCCTGAGGAACATCGAACCTATACTGAACTTAGAACCCTAGCAAAAATTAGAACTTTAGCTGTTTCTTAGGGATTACAATAACCAAAAATTACAAACTATTTCTAAGTACCCCTAAGAAAATACAAACGGTATGATTCCTGAGGAACATCGAACAAGAAGTCCTAGCTTCAAGGCTTCAGCTTCGTAATTCAACGGTTAAAGAGGATGGTTTAGCGGTTTTTAGTGTTGAGGGGTTTTGGTGTTTAGGGTTTTATTTTAGTGTTTAGGGCTTAGGGTTTTGGCTGTTCAGTTTAAGGTTTCAGGTCGAATGGTACGAATGTTGATCGCGGCTCTTGCAAGGTGTGGATGCGAAGTCTCATGACCCAGATTTTGGGAGGATCTAAAAACTAGATCCCCGAATTTGGGGCCCTATACTACTAAGGGTACTTTAAAGAATCCCCCATTAAGGGATCTACTTTTTGGATCCTCCCGGTGGGGTCTGGGAGATGACCTGAAGTAGATCCTTGCCTTGAGCCCTGAAGCGGATTGGTCCTGTACTTTTCACCCTGAAACCCAAGATTCTAATGTAGGAACCTGATTAAGAACCCTGGGCATATAACCCCAAAACAGTAGGAGGATTCATTTTTTAAGAACCCTGGGCATATAACCCCAGAACAGTAGGACTCATTTTGGGGAAACCTAATGAAAGCCCAAGGTTTCTTAATCAGGTTCCTGCATTGAACTAAACCCCAGGATTCCAAACGCTTCAACTGAAGTACCCAAATCCAGCGCGGTCCAGCAAGCATGCAACCTGTGAGATCAGGCCGCAGCCAATGATGACCGTCAGTCGTACCACCGCGGGCGCCATCACAAAGCAAGGCTTCACACACGACTTTGCAAGTCCACAAACCCTAAACCACACGCAACGAAGCGCAAAACCGAAAAATAGGTATGAAAACAACAGCTGTCAAGATGAAGCTTGATGCTGGAGAGGACCTGAGACAGCTATTGCCACCTATGGCCCGTGATCCACGGAGATGGTTCGGTTGGATGATCCTTTGAGCCCAAAACGCAGATGAGCGGAGCGGCTGTTTCCAAACCTGAACCCAGACAAACGTCTAAACCCCAAGACCCGAACCCACAACTACACAACATGCTTACTTTGCGGATCCGGTGCACCAACAATGCGACAATCACTGCTTCTTCTGGACACCGTTTTGTTCATCAAGATCAACCGGAAAGGGCACATGACAACTCGACCTTATGACCTACTACAGGACCCAAAGGCCAAAAGTCGTGCTGGCCGCGTGAAACCAGGTCGTTATCATCCCCGCCCCCCCTTCCCCCTTCCCCCTCCCCCTCCCCCTCCCCCCATCCCCATCCCCATCCATTCCGCTGGGGACTGGATGTGGTCGTGCTGGCCGAGAGAAACAAAATCGTTATCATCCCTCCCCCGCCTCCCCCTGCCTTCACCAAGAAACTGATAACGGTCTGATACAGCCTGTTTGAGGCAGTATTTCTTTGTGTTTGAGAAGATGTTGGAGAAGATAGTGTGGTTAAGTGGGTGTCTAGTTGGTGTTGCAATCAATTCATATTGTAGCGTTCTTTGTTGTGTTGTTTGAGATGTCATGCGTGCGTGCCTCTATCTTTGCAGAGGTCAGAAAAAAGACATTAGAGGCCCGGTCCGAAAAAAAGACACGGGGTCAGTTGCGAGCTGCTTCAGGGCCCAAAAAAAGACAGCTTAAATCGCAGAGTGGAGATTAAAAAAAAGATCGTCGTCTTTTCTAGACCTTGTCGTGGGGCTAAAACACAGATGGAGGTCCGTCTTTCATGGATTCCGCATTGAGAGCATGCAAAAATCGCCAATCGTGCCAACGTTCAGTCAGATGGTGTTCACGAAAGTAAACGACTTGTGGCTTGACCACATGGCACCGGGGCGAGCAATTTTCCAGATGAATTCCTCCGATGCTCGCTGCCAATCTTGCAACCTCTCTCTGGGGAGGGTGTTCCCGCGCTCCACTCTGTAGTAGCTACGAGGCTTGTTTCGAGACGTAGGCTAGAATTCGTTACTTCGAAGGCTTGTCGATTTTGAGGGCTGGAGGCCGTAGGGTCTGCAATCTTCGGAGCTCTAAAGTGCTTGCAAACTGGGCGCGCGCGGCTTCGGAAGCAGTTTGAGGGTGCGCGGGGACGCTCGGGAGCTGTTCGCGGGCGAGCCGTCGCGCTCAACTGACACCCTACCGACACCTCAGTGTCGTCTGCAGGACGCTTGATTATGCAGAACTGCCTGTCATCTCTTCTAGTAAGGGTTCTTGCTGCAAGCTCTTCATTAGCCCAAGCCCTAGCGAGTCTTCACCATCACTATCATCATCGAAGTTGTCGCATCCTAGGCACAAGGCATTGGCGAAAGAAACCTCCATCGCCTGCAACTGCAAGGCGGTGGCCCCGAGTCGGCGTTGAAATCCAGCTTCCTCGGATTCGCAACAAGACTTGCCGACACAGAACAAGGCGATCATCGTCTACCAGTGCCCATCCAACCAGCACAACCACGACCAGCTCTGCCACCACCATCCCGACCACCACAACAACAACAGCAGAAGCAGCAACAGCACAACAGCAGCAACAGCAGCAACAACAACAACACCAGCAGCAGCAGCAGCAGCAACAGCAGCAACAACAACAACAGCAATCCTCCTCCTTCTCAGCCTGTTCGTGTTCTTCTTAAGTCTTCTTAAAGCCCGTGGCACGGATCGCAGACGCTAGTGTGCTAGTGTGTGTGTGTGTGTAACACGGACAGAAGACAACAAAGCAGAGAAGAACCCATTCTCAAGCTCCGGCGGCTGCTTCGAAACCAGTGAACGTCCTGCTGGGTCGACAAGTGATATGAAAACAACTGCTACTGTGCGGAAGTGACAGTATAGCAATCCGAAGAAAATCAACGACAACTAAGGGCACCAGGCCGTAATGCTCAGTGATACCGTTAGAATCATTGCATTTGAAGCCAGCTCAGGCTTAGGGAAATGTCTTGCCCAATAGGAGGAATTCGAGCAATAGATGGTACTTAGAAACAACTGAAGGTTCCAGATGCACATGGCAGAGAAGCAGCAGCCATCATCTTTACATGCACAGTCACCCTTGCCCATCATCTCCAGCAAACCGCGAGATTGAAACTGATCCCCAGATAGTCGACTGAGTGCTTAGGGCTAAATTGCAGCATGAACCTTGAGCAGAGAAGCTGGACGCAAAGCAATTTCACAGAGCTTGGCCCGCATGAGCGGGGAGGAGTAGTCGCACTTCAGGCCCTCCTGTACAGCAAAGGTTCCGGCTCCCGGGCCATAAGGGATCTATAAGGGTACTACAAGGGTTACTATCAGGGATCTATAAGGAGACTATAATATAGGGGCCTTAGTAATCCTATAACTTACCTTTGGGTAGTAGGGAATGGAGGAATGGGGTATAGTTATAACTACTATTACTACCATTCTTCCATTCCCCTACTAACCTACGGTAAGCATTTCGTCTGCTGGTTCTTCTTTGTCTCTAGTAAAGATGCAGAGATGTGTGTGCGAACAGCCACGGGCAAAAAACAGTGAAACTGGCATGATGGGGCATGCTCGCCGGCGTCATTTTTTCCCCACCCGCACAGCTGACCATGTCGCACAGCAGGGGCAATCGTCTGAACTGAAAAGCAAGACAGCTACACTACAAGCAAGTTCCAAGGAAAACTCCTCCTTCCCAATAGAAGAGCACAACGACAACTACACACCCGGTAATGAAAATGAAAGGGAAGTCGGAGCTCACAGGATACAGTGACAGTGATGCTGTATGTGGGTCTTCAGGTCTGAGGCCCTAACGACTGTCCATGCTTTCAGCTTGAACTTTCGTGCCTCATGAGTCCGAACATGTGGAGTGCCGCAGCTGTAAACAAACGTGTCTTTTTCAGACCCTAGGTTTTTCACAATTACGATGCGGTTACAGGACTCTTCTCGTATGATTACCATGTTACTGTTATACCAGTAAGCAGCTGGGCTGCGCCCAGCATGTGACCATGAAGTGATGTTCCACTTCTAAGCCAGAGCGCTGTCCACAAAAGTTTCAAGAAAGATGGCCGTGCCTTAAACCATCTGTTTGTTGAAGCCCATTGAATTCTGTGAACAGCGAGGAGCAAAGCCGTCGGAGTTGCAAACGATTCTCGGAGCTTCGCTCCCACTCGCATTTCCCGAGGCGCACCACAGGGGATCCGCTACTGATGCCGGTATTAAAAAAATCTCATCGATTTCGTCCCAGAACAGTTGCTTTAAGAGAGATTAGGAAATACCAATCCACCTTCTAAGGATGCTGCACAAACAAGCTCTAGATGGTAGACAGATTCCTCCGACCGACCCCTTAGATACACCTACATTGGTCAAGCACCGGTTCCCCAACCGACGTGCCCTCTGAGCAACGAGCGGTAGCTGTTATCCAAGGCGCTGTTTATCAAGGTTGGGAATTCGGCTCACGGACATCTGCACTGCTAACACTATTCTGGAGAGAGGCATTTGCTCTACATTAAGCCATCGAAATCCCCACACCCTGAGAAAGTCTCCGCCTGCTGAACCGATGTCGGAATAACACGGTCCTTGGAGCTTTGCGCCCACTCGCCTTGGAAAAGCCGCAAATGTACTGTTCTTGGCTTCTTGACTGGAAGGCTCATGCGAAAACCACAAAAAAAGGCGTGTGGATGTGCAGTCTGCTCTTGCTGACGCATCCGACTTCAGTGGATGCTGAGATCTATAGCTCGCGCTTGCAAGGGACCTGACAGCTTGACACGAATAGTGTAGGAATACTGTATATTTTGTTATGGTATGATTACAACAGCTGTACCTCCCGAAAAGAGCAGCCCTGACCGATCCTCTAGATACATGCACATTGGTCAAGCGCCGGTTTCCACCAACATGGATGCTCTTATAGATGCTCTTTGAGCACGATGAACAGTAGATTTAAATTCAGGTGCTGCCCATACAGCGACGCATTCCCCAGCTTCAGCTGCTCTTTGCCATCTTCGTTGGAGGCTCGGCAGCCAAAGCTTCCGTCGCCTTAGCCTCACCTTCAAGTGCTCTCCAACAACGTCCCTGGCAAGAGGCCGTCGAACTTTTCCGGCCGACTCCCTGGGCCTAAAAGGATAGCGCCTGTATCCACGATTACTGTGGGCTCCATCTCAGGTTCATCCGGGCGGGGCCCCGGGATGGGCTTTTCCTGGAGCTCCTTATCGTCTTGAAACCACCTGGGAGTTTCCGAAAACAGGGGGGCCCTATTACAGTACCCTAAGTAGTAGGATCCTTATTATAAGGGTCCCGAAGACCAGGTACCCCTAGTTTTCGGAAACTATAAACCCTTATAAAACCCTTTAGCCTATAGTAACCCTTTTTAGGAACCCAATAAGGTACCCCTAGTTTTCGGAAACTATAAACCCTTACAAAACCCTTTAGCCTATAGTAACCCTTTTTAGGAACCCAATAAGGTAGCCCCTAGTTTTCGGAAACTATAAACCCTTATAAAACCCTTTAGCCTATAGTAACCCTTTTTAGGAACCCAATAAGGTACCCCTAGTTTTCGGAAACTATAAACCCTTACAAAACCCTTTAGCCTATAGTAACCCTGTTTAGGAACCCAATAAGGTAGCCCCTAGTTTTCGGAAACTATAAACCCTTATAAAACCCTTTAGCCTATAGTAACCCTTTTTAGGAACCCAATAAGGTAGCCCCTAGTTTTCGGAAACTATAAACCCTTATAAAACCCTTTAGCCTATAGTAACCCTTTTTAGGAACCCAATAAGGTACCCCTAGTTTTCGGAAACTATAAACCCTTACAAAACCCTTTAGCCTATAGTAAACCTTTTTAGGAACCCAATAAGGTAGCCCCTAGTTTTCGGAAACTATAAACCCTTATAAAACCCTTTAGCCTATAGTAACCCTTTTTAGGAACCCAATAAGGTACCCCTAGTTTTCGGAAACTATAAACCCTTACAAAACCCTTTAGCCTATAGTAACCCTGTTTAGGAACCCAATAAGGTAGCCCCTAGTTTTCGGAAACTATAAACCCTTATAAAACCCTTTAGCCTATAGTAACCCTTTTTAGGAACCCAATAAGGTACCCCTAGTTTTCGGAAACCCTAAACCCTTATAGAACCCTTTAAAGGAAGCCTTATAGTACCCCTATAGTAACCCTATTAAGGACCCCACATAAGGTACCCCTAGTTTTCGGAAACTCCCCCACCCTAAACCCTATAGATCCCTTATAGGAGCCCTTAAAGGAACCTCTTATATAGATCCCTTTGAGGCTGCCCCTAGTTTTCGGAACCCCCCCACCTCGACTCAATCTTCGCCCTCACATCTCGGCTCCGCAGGGCCAGGGATGCTAAAGTGCCCATGGCGACGGCCAGGGCGAGAGGCAGCACAAGTAAGTCCTAGGGCTTAGGGCTTAGGGCTTAGGGGTTTAGGGCTTAGGGTTTAGGGCTTAGGGTTTAGGGCTTAGGGCTTAGGGCTTAGGGTTTAGGGCTTAGGGTTTAGGGCTTAGGGGTTTAGGGCTTAGGGTTTAGGGCTTAGGCGTTTAGGGCTTAGGGTTTAGGGCTTAGGCGTTTAGGGCTTAGGGGTTTAAGGCTTAGGGTTTAGGGTTTAAGGGTTTAGGGTCCTGCAGCAAGCTCATGCCGGTGCTCTGGTACCAGTCATGGGCGTCCACCAACCGTACATTGGCGAGGAAGATCATGACGTAGAACACGCATGTGCCCGAGTAGAGTAGCCAAATGAACCAGAAGCAGACGCCTTTGCAGCGCCACGTGGCGATCTGCCGACGCATCGCCCTCTCCGACCACTGCCGCTTTTCAACGGGCTTGCGAGCTTGGAGGAGAAAGAGGGTGAAGACAATGCAGTCGCCCAGGAAGGCAGCAAGGAAACCCACAATGGTGTTCGTCACCAGCCTCCGGAAGTAATCCTTCGGCATCCAACATTTCGGATCCGAGCCCTCGAGCGGGGAGTTGCTCGAAAAGAACAAGGCGTTCGTGGCGCCCGATGTGCAAATTTTCAGAAAGATAAGCGAGACGCGGACCTTGTAGGAGGTCACGATGCTGAGCCGCAGCAGCGCAATCCAGGGGTGGAAGGCGGGCAGGAGCAGCCCCACGCGCGCACACCAGGAACGATCGAGAATGGATTTCACCGCGCTGGCGCCGTGGACGTGGACGTTCCATCGGGCGTTGAGATCCCGAAGGGCCGAGGTGAAGTTGTTCATACTCGGAAGGGCCGCCCCCGCCAGCCATGAGAAGACGCTCTGCCGATTTTGGCTCCGAGCGACCTGTTTTTGGCCCGAATCCTCGGTGTCGGCATCGAACTTCTCACCAGCCGGAAGCAGGATGGTCAAGCTGTCCTTGGCCACACCACTGCGATGTGCATGGAGTGTCTTGATGCAACGGTTCACCGTAGCCTCCGGCGCATTCGGAAGTAACTCGACGATCTGCCCCATGTTCTCCACGCCGAAGCAGATCCCCGCGCACCAAAAGCACCCCTCTCGCGCCGTGATGAGCTGGCGCACGCAACAGTTGCGCTTGGGCTCATCCTCGCCCTCGGCCTCCGAGTCCGAGTCCGAGTTGGGCTTCTCGCGGAAAAGCACCGGCTCCACCATTTCCCAGGGAACTGCTTGCTGCATCTTCCTGTCGACATAAGAAGAGCGCATGAGCACGACAAAGAACAAAGCCACGAAGAGCAAAGTTGAGATGGCTGGAAGCGAGCTAATCCAGCGCCCTGCAGCCAGCCGCTCCACACCTTCTTGTGTAAACAACTCCCAAATGGAGCTGCACTCAATGACTGACACGGCGATCTGCTGAATATCGTTCAAGACCCCGCTGAAGATGGACAGGTGCTGGGTTCGGCACGTGAGTTGCCCGGGCGCCGGGCCCGGCAAGGTCTCAAGTCCCCGGAAGGACCAGCTGCTGTGCTCCTCGTCCCAGAAGGCACACGAGGCGTTGATGGCATCCTCCGACTCGAGTACAAGCTCGATAGGTTGGAGAAGCTGGCCTATTTCCACCACCTTCCCATCTTCGTTCCTTAGAGTAATGCTTAAGGTCTGCGTCTTCACGACGGACGCGGCCTCGCCCTCTTCGCGCCTGTCGACGAACTTGCTGGCTTTCTGTTCAGCTATATCCGTGATGCCGATCAAAACCATCCGTGAAGCGTTCCCTGGAGGGTCGCCTGCCTGTGCCTGCGCCAGAACAGCTGCTGGAACGTGCACACTGGCCGTCTCTCCCGATGTGATTTCAATGACGCCGTCGCGCCTCACTGCCTGGGGAACCACCGCAGTGATCTTGACTGTGCCGTTCTTCGTCTGCCTCGTCACATGGGCCAGGATCCCGCCTGTTTCAACTGGATCTGCCCCACCACCAGTAAAGAGGGCCTGAAGGAGTTCTTGCACCGTCCCCTCCTCGATGGCCTCCACTGCAGCGACAGCTTGGGCGGCCTCCTCCTGCCGCTGCAGATCCTGGATATGCTTGGCCAAGTCCTCGCCGGTGAGCGTTGTGCTGCTGGTCGTCAGTGTGGTTGTGGATGTCCGTGATTCCGATGTTGTGGTGCTCGAACTTGCTGTGGTCGAGGTGGAGGATGATGACGAGGTGCTAGACGTGCTGATGCTTGAGGCGGTCACCGACGTGGAACTTGTGACGGTTGAGGATGTGGTTGACGAGGTTGACGTGGTTGATGAACTGCTACTGCCAGTGCTGGTTGTGGAACTTCTGGAGGTGGAGGTTGAACTGCTGCTGAAGCTTGTCGATGTGCTGCGTGTGGTCGAACTGCTTGTGGTCGAGCTGCTTGTAGTCGCGCTGCTTGTTGACGTGCTCATCGTGGTCGTGCTGGTTGAAGTCCTGCTGCGTGTGGTCGTGCTGCTTGTGGTTGTGCTGTTTGTGGTTGTGCTGCTTGAGCTACTAGAAGTTGTGCTGGTTGTGGTTGTGCTAGTGGTGCTTGTGCTGCTTGAAGACGTGCTGCTGAAGCTGGTACTGCTTGAACTAGAGCTGCTCGTCATGGTACTACTTGAGGATGTGCTTGTTGACGTCAAGGTTCCAGTGGTAGTACTACTCAAAGTTGTGCTGAGTGTAGCGGTGCCGCTTGACGTCGAACTTGTTGTGGAAGCAGTGCTGGAAATCGTTTGGCTCGTTGTGGAGCTAGCTGTGGCTGTGGCTGTTGTCGAAGAAGTAGCCGTGGCCGTTGTCGTCATCACCTCGACATCCATGTTCCACAAGCTGCTGTAAGCAAAGACCCAAAGCTTGTCATCCGAGGTGATGGCCATGGCATGGCCCCAACTGCCGTCAGGCACACTGGCTGCTTGCGTCCATTGGGGGCTCGCGGCCTGGAGATCAATGTACCACACGTCACTCAAGGAACTCAAGGAGCCCGCATCCCAGCCGGCAACGATCCACATCACGTCGGCCGAAGTAATGGCAGCTGTGTGTTCTTCGCGCACCCCGGGCAAGCTCCCGCTCGGTGATACCTCCACCCACTGGGTGGGATCCTTCGTGTCGAGCTTCCACAAATCATTCTCGGGGCCGGAGTCTGAATGGCCTCCAAAGATGTACATCACATCAGTTGAAGTCATGACGGCAACATGCCCGGTCCGTTCTTCCGGGAGCTCGCCCGTTGGCGACACCGAAGTCCATTGCGGGGTGGATGCCGTAAGGTCGATGTAGGTGACGTGGTTTGTTTTGCAGCAGCCGCCGAAACTGCCGCCGAATACCCACATCACATTGCTCGTTGTCAGCACAGCGCTGCCTCGAGAACTTTGGGGCGGAGTGCCCGACGTCGATATTTCCGTCCACACTGGCGTAGCGGCCTGGAGGTTCATGGACCAGATATCATCGGAGCCCCCACCGTACATGTACATCATGTCATCGGGAGTGATCATCATATTATGAGAACTCCGCATGACGGGCGCATTACCAGATGGTGCGTGTGATTGCCACTCTTTGCTGGCCGCCTGAATGTCGACATAGTGCAAATCGGTCGTCAAGCTGCCATAGCCATAGCTGGGATCGCCGCCCCACATCCAGAGCCGGTTTTGCGCTGTGACAACCATGCCAGAACTTGTTCTTGCAGTCGGCACATTGGTCTGCGTGACGTCTGTCCAGGCAAACTCGGCTCCTCGAACACCACGTAAGAGAAGCCAGGCAAGGAGGCAGCGCGACATGGCTGTTTCTACAATACTATCGCCCTGGGACTTGGGACTTGAGGCAAAATGGAGACTCTCGCCGGCATCATTGGGATGACCCAAAAAAAACTGCTGTAGAGGTCTCAGTCGTCAGTAACGGCATCTGCCTTGAAGTTCCTCTCTAAGTGCACTGCAACACAGCCCCAAAACCAGGCTCCAATCTTGTAAACCTCTGTTAAGCCCTGAGGCAGCGGAACTTTCTTCTCCAAATCGGGGCCTCCGGAAGCAAGTACTTGCCACTCGTGGCAAAGCGATGCGCCTGATTGAGCCGCGGAGGACCTCCCCCATCAGAGCTCTCGAAACCCCGTTTGAAGCTCAGGGTTTTGAGGGTTTGGGAGTTGCGGCAGGCGTTCAGGGGTCTGGGGATTTTGCAGGGGAGTGGGCTCTCTCTCGCAACCAGTTCAGGTTTCAGGGTTTATTAAAAAAGACTTGAGGGTTCAGGCTCCAGGGGTTTCACGGAGAACTGGGTACTTAAAGGATCATGGGACCTAGTAATTAGGGTTATAATTAAGGTAACTGTACTTATATCTACTTATAAGCCCAATTATGGTTCTTATAACCTTACTTACTAAGTCCCATGATCCTCCAAGTAGCTGGATGTTGAGAGCTTTCAGGGTTGCACTTCTCTCGGATCAGCTAGGCAAGATTCAGTACAACCGGTTCGACCTGTTCATTCGAGACATGGTTCAGGAGGGAGTACCAATGATGATTACAATAATTATGCCTGCAAGGCACCATCACGGCAATCATACCAATTATGACAACAGCACTTGTCATCCCCATCATCACAACAACCACAAGCCAAGTCACGATCAGGAGCATACCAAGAAGTGACATCCGGTTCGGGGGTTCCACCCGTTTCTCTCGGGATTGACATCGGAACATTGGAGCCTCCGTCGTTGGTCTTGTTTCCCAACTCTCTGAGACTCTGAGTCTCTTGTTTGCGGTGAGATGCACAACCCACTTGGGTTTGTAGGGTTGGGATTAAGACAATTAGGCTCCGGGTGCCCTAGATGAACTTATTGTCGTCTGAGGCTTCCGTTTCGGTTTGAACAGATTTCACATAAGCAGAGAACTAACACAGTACACAGCACAGCGCTAGTGCAGATGCTATAAACAACATACTAATATATTACAAACAACATATACTGGATTCTATGTTATATTCAAGATATTGCATATAATACAGACCATTACTATATTCAGTACATAGCATATAGTACACAAAAAGTAATAGTTTTTCCGGGTCTTGGCATGAGCTGGCTGCAAGTGATTTCGGGCCAAGCTCTCGGCCTCTGCTTTGGAGACCTCCTGCCTGAGATGCATCGAAGTTCCACTGCAACGTCGACAGCACATTAGCTACAGGATGGAGTTTAGGGTTTGGGCATTTGGGGTGTTAGGTTCAGGATTTTGGGGGTTTAGGTTTGGCTCACTGCTGTGTTCTCTGGAAATGCTTGGCATCGGCAGTTTGAACCGAAGTGTGTTTCCAGCAGCATGTGCAGCTCACGAAATGCAGTGCGCAAGTCCAAGGTCAGGATTTACACTCGCACAGTGCGGGTTATCCAGGCGAGGCGCTTGGGGCTTGTGATGGCTAATGGGTTGGGGCTCAGGGGCTGAGCCCTCTTTCAGGGTCTGAGTGGCACTTACGGCTTCGAGCTTACCACTCACCAAGTGCGTGTACATTCCACACTGAATGCTAAGCCCACATCCCATGCCATCAAGTTGCGCATTTCATCCCAGAAACTTACAACACCACGAGTAGCATATTCGGGTTCCGAAATTCAGTACGGCAAAGCGGCTCACGTGTCCCACCACCGGAGGCAGCCAAGTCAACCAGGAAAGTGTCCTGCTGGCTGGCACAGATTTTGTCGAAACCACCGAGTTCGAACCTTGCATGAAGTCTAAACGCCTGCACTTCGGAACTTTCCAGAAGAGCCAGCGTGCCAAAGGGCTAGGCTCCAAGCTTCCACGAAGATTAAGCCCGTCCCGCTGCAACACAATACTCGCAGGCAACGCGGGACAAGTATCATAGAAAATCTAAACCCTGAGCCACGTTTGAAAGCTTGCCAAATCCACCGGGCGTCGGTTGTGCCTTTGGCTCGTCCCTTCAAGATGGCGCGGAAGGTGGTCCGGTCGGAACCTTTGTCCTCCAAACGCGCATGCTTTCGCTTAAACTGTGGGCATCCTTCGAATTCCTTGTGGATAAAGGGCTTGCATAAATACCGATCAAATTTCGAGCTTTAGCCATCCCCTCGACCGAAAGGCCAAGCGAGTAGTAGTAGTAGTAGTAGTAGTAGTCGTCGTCGTCGTCGTCGTCGTCTTCGTCGTCGTCGTCATCATCGTCGTAGTAGTAAGACTACAGACAGAGTGAGAGTAATAGCAAGAGCAAGAGTAAGAGGAAGAGCAAGAGATAGAGTAAGAGTCGTAGTAGTCGTCGTCGTGGTGGCGGTGGTGGTGGCGGTAGCGGTAGCAGTGGTGGTAGCGGTAGCGGTAGCAGCAGGGGCAGTGGCAGTGGGAGTGGGAGTGGTAGTGGTAGTGGTAGTGGTAGCGGCAGTGGCAGTGGGAGCGGGAGCGGTAACGTAGCGGTAGCGGTAGCGGAGCGGCAGCGGTAGTGGTCGCGGTAACAGTAGTAGTAGTAGTAGTAGTAGTAGTAGTAATTGTAGTAGTAGTCGTCGTAGTAGTGGTAATAGTAGTAGTAGTGGTAGCAGTGGTGGTGGCAGTGGTTGTAGTAATGGTCGTGGTGGTAGTAGTGGGGTAGTGATAATAGTACTAATAGCACTAGTAGTGCTAGTAATACTGGTAGTAGTAGTACTAGTAGTACTAGCAGTACTACTAGTACTAATAATACTAGTTGTACTAGTAGTTCTAGTAGTACTAGTAGTACTAGTAGTATTGGTAGTACTGGTAGTACGTAGTAGTACTAGTAGTACTAGTAGTACTAGTAGTACTAGTAGTACTAGTAGTACTAGTAGTACTAGTAGTACTAGTAGTACTAGTAGTACTAGTACTACTACTAGCACTAGTCGTACTACTAATACTAGTAGTACTAGTAGTACTAGTAGTACTGGTAGTAGTACTACTACTAGTACTACGAAAAACCGAATAATGCGAATAATAACGTCCTTTCCATGACATATAGATGCGAGAACCACACGAAAACGTATAGTGGGAGCTAAAAATGAAAACAAAGGATTATCATACATGAATGAAAGGTCTTCTGAAGGCCAAAGGCACACAATATAGCAAAAAAACCTTATGTTGAAAAGGATGCGAATAATAACGTCATTTCCATCACATATAGATGCGAGAACCACACGAAAACGTTCAGGGGGCTAAAAATGAAAACAAAGGATTATCATACATGAATGAAAGGTCTTTTGAAGGCCAAAGGCACACAATACAACAAAAAAACCTTATGTTGAAAAGGATTGCATGGCGGGGGCTGCGCCTCCAACCCCTTTAGACTCAAAACTCCTTGCCCGTATGCCGCGAACCGAATCATGCGAATAATACGTCATTTCCATCACAGATGCGAGAACCACACGAAAACATTCAAGGGCGCTAAACATGAAAACAGCAAGACAATCATGAATGAAATCTAGGCCAAAGGCACACAATTTTGCAAAAAATGCCTGATGTTGGAAAGGATTGCAAATGGGTAGACTGCAAACTCCTCGCCTTTGCCGCAAAACCGATAATGAGAATAACAACGTTTTACCATGACACATAGAAGCAAGAACGCACGAAAACATTTTGGAATTTCAAACCGAAGACAATATACATAAATGAAAAGTCTTCAAAAAGCCAAACACAATTTTTTTTTGGCGTGGGCGGGCCTCGTCGACTACGGCTGTAGCACTCGGTCCCTACAAACAAAACAAACCAACAAACAAACAAACAAACAAACAAAGACGGCGGTGAAACAGGGCGGTTCGTTAAAGAGAGGCAAAAGGCTAGCTGCGGCGCACAGGCTTTGCCGGTGTTGGCCGTTCAGCACGAGCTACGGGGCCTCAGCGACCGATCCACAACAGCAAAAGGCCGTCGCCTAGAACTGTCCAGGCCCACCGGTGGAGCCCAAAGTCACCGTTCTAGTTCCGTCGAACAACGGACGGCCCCGGGGTCCTGTTGTGTCACGATCGTGCACACAAAGTCCACAGTGGAATTCCCGTCCAGCGGCAATCTCTAAGAAAAGACCCTACGACGTATGTCGATGGTCATAACAGACTCATGCCTGCCGGTGCGGTCCCACACCGTCATGGGTACAATCCAGTGTCGAGGGTCATGGCCAAGAATCCAGCTGGCCCTGCATGTCGTTGCCGCTGGTCGGGAAGTGGGATTCTCGCAACAGGTATAACAATTGGTAATTGCGCTGCGCATACAATTCCTGTAGGCGGTGAAAGCCATATCGGAGTGTATCTTGATCCGGCTCATGGAGATGTGGCATCAGCTCAGTGGAAATGAACGGGATTTGAATACCTGGGCCGATCCCACCCCGTGCAATGAAGGCCTCCGCTTCGTCTCTCCAGTGGTCCTGGCCCCAAGGGTCTCCTAGCCGAAACCATGCGCGACTTCCATCGGGCAGGGTCTTCTCGTTGGACTCTTGGGCCACCAAGTGGTGAATGAGAACCTTGGCCCTCGTATCCCACGCGTCGAAATGGGCGTGGCGCCACAGGCGCACCGGGAAATAAAAGTCCTTTTTCTGTGGGCCTCTCAACCAATAAACAACCACCGCGCTAAGATCCCAACCAGAGCTGGTATAGCAGCCGCCCGAAGGCGCCGCGGCGCCACAGGGCAGCATGCAGAAGGCCAGCGGACTGGATGGGAAGCGTGGGCGGCACTTGCAGACCCAAGGGGACATCGTCCAGCGGGAGCAGGAGTCTGAAAGTTCCCTTGCACACTCCCGGGTATGAAAACATTTGAGGGTCGAAATCACCGCGCCTAGCTGGGAGAAGCCCACGATGGAAGCCTTCCATCAGTCG